GGATGTGGGGTGCTTCATTTTCGAACGACCTCCACGCCATCGATGTCGTCGCACACATTGGAGCAGATCCGCGCTGCCCATGAAGACATTGAGACCTACGAGCGCGCGATTGTCAGCATCTTGAGCGAGAAGCCCCGAAACGTATGTGCCATCTGCATGGCGGTCGCATGAGCGTAACGATGAATTCTTCCTGTAGCATCGAGCACGAGTGTTACACGGCCATAAAGTGAGCAATCTCCTGGACTGTGTCACAGTGCGCAGTGCAGACGCTCTGAAATTGTACAAAGATGAAGAAGGCACGCTGAAAGAAGAGATCGACACAATGCATGGACGCACGATCTTCACATCGTTCTACGACCAACTGAAAGCTATGCGCGATTTTCATCGCAAGTACACAAACATTCAAGTATCCCATGAACCAGCGCTGGACCACGTCATGAACCCAGAGATTTCCGTACTCTCTTGCAGCGGTATGCATGGACTCTGATGAACTTGTGTGTAGTTTTCCGGGGAAGAGCGCTTTGGCAAGTATTTGGACCTCCATGCGTTCTACACTCAGTACTTGAATCTTCCTCTCTTTCAAACGTAAGTACTCTTGTACCTACCGCATTTTGCGGACGCCACACGTTGCTTCGTTTGATCTCAACTCGATCTCTGCAGCGTGAACAAAAAGGCAGCGGCTGACACAGCCAACGTCGTGCGCGGACGAACCCCCGAGTACAAGCAAGTGCACGCCGACTACATCACGTACTTGAGTCGCGTGGGAGACTTTACCAAGATCCCACAGCGGGCGAAGCTTGGTGACCAGCGCTATGAGACGTATTTGAAGGACCTGGTGGCGTATTTATTGTCGTTTTACCGACGCACGCAGCCGCTCGTGGATGTGGACGACGTGATGCAGGAGACCAAGGTGACGTTCGACAAGGACTGGGCGGCGCGACGAGTCCGCGGGTGGGAGATCGATCCGAACGAGGACGACTCGACCTTTTGTCGGGCGTGTCAAAAGCAATTTGCTTCTGCCGCTGTGTTTGAGGGCCACTTGAAGGGCAAAAAGCATTTAAAGGCTGCCGCTGCTGTCAACGAAATGGACGGCGAGTCGTCGTCGGTCGACGCGCGTCGCGAACGTTTGGCAAACCTCGAAGTCCAGGTGAAAACCCTCATGTCGCTGCTCACGGAAGTGGTTCACGCCACGATTACGTTTCTCGAGCTCAAGCAAACCCGAACGCCGGAGGAGCTCCAGGCCGAAATCTACGAAGACGAAGAAGGCGCGCTGTCCGATGTCGACGTAGACAACGACCCGACGAACGCCGACGACGACGAGCAGCCGTTTTACAACCCTCTCAATCTGCCCCTCGGATGGGACGGCAAGCCGATTCCGTATTGGCTGTACAAGCTACATGGCCTCGGCATCGAGTTCAAGTGCGAGATCTGCGGCAACCACAGCTACTGGGGGCGGCGCGACTTTGACCGGCACTTTCAACAGTGGCGCCACGCGTTTGGTATGCGGTGCTTAGGCATCCCGAACACCAAGCACTTTCACGACATCACGCTCATGGCGGACGCGATTGCATGTACCGTTTGTCCTCCGAGATCGTGGCTGATGGCGTCGTGTAGTGTACGAAAAGCTCAAGAGCCAGCTCGAGATCGAGACGCTGAACAAGGCCAACGAAGAAGAGTTTGAAGACTCGGAGGGAAACGTGTTCAACCGCAAGACGTACGAAGATCTGGCGCGGCAAGGCCTGTTGTAGCATATCGCGTGGGATGGCTCTGAAATACGTTTGGGTTGTGATTAGTCGCTGTCGTCGTCGAGGTAGATGACGTTCGACATGGCCGCCGCTGACGACGACATGGGGTGGATGTGGCTACTACTGGAACTACTGCTCAAACTACTGACGCCGCCGCCGTTGGTCAGCGGGTGCGACGACACACTGCCGGGAAACGGGGGCGGAAGGACCTGGTCGCCTCGATGCAATCGTTTTCGTGCTTTGGCAGGGATGTCGTAGAGACCATTGCCGCCGTCCACGTGCCAGTGCAGAGAGTTTTCTGTGCTGTTGTGGGTCCGGGGAGTCTTGTCTGCAAATGTGTCGAATGGAGCAAACCCTGTCACGGCGGGAGGTTGCACGGGGGGAAAGAGGTGCGCGGAGGGCGGGAGCGCATTGCTGTTTAGAGGAGGCAGGGACCGGTGATGCGATGCCGCGGACGAGACCGCGCCTGGAAACGGGGCAGGCGCAGGGATCGGGGTCGACCACGGATCGTCATACGTTGCGTCCAAGATGCCTCCAAACGCGCGAGCAGGCACTGGCGCGGATGGTTGCCATTGCGATGTCGGAGACACGAGGGGGTGGCGCCACGACGATGGAGCGTTCCACATCGAGTGCATGTCGGCCGGCTGCTGCGTAGGAGGTGGGACGACGTCGACAAGGGGTCGGTCCTCGTCCTCGTCGGACGATAGAGTCAAGTCAATCGAGTCGAGCGCCGGCGCGGTGGCGGGTGACGCCAGCACGTCAATCGGGACGATGTCCAGCTGTGGTAGCTTATCGTCCGCGGACGATGGGTCCGTGGGTTTGGCGCGTTTGTCGGGCTTGATGTCGTCGGCCACTCGTTTCCGCCACGTCGCGTCGGGAAAGATCTCGACTTCCTCTAGTTCTTCGTCATCGTGGACGTCTGCGAGCAGCTTCTTCAAGTACGGATCGATGCGGAGCTCGTCGAGCGCGATAAACTAACGCCAACGTGAGACTTTACACGAGCGACCATGACATATCGTACTTTGTGGCACACGATGCATTTCCATGCGCGCGACCGCGCCGTTCGATTAAACATGAGAAACGTCTTCAAGTCGAAGCACTGCAGGTGCTGGCAGTGGATGCCCCGTGCGGGAAGGTCGATGACGCCAAGGCCAAGCGGACATCGCACCGACAGCATCGTGCACGTGGCCACAATGTCATCGTCGTCGTTGCCAAACGACTTGACCACGTCGGCTTTTGCTTGATCGTATGTGATTTGTTCCGACTGGACGACCACTTGCTGGAGCAAGTGGTCCAAAGCTTGTTTCTCGACACGTTGGATGACAAACACATACACGTTCTGCACGGTCGAGACGGTGAGCTCGCATCAAGAGATCGCGGCTGACTGTACCGGCAGCGAGTCGGCGGTTCGGATCTCGATCGTGTTGGACCCGTGGCGCGAAACAGGGAGGAGGTTGAGCGGTTGCTCTCGAAGAACCTTGGACGCATTGGCTTGGCCAGGCACGGCGCGCTGAGCCAACCCATTAGCCACCACCAGTCCGTCGTCACACGTCTCTCACCTGGACGACAGGACACGCGTACCCGTTCACGACGACGGTGGAGCACGTGGGCCAGCAGTGGCCTTCCGACAAAGGCTCCTTCATCGCAAAGCACCGCAGCTGGAGCTCCAACGACCCTACGTCACGTTGAGTCGAACATGCTCGGGATGTGTATGTGTGCGCACCAGGCTCTGTCCCCTTGGCCCGCTTCATGGCAATCAGGTCGTCTGGAGGGATTTCGTACACGATCTGTTGCCGGACGGACGCAGTAAAGCGCAAGAACACGGGGTGCCCGTACGTCGCATGCACGTGAAAGAACGGCTCAAACACCGCTGCTCGACATGCTTCGCAATGCCATGTATCGATCTACACGGCTTCATGAGCCGACGACACAGGAACAGCGAGAACCGTCTGGGTTTGATGGCACTTGGAGTGTACGGCCATGGCGCACTTGGCGCAATAGGTCACAGCAGATCCTTGGGTCGCCTTGATCGGACACAAGCATCGTGCGTTGTTTAGCTCCGGCGCGTACCCGACGGCAAGATCTGTCTGAGGCGGCTGCCCGCGGCTCGTATATGTGTTTGCATGCAGCAAAAATGTCGAGTTTAAGATCCCGTCATGGTTGGGAACCATGTTCCACGATCCGTTCGGTATCGGCGCGCTTGTTGGCTGAGGAGTCACTGCGGGCGCTTTCAGCATGCGCATGTTGCCGGTCGGCGGCGTCACCATGTAGTGGGACGACCCCTGCAACAATTGTTCCATCTCTTTGTATCCATTCACCATGTGCTGCGTGAAGAAATGGCTCTGTGAGTCGGACATGGAACCTGCCGATTGTTGCAGCGCATTGAATTGCTACGAGATGGTCGGCCTTTCATCGGACTCGAACGACGACGTACCGAGCACTTTTGGACAATGCGGTTGATGAGCTCTTGCTTCCGGCCTGAAATGCTCAGCGACATCATCTTGGCCAGACCTTTGAGCTCTGGAACCTTCAGAGTTGCTAGCCTGTCGCCCATCGCGCTCAGCGGAACAGGTGGAGTGATCATCGTCCGTCCCAAGGGCGGTTGGGGCACGTCGAGAGGGTCGGTGGTGGTTCTGTTGCCCCAATTTTACTTGGCAATGCTGCTATCGAAGGAACACGTACATTCTCCATGTACAATGTATGCTTCCCTTTCTTCCTCTATGTCCTAGAATGTACATGTACGTTCAGCCATTCGATAAATGTACTATGAAACCTAATGTGATTATAGTATAGTTTTGTCAAGTTTATTTTGTGGTGTCCCCATTTTGAAACTTGGTGTGCCCAACACAGCAACATGGCATCGCTCACCGACTTCATCTTGACGAACTGCAAGAAGTCTGGCACGGCCTTGGAGTGCAGCGATCTCTGGAAAGAAGTCTCGACGGCGTCTGTGGATGACCTGGACCATGCCCTCGAATGCCTCAACGCGATCGATTACGCGGCGGCGATGGCATACCTTTTGTACGGTCCCACATGAACGCATCATGTGATCGCCGGTGACGCTTCTTCGCGTAGACTGGTGAAGGGAAAGAAACTCAGCAAACTCCAGCGCCAAGATAGAACTGGTGACAGCAATGCCGACGACGGCGACGTTGACATGGCCGTTCAAGCAGACGGCAATGACGATCGCAATGCAAAACTCTCGTTTCTCCATCAAGTCATATCGTATCTTGGCGACATTGTCGGTGTTCCTGAAGAAGCGCCCGATGCGTCTCGATGTGCGTACTTTCACGATCAGACACGAGGATTTCTGACTTTGGCGGCAGTGAGCGACTTGGTGCAGCTCGCCGTGCAGGTTGCCATCGCGATTCACGAAACCATCCGACTGGTGTATCCATTGCGGCAGTTGCTTCAGAAATGGCGCTCGTCGGAGCTGTCCCGTCAAAATGCGCTCACTCCGTATCACAGCACATTCGTCCTCGCTTGTGTCTACGCCAAGTGCTACCACGCAGCTCTCTCCGTCGTCGACGAGTGCGACGCCTTCGATCATGCAACCACTTCACGCATGCTCTTCTAGGCCCATCTTTGACATTGCAAGTCCCCAAGCAGCCGTCCAGTCGATTCATGTGCTCGAGTACTTTTACTATGGGGGGATGGTGTACACAGGCCTGAAGCAATTCCGCGCCGCCGCGACGTTCTTCCTCATGGTACAACCGCGCAGTTGTGCATGATGAAGGGGGAGATTATGGCGCAGCATAGACATTGACGGTGCCTGCATATGCCTTGAGTGCCATCGCGATTGAAGCGTACAAGAAGTTCATCCTCGTGTCCCTCCTGTCCGACGGCCAGGTCCGTCAGCCTCCTCTGGTCGTACCTCATGAAGGCACCGATGTTCTTCCAGGTCTCTCCACTTCCAAAGAGCGCTTCACCGGCCGTATCCCGCGCTCTGGAATCGTATGTAGCGCCGTACGTGGCGTTTATGAAAGCGTTTACGTCGTCGTCATCGACGCCGCAAGTCGTGGCTGTTGCGGCGGCGGACATTGTACGTTCCCCCGACGTCAACGACGCGTCGTGATGTGCTTCTTGCTTAGCCAGACAACGGCGGTCTTGTCAAGCAATGCTTGGTCGCTTTCAAACAGATTCGCGTGCAGAAGCTGCCACAAGTGTACACCACCGTGTCGTTGACCAAAGTGGCGGCCGAGATCCACGCAACTATCAGGTACAATCTCTCTCTCTCCATGGCGACCCCACCAATTTTTGGCATGTGGTAGCGATGCCGAAGCGTGCATGTTGGACGTGATTGAAGCGGGAGCGATCACGGCCGCGATCGACAAGCAGCAGGACATGGTGCAGCTCAACCCGCCGTCGTTCGACGAAACAAACTTGCACGCGTCGATCGAGCATGCAATTGCATTCACGACCCGCCTCCACGAGATCGACGCATTGCTCACGATGCACCCCAAGTACATTGGCCGCACCAAGGACAAGCGCGGCGCCAAGTTTGCGACAGACGACGCCGCCGGTGGGTCGTGGATGGCGCAACAGGTCAGTGGATAACGTCACACGGCGGCTGTCGTGGTCACGAGTGGTGGTGGTTCGTTTTATTAAATCAACCGAGGCAAACATTACACGTGCGGTTGGAATCCGTACGGAGACGAGTTGAATGGCTGCGGTGGCGGCGGGTGCGACCCATACGCTTGCTGAGAGTACGGGCCCTGCGGGTTGTAGTACCCCGACGGCCCCTGATGGTACGGGGGAGGGCCCTGGTTGAATTGAGGTGCCGAGTTGTATGACCCTTCCGGAAGGTGGTGGCTTTGTGGATACTGCGGGGGACCGCCCTGGTAATACGGAGCAGAGTATGGGCCTTGATTGTACGGGCTATAGCTGGGGGGCTGGTTGTAAGGCGGTGGAGGAGCTGCTTGGTTGTAAGGCGGTGGAGGAGCTTGGTTGTACGGGGGTGGAGGAGGTTGGGAATAGTTTGACGCATACGGATTGCTCGGGTGGTGGTTGGATGGCGCGTAGGCGGGGGCTGCTGGCGGGATGCTGCCGCCGCGGGGTGGCTGTCCTAGGGCCGGTCCAAATCTCGGTGCATTATTCGGGACTGGACTAGGCGGACTGTTGCGATCCTGCGCCGCCAACGATGCCGCATACGCAGCATCCGCCGCCACTTGGTCATTCACCACTTGGTTCACTTGGTGCTCATCGTGCAGAGATGCTTCATGAAGACGCTGCGCGAGGGCGCTGTCCTGGGCGCTTTGCAGGTTCATTTCGAGCTCGACCTTTTCGCACCGTCGCGCGTGGCAGTGGTCCATCACAGTTTGCTCGGCTTGCGCCACCTTTTGCGTGAGTTCGCTGTAAAATACACCGCCCTCCGTCGCGTTGCTAAGCAGTTGCTCGTACATATCGACGGCCTTCTGGAGCTCCATCAGCGCTTCCTCGCGTTGCCGTGTGATCGGGTCGGCCTGCCGCGCCTGCTTGAAAATCGAGTTGCGTTCCGTGATGTCGGTGATCAAGTCGCCCTGTTCGGCAAACGTGCCTTCAATTTGGGCTTTCAATTGCTCCAACTCGGTTTGCTTCGATGCAAACGCAGAGTCGTCGCCGTTGCCGGCCAAGATGAGCGTGTGGGGCGCCACGGCCGCGCGGCCAGCTAGGTCCTTCTGCAACCCGTCGCGCTTTTGAATGAGTACGCCAAGCGCGATCATGAGGTTGTTCAAGAGCGAGGTGTCGACCGTGGCTGCGCTCGGGTCTCGTTCGGGGATGCGTCGCTGGAGTTCGTCGTTGGTTTGTCCCAGAACGTTCAGCACCGGCGACGTGAGCGAGCTCTGGATGGCCAGGTCGCTCTGCGTCGCGTCTCGAAGGAGCTTGTGGAATCGGTCCACGTCGGCCACAAACCCTTCACTCAGCGCATTCGACGGCGGCCGCGTCCACTGGCTGCCATACGTCTGTCTGGCCTCCGCATCTTCGCTCGATTCGTCGCGAAGAAAGTTTTCAATGTTTCGAAGGCGCTCTTCCACGTGGGCTTTGCTTCGCTTGTTTTCCTCGAGAATACGGCTGATCGGTGCGGTTAAACCTTGCGTTTGGCAAGCCTCGATTCGACGCCACAGCGCGGGCGGTACCCCAGCGCCTTTTTCAAACGCTTCCACTGATGCAGGCAGTCCTAATGATGCCAAGTGGACCCGCGCGGCCTCGTTGTATGCAGAAACCTACCATATTCAGTCCCACGATGAGCACTGACGAGTTGCAGAGCGGCGGCGGAACTCGATCAAGATGGAAAACGCACGTCATTGACCAGCAGAAATACGGCCCCCCACTGAAGAAGGAAGCAAGCACAACTCTTTGATGCGAGTCATTTGTCGGAGGAGCCCTCGAGCGCGGCAGGCAGCAATTCAAAACGAGGTAACGACAAAATAACGCAAAATTCAACTAGGAATCACGGCGAAGGACCATCCCGCAACGATTGAGAAAGCAAAACGAATGGAAGCCCATGGGAGGGACTAACGTACCTGCGACGCAGACGATGCCACGATGTTTTGGTAGATGGCTTCAAAGTCGGCGACCTTTTGGCGCAGCGATGTGGGCACGAGTCCTTCAAACAAGTCAATTGCGCGCTCTTTGTCAGGCACAATAGGCTTGACCATCGACGCCGCTGTCAGGGTCGGCAGTGACGCGAGCTGCGGGATCGTTTCCATGTAGATCGTATCGTTGTCTTTTCGTGCCTTGTTCAGTGTGTCCACCACGATGGCTTGCAATGCTCGAACGGACGCAGGCAGCGACGGCGGCAGCTTCGATTGAGTCGCGAGCGCGATAGCTTGGGTGCATAACGCGTCAGCGGTCGCAAGACGTGCAATTTCCTCGCCGTAGCCGACGCCTTTGGTGAGCGCAACTTCTTTCGACGCTTTCCCCTGCCAGAATTGCGCCGCAGCCTTCATGCAAAGTACTTGGAACTGAATGTGGATGCCCCACAAGCGGTCAACGGATGCTTTCATCGAGGCTGAATTGCAAAAGTCCATTGCCGACTGGTAATATGCAACGGCTTGGGTCGCGAGCTTGGACTTGATCCCGTCTTTCATCTTGTCCTTGATCGCTTTCTCGTAGAAGCATGCTTGCGCTTGTGCTAACATGAGATTCACAAGCATGCCGAGTCCCTCAGGGCACATGTCGACAGTAGTTGTCCCTGAGAGACCTAGCTGTTGGATCGCCACAAATGCACCAGCAGACTGGCTAAAGTAGTTGCATGCGGCCCGGATCCCCTCGGGGGTCGATCGATCGCACGCGACGGCACTTTGGGAGTCAAGCGCCCCCACGAGGAAGAGTGTAGCGGCTTGTTCGAACTTCACAGAGTGCTGCGTCAACTTTTGGCGCGGACAAAAAGAGTCGAACCATGTGAATGGAAGCTTGACCTTGGTGTCGCTGACAGGGAATCGCGTGTCGATGAGGTCGAGCTGCGCAACATACCGCAGAAGTACTTGGCGCGATATGGGCGACGGTGTGCGGACCAACTCGACGTCTTTTCGCATTTGTGCAAACGATTCCAAGGCCGGGTCGTACTTCTTCGCTTCGTCCTCTGAGTATTCCTTGCTCAGGTACGCCCTCATGGGCTTGACGACATCAATGGAGCTCGTCTGCTTGAGCTGCACAGCGAGCATGGTAGACCGAGAAGGTTTGGTGTGCGGCACGAAGTGTGTTGGGTTTTGAATATTCGACGGGTGTATGACTCGATTTACACACACTCTGTCATTGAGCCAACACTCTTCTCCTATACAATATTTTTCTCACACGGAGTTGATCTTCGCTTTTGTATGAAGATCTTGTGGCGATATAAAAAAAGCATGCAATATGCATTATATTCAATCATCATAACACAGAGGCAATTTCTCAAATTCTCTAACTACATTGAACGGAATCGACTTGGCCTGGAATTTTAGCGAATTGATTCATACAAGGTATCCGTTTAAAAGGGTATTCCAAACTAGCAACGGTTTCAGCGACATCAAAAGTCACAGCAAGATCATGGTCTTGAGCAATCTTTGCATCTGAAACGTCGCTACCGCAACGACGCTTCCATGAACAACTCGTACATCGCTGGCGCTGACGCGTACGTCAAGGGAAACTTTGCCATCACGTCTACGGGCGTCGTGATGAAGGGCACAGGTCGCGCGTTCACGGTGAACCCGTCCGAGCTCGACTATGGCGAGATCATCGGGCTGGGCGCGAGCGGCAAAGTCATCAAGTCTCGACACCGCCCATCCGACACGATCCTTGCATTGAAGTTAATCAACATGAACGACAAAGGGAAGCGCGAGCAGCTCATGCGAGAAATCCACGCCCTGTTTGACTCGGAGGTGCGGCAGCATTGTTCTCGTGAAGTTGACGTTTGCTATTCTCGGCCAGAGCATGTGCCTCGTCACGTTCTACGGTGCGTTCCTAAAGGACAGCGCGGTGGCACTTGCCCTCGAGTACATGGACGGCGGGTCGCTCGAGAACGTCTTCCACCAACTCGGTGTCCTTCCCGAACAAGTGCTCGCGAATATCACGTACCAAATCCTGTGCGGTCTGAGCTACCTCAAATCCAAAAAACGCGTCCATCGGGACATCAAGCCGTCGAATATCTTGCTCAACAGCAAAGGCGAAGTCAAACTCACCGACTTTGGCATTGCCACCGAGCTCCACAACTCGATCGGTACGGACGATGATGGCCCATCCATGAAGTGCCCTCATCTGCACCAGCTATGTGCGGCTCGTTCGTCGGTACATTTAAGTACATGTCGCCCGAGCGCATGCAGCACCAGCCGTACAGGTGTGTGGTGGAGATGTGCACGAAATTTCAACGATCGGATGGCGCTGACAGTCGATTCCTAGCTACTCTTCCGACGTGTGGAGCCTCGGCCTCGTCCTCATCGAGAGCGCGACGGGCCAATTTCCCTACCAGCAACCCAAGACAACCATCGACGTAATGCGTTCTTCTGTACTCGTTTCGTTGACGCTTGCGCGTTCGTGAAGATGATCCAAAGCGTTTTGGAGTCGCCACCGCCCGCGCTCTCTCCAGGTATGCAACCAACCATCGATGCGCTACGGCACGCTGCACCATTCGTTACAGAGGCCTTCCCTGCTGACTTTTGCGAGTTTGTCCGCCACTGTCTCCATCGATCGGTCAGTACCATGCCATCGAGACAGACTTGGACGCCACCATGACGATCCGTAGCCGACGGACCGTGCGTCCGTCGACGATCTGCTCCAGGCCCCATGGTTTACTCGCTGCGGCGCTGTCGGTAAGCGCGGTCGACGAGGTCAAAGCGCCTGCAGTGACACACGTGCCTGTCGGGCTTAGATTTGGAGTCGGCGCGGCGAAACATTCTCGCGTGGATTTCGGACGAATGCCGGTCGTAGCACCCTGTAGTATAATTTAACCTTCGTCGTGGTGGTCCATCTACGAGGCGCCGAGCGCGGCGTGGGCCAGCGCGATGTAGTACGCAACTTCACCTTCGCCACACGACGGCGGCAAGTGCATTTCCATCGCATGCACCTGGTGTGCGAGGTCGGGCAACGACGCTTGTCCGAACAGACCAACTAAACACGGCAGAATCACGTCCGCCGACAAGGTCGACGCAGGAACGTGCAATGCTTCGCCCACTTCCACGTGAAGCAGCCTGATCGCTGCCATGTACGCCGCTGCAATCGCTTGTGGCATGAACGTCGGCATCGCCTCGAGGGCTGCTCGAGTTTGGGGCAACACGACTGGTTGTTGAATATGCACTTCCGACAGATCGTGGACGGCCAGCTCGTACATGCGCGGCTTGATCGCGTCATACTTTCGCGCAGCCAACGCGACAACGGTCGCGGCGTCGCGGCAATATGCGGCGGCCAGCCGCACGTGGACCATTTGGCGGACGAGGCAGTCGAGGGTAGAACGACGGCACGGAGGAAGGACGCCGTGTTCGTGGCTCAAGTAGGCTGCGATGTCAAAGACAAGGCCATGCAAGGGCGGCATCGTGGCCGGGCGATCGGCCGTGTGCGCTGTGACTGCTGTGTGGCGAAGGCGCTGGCCAACATCGGACTTGTCAAACCCCGTTTCGAGCAGAAACAGCTCAAAGGACAAGTACGCCATGGATGGCGTGTGGTCGTTGGGCGGAAGCACGTCTTGGAGGGGTAGCTGTAGCACAGAGTACCAACGAGACAAGGTTCGAGGTGCGTAGGTCGGGGTCATGTCGTCATGGAATGGCAACGCGGCATGGAGTTGCGGCGTCGATTTCACGCAGTCGTCGGCAGAGCGCCGGCGAAATGTGGCAGCGGACGCGAGCTCGGTCTTGGCATGGGCCAAGATAGCCGCGAGCCACTTGACCTGAATCACGAGTGTTCGAAACAAGACATCTCGACGTAGGTGCTGACGCCACAGATGTGGAGCGGGCGCGGTCGACACCACTGTCATCGCTCGTTCATGCATTGCAACTTCGACGTGCAGCTTGATGCGAACGAGGGAATGGGTACATGACAAGTGGCTGTCCCTGCGAGGATGCTTCCACAATCGGGTCGCTGGAACCTTGAATGAAGCTGATTTGAGCACCCAGTCGAGCCGAGTCCACGCCTGTTTCAGCGCGGCGCGCTCATAGGCGAGGCGAGCTGCCAACTTGTCAGCGTCTCGACCTGGTGACGGCTTTGCATGGCGCGGAGATGTCAAGATCTTTGCCAGCGGCCACAGCAGCATGAATCGGCGAATGCACACAGCTGCGCCACGGGAGACATGTAAAGAAGTGCACCAACGGCAGCTTGCGCGTCCCAGACGTGCATCATTGGCTCCATTGCGATAAGAACGTCCCATGCAACGTCCCCCCAAAAAACCGCCGTCTGGACATGGTGTGCTCGTTGCAAGATTCGCCCTCGGTGGATGGGGGGGGCACAAAGTAGTCGAGTGAGTCGCAAAGCTGCATGGCGCGCCTGGCGCGGTCGACCGAGCGGCGACGTCCTACATCGCAAATGGGGGTCTGCTCGAGACTGTTTCCTTTGCATGGACACCGTTTCAGCCGTTGACTGTGTCTACGATATATCAAAAGGGCACTTGGACGTCATGACTTTTCGTTGTGTATTCTGTCTACGAGAGAGCATCGGCCAATGCTTTGGCGAAAATCGCCACGCCGAGCTCGATTTCGCCGGCCGACACATTCAACGGCGGGATGAAGCGCAGGGTTTCGTACACACTACGATCCCGCCCGACAGAATGCCATGCAGACCATGCCAAGACACCACCGTACCTGGTTGGGAGCAAGAGCATCCCATGGCCCACGCACGCGTGCGCCACTCGCGCCGCTGTACCCGGCGGCACCGACGTGTCCAATTCCACGGCCACCATCAGCCCCAAGCCGCGCACGTCCTATTGCAGCCCATCTTGTTACGCAGTCCCACCAAGGAGTAGTATAGTTCACCAGAATCGGATAGACATCTTGCAACTTGGTCAGCGCCGCCATGAGTTGCGCGCCACGAACACTCGCATTGACCAGCGTGTTTTCTGTTTCAAACACATCCTATCAAGCGTGTCAACAAGCGAGAATGCGCAAGTGGACCGAACCAATGTGGCTAACGCAGCGGCGCAGCTCACGGCATTTCCAGCGTACGTGCCGCCCATGGACCCCTTTGGCTACAAATCCAATACGATCGGCGTTCCCAATGACTTGGCGCTCAAATCGGGGCGGGTCGTACTTGGAGATCTGTCAGGTCTTTGCGGCTTGCAATGGCACTTAGGGGATATCCATTCGCGATTCCTTTTGCCATGACCAAAATATCTGGAGTGGTGTTGTAGTGCCCATCGATGGCAAACAATTCGCCCGTGCGGCCAAATCCACATTGCACCTACATCCCAACGACCGTTTGCCACGAGGATTTTTTCGCGACATCCCGTGACGGTACTTCATCTGCTATCAAGAGGATGTCGTGGTCATGGCACAGGGAGTTGAGCCCTTCGAGAAAGCCAGGTGGGGGCGGTACATACCCTCCTTCCCCCTACATCATTTCCGATCTCCACCTCCGAGTACTGGCCAGGTGCATACCAACACGGTTTCAATCAAGATCGCTGCAGTTTCGGACGGTGCCGTTTGCTGCTTGAGGACGAGCTCCACTTGCTCCAGACACCAGGCACTGCAATCACCTGCCGCAGTGTCATACAACTGTTAATACATGACATCGTCTGGGCACATGGATTCGAAAATGGGCTGTGGAGGGAGTATGGGTACGGCGCCACAAACACGCCACTCGCGAGGGGTCCAAAGCCAGCTTTGTAAATCGTTTTGCTACTCCATGCAGTGCTTGCGATGAGATGAAGGGCGACAGCGGAAGACCTACCTGGTCGTGAACGACATGGCTCCAATCGTTCGACCGTGGAAACCTCCTTGGAAGACGATCACGTTGGGCTTTTCCGTGGCATGCCGAGCCAACTTGACAGCATTTTCAGCGGCTTCAGCTCCACTAAGATCGGGCAATAGCCGAGGTTAACAGCACCATCACCGTTGCGGAAACTCGCCGACGTTGTGAAGAAGCTCAGTGAATCAAGTCCCTGAGGAAGCAAAGGAAGCAAGGCTGCTGAGTACTTGAACATTGGTTCGTGGTATGCCACGGATGCCTATGCAACTCCTCAGTTACATGCCTCATCCAAGCAATCACGCTGACCTGGCCATGGACCAACTGTCCTGCTTGTTTCTGCACTGCCTCCACGATCCGAGGATGGCAGTGGCCCAACGATGTCACAGCGATGCCACTTGTAAAGTCCAACAGCTTCTGGCCTTCCACGTTCCACACAAACGACCCAGCGCCTTTCGCCAGGACCATGTCCGTGAGGCGGCCGACGCCATGCGCAATCGACGACGCGGACGGGAGCATCCCGCGGCCGATGAACAATGGTCGCGCTCAACGACAAACGCAATGGAAATCCCAACTGTCACTGGCTAAGCCATAAAATTGCTCTAAATATAGTCTGCTTCAACGTATTGTTTGAATGATATAGTTTCAAATCAAACGAATTGTGCTTATAAATTTGTAATCTTTCTCACTATATACAATATTGTCACGCAGAGGACCTTTGACTAGCCAATCGATTGCTGGCGTGCTGCGACACTCGAAAAACCGGATAAAATAACCGGTCGATGGCTGCACAAGCAATTCTACACATGAACGCCACGATTCGCCGGGCCATCCAAGGATCGACCTTCTCGTCGTCGGTGAAGACCTTTTCCGTCCCATCCTTGGAGATGCTCATGGAGATGTATGATTGCTCATGTAGGCAAAGCAACTCATGACAGAACAAGGACCTATCTTCTCTTCGATTCAGAAGAAGCTGCAAGACGCATTTCAGCCGTCGCACTTGGAAGTCCTGAACGAGAGCTACATGCACAACGTCCCGAAGGGATCGGAGACGCATTTCAAGGTCTGTCCACTCTTACGTTGTTAGCCAGAGATATGTATCATCGTGGTAGGTCGTCGTCGTGTCGGCGGCGTTTGAAGGCAAACCATTGATTCAACGTCATCGGCTTGTCAACCAAGTGCTGGCGGACGAACTCGACGGCGGCGTCCATGCGCTGTCCATCCAGAGCAAGACGCCGTCCCAATGGGACGCCAACAGCACAGTTCGCCCGTCGCCGTCGTGCCTCGGTGGAATGTTGCACGACCCGACGAAAAAGTAATGTGTCATCTTACTTCAAATATTGCCTTTGGAGCAAGTGAATCAACATGGAAATGGCCCCACCGAGGAGCACTGCTACAATCTCTTGCTTGTGATCTCCAGTCACTTCGTTCAGCGCGCGTAATGCGGCGTCCCACGGCTTGGTCGACGACGATGTTGGCAGCGACGACGGCAAGTGGACGTGGTGACTGGCTAAGTAGCCGTAGTGCATCTCCGACACGGCATTAGTCAAAGCCAGCTCAATGTCGAGGTCGTCGTCGGGCTTGACGAGTCGCACGTCGGCGTCCTTCGTGATCAGCCACACTTGGTCGAACCGAGTCTTGAGCTCATTCGCCACGACCTGTTCGCACAGTTTGTGAGGTTCTAGTGCCCAAGGAGCGTGCCACGACAGTGCCCGCAACACGCCCGAATCATCCTACGAAGGATCTGTTTGCTACGCACAAGATGCACGCCGTAGTTTTCAATCGACGACAATGCCTTTTGCTTGAGGATCGTTTCATCCGTTTCCAGCTACGTGATGCAGTCAACCGCGATGCTGGAACCATCGACGCAGTGAAGCAGTACCTTGAATGAGACATAGAATGCGTTGGGAGCCCATTCGTGGCGCAGCAACCCGAGCAACTTGGGCACCTACGGCCAGCAACTTGTTAAGTCTCAAACGATTCCATCGATCCGTACATTGTGCAGCTGCAATGTGAGCCCCTGGCCGACGGTCGCATGCGACTGAATCTTGTGCTCAACCAGCTCGCTGTCTGGAATGTAGAAATCGCTGACAGCCGCAGCAAGGTAGAAAATCGCGCGCTCTCTCAACGGCGCCACCGCCATCGCCACGAGTTTGAGAGCGTAAAAGTAGTCGTTTACAGAGACAAACGAGATCGGGTGTAGAATGTTGAGCTGCTTCGATTGCTTGTAGCTCTTGAGTGCATCCACACACCGCGCTTGACTCACGCGATCGTCGGCCGACACTTCAATGTTGCGTCCGTCTGGCACGCGCCACAGTCAATTCAAGTGGAAGTCGAAGCGATCAAACCTTTAGCCATGGACAAGTGGTCGAGGAGCTGGAAGTTCATGTCGCGACCCATCGATTTCTGCAATTCAAGCGCATCAGACATGGAAGGAACACGATGGCGCACCTGAAAATGGCGGGCAAACGGCATGACGCAGCCTGGGCGATGGAGAAACACGACGGCATACCCCAGCTTGACAAAGTACCTATATGAGTGTGTCTGCGATGTTTCAATGCGTAAGTACGATCGACATACTCGGCGGAAGACGCGCCACGAGACCCCGTCGAGAAATTGTCGATGAAGCGAACTGTGTTGCGTTCGAGTGGAATCGTTGTGCCACCCGACGTGACGATGACAACACAGCGACCGATGCTTGTCTGGTAGGCAAGGAATGCTTCAAGATCCTCCTTCACTTCTGCAGTCCATGATGGCGCAGTCGAGGCCGCAAAGTACGCGTCCGCAACAGCGCGCTGCTCAGCCAGCTTGTCTGTCATGGGGATCGATGCCGACTACAATTCCTGGTTGTCGATGATTTCATTTATTTCACAAAATTCTTTTACTACTAGTACGTAGTACTACGTAGTGTAGTAATTTAGACACAATATCATAAATGAGGATTTACGTTGCAAGAAAATGACTGATTTATTTTTCCTTCATTTGATTGGATAGGTGGAATTATCCGGTTGTTCGGATACAGAGAAAAAGTGCCTCGTCGTAGGTATCTTTTTCCGCACCAAGATGGAGCTCCTTGTGAGCAGGAAGGTCCCTGAAGGAGAAACCATCGCTGGGGCAACCTACCTGGCTGATATTGACCAAGCAGTTGTACTCACTCAGACATTCGTCCATCGAATCCAATCCTCGACGAAGGATGCTGAATGGACGTCGACGAACCTGCTCGACAAACCCGGCTGCATGGTATGGAATGCACAGAAGGACGTGGTAGCGTGGTGCAATGCGTCACACACTGCGTGCACAATCGTCGACACGAGATCGCTCGAGCAATTCCAGATCCATCTCCCTGATACAACGTCGCGCATGGCCTGCGTCGCAGTAGGTCGACGAGCGTCCCATGTCGTATTCCAGTCGATGCAGCATCTCTATGTATGGCGAAGGCAAGTCAAATCCACGGGCGGCACATGGTCGACGCTTCCGCTTCCTCCACCAAACCCATGTAGCCGAGCGTGGCATGCAATCACACAATCTCGAACGCTCGGTTCGCTTCTTGTACTTGGCGCGATCCAATCCAAACCACGTGTGGAAGGTCAAGTTTTCCTCGAGTGCACAGCCGACATCCTGGACTTGGATGACGCGTCCTGCCGCTCTATCGCAGCCAAATCAACTGTGATTCCTCATCCACACGGCAGTATTCTCCTCGACATCGCATGTCACACGTCAACCCAACGGTTGGTCCTCCATATGTCGACCGGCATTGTCAAGTTAGATTGGCACTCACAAACGCATGCGACCATCGAAGCCAGCTCTGTGACAAGTTGCTCATGGTACGATCGCGGCATTTGTCTTTACTACCCTGACGGTATCAACTGCATCGTTCTCGTATATGTATTTACCACGGCGCATGACCTGGTAGGACGCATCAACATCCTCGACGACAACTTGACCACCCAGTTCAGCAGCAGTTCTTTTTTCTTGACGCCTTCATCGCACATTGCGTATATGCATGGCAAGTTGCTTGTTTGTGGTCAAGACAGCCTGCGCGTGTACGGTATAGCCGTCCTGTCATCGATGGCGCCTTCAACGTACGCTGCCGCTGCTTCCTGCGCACCAGCCGCAGTTGGGTCATCCTGTCTCCCACTGCTTCGGCAGCCCACAACGGCATCGCTCGCCCCACTGATCACGCAGTTTACCCGCCAAAGTCCAATTGACACCTCCCCAGAGCAATTCCTGACGTCGTTTAGTCAGCTTTCCAAGCTGGTTCGAGTCGCCGAGAGAGAAGATCTCCTTGTGAAACTCACAGCGCTGACAATACACAACCTCCACCGCGCGTGGCCTCACTCGATGCGGCAGCTGCTCCACTTAGTCCTGCGGCAGGTTCAGTTCATGTCGACACCTTGCGTCGACACATTCACGCGACTGTTGAAGGAGTGTCCGCACACCACCACCACAAAGCAGCTTCCCGCGATGGCGATTCCTCGGTACTGCGCGACGATTCAATCGCTTCGAGATGGCTCGGCGGGACCACATGACGTTCTTCCCCCGTGGGCAGTGACTCTTGCGGCGAACTACCGCCACACGTTTCGCTCGACACCAAATGAACTCGACGCATGGATACCCATGATTCGCTCGTACGACGTGCGCAAAATTTTCCATCACGTCGACGTGGCCCTGCTTCGACGCGATCCCCAAGACCTTCGCTTCCTCCGACTGGTTGCTACTGTGCTGGTGCTGCACCTTGTGGACGTGACGCCGTTCGTTCCGTCGGTGGGGTTCTCGTCGCTCGCGACGACTCCGCCGCGGATGGCTGGCTTGACCATGTGGAGCCATTGCCGCCACCACCCCCAATGGACACTATCGACTGCTACCAAGTTGGCAACGGTATCGAATGCAGCACCATTCCTCGTTACGTTTTGCTCGCAGTTTTTCACATCGCACACTGACGAGTTTGTCACAAGTTTGTGTCGCCAGCACCCACAACTTATTGTTCCCACGGTGGTGCGGTGTCACTTGCGACAAGTGTGTAGGGTGTACGGAGCGCTTCGTCTGCTGCCGTACCATCCACGACGCAAGCGCTTCCGTCGCGCATCCGATTCAACGATCCAAGATGCTCGGGCGCATTCGTCCACGACGGCAAGACCAGGTCTGTCCACATCTCGATTCTATCGACTGTACACGATGCAACCTGAAGACGCCGACGTGGCGTCGACGGACGAGAGCATCGCCGCCCACTTTGCCGTCCACGTTCTCCGGCATATCAAGCGTTTTGTTTTGCTCGTGTCGCCATCTCCGTCCGTGTTTTCGAGTCTCGAGTCACAACCACCGTCGACCGCACAAATGGAACTCGCCCATCGAATCGACCCGGACTGTGCATGGCGCTTCATCGACACCACTCGACAATCCTCTACGGCGATGGACAAAGGCCAGGGCCCATTGCTGGCGGCATTTGCATGGACTGCGTGGGCTTGTATCGCTCGGGAACTGGCTGGCGATGCGCCGTTGGGTGGTGGGCGTATCGAGTCGCGGCACGGCTGCTGGCACGTCGCACGGCTTTCGTCCGCCGTGGTGTTTGGCAAGTCGGATCTCGACATTCGCACGGCGCAGATTCAATCGTTGTCGCACCACGTCCACACGTCGCCTGTCGATGCCATGGACGTGTTGGCGTTCGTGACCATCGGGGCCAAGCCGCTGCTCGCCAAGCGGACATCGGCTTTGATTACCCAGTGCAACAATGCTGTACAAAACAGCCCATCCAAGCGCAGCTTGACTGTGGAAGATGCCCAAGCTTGGATGTCGGCTCGACTCCCTTGCCGTGAAAACGTCAATTGGAATCGGGTGGCGTCGGATCCGTGGTTCTGGGCGTTCTGCGCCGCGTTGACAGACCTCGAAACGGCGTCTGTCCAAGAATGTCGCACGATGGCGCCTCCAGTTGCGGCAGTTCTTGCGAGCGGAATGGCCTCCACTGACGCGACACGGCAAGCCATGCACGAGGCAGTGACAAAGCACCCCTTGCGGTTGTTGCACACGCGTCAGTCGCAGTCCGAGGTGAATGTGAAGCAGCGGTCGCCGTCTGTGGTCCATGTCCTCAAACTGTTGCAGCTGCAGAGAGCACAGCACGTGTCTCGGCCGTCGAGCGGCGAAACCCATGCGACGGAAACGCAAACACGGCCAACAAAGCCGACAAGGATGGAGCCGTTGACCGAAACACGACGTGGGGTGCAGCCCCTGGCGTGTAATTACAACGATTCGACGACACAGGAGGTGGCTCTGAAGCTCTTGCGCAAGAGCCAAAGGATTGGGTCGGCTGTCGCGCTGCGTCCCCGCGATTTTCGCAGTGCCCCCAGCCTCCCTCGTTTGCCTCAAATCGAAGAGGATGTTGTGGCGATTGCTGAAAACAGCACGCAAACGATCGACGTCAACCACCCAGTCGAAGGCCCGACACATGCTTCGACAGAGACGTCCGCGCAGCCCGCAGCGATTGTTACAAGCACAGCCACCATGACGGCACCAGTGCCAACAGCGGACAGCACCGTGGTGACGGACCCGCCTCCTCCCACCATCACCCAAGCGACTTCTACCGCCACGTACGCTGTGCCTTCCATGAAGCAAACCGTGAAGTTTCCAGTGTACGTGGCGGTGCCACCCCCGCATGACCAGCGACAAGGATTTTTGCATGTTGCCGACTTGGACTTCACAACAACGTCGCAACCATCGCTTGGAATTCGAGCACCACGAAGAAAGCCGGCATCTCCGGTGGATGGACGGGATGCACCAGTAACGAATGACAGGATGGAGGGTCAAGTTGACAGCAATGCCAAGGCACAAATGGAAGCTATCGCGAGCGCCAGCAATTCCCTGCGAACTGCGTACGACAGCGTTCCGATGGACGACGGTGTAGACGACAGCTTTCTCGAGCCGACAACAGGTTCCACGGACGAGCACGACCTGTCGGGGACAAGTCGACCGGCAGGATCCACAACGACGTCCCTTGCCCGCGTGGCATCGCTCCAGCACCAAATGCAATGCCTCGCCGAGCGCCTTCAATCGATCGAGTCATTCGCTGACGCGATGGAGTCGGAATTCGCCCATTCGCATGAGGTTCGAGCGCATCATGCAACGTTCATATTGTGTTCATGGTGGTGGTATATGTAGATGCTTGCCCAGATCCAAGACCGGAGACGAGGGGTGGCCGGGCTGCTCGATAGCGGATTCCCCAAGAAACTTCAATCGCTCGTCGACGCAACGAGTGACATGCAGCGCTCGCTGGACGTGGCCAGGTCTGCGACGGATCCGTTGTCGTCGTCCTGATGCAAGAATTGCCATTAGGGACAACCTCGTGCATGGCCCTCACGAAATGCACGGAAAGGCGTCGTCGGTGCGGCGCACCAGCGCGTTGGCAAAGAGAGCGACGGATGGCATGGCCCAAGCCAAGTACGTTTGTATTATCGAAACGTGACTCAAAGCACGACGTCGTTTGTTACTAGGCAACTCTTGAGGCAGCTCGAAACGACGCTCCACATGCCTGCCAGTTAACCCATGTCGGCTATCCATCGGCGCGACTCGTTACTCGATGGCGCGCTCCGCAAGCAGAGGGGTCAGCGCCGTCGTCCACGCCTTGTTCAACGTGTACCTGCTCCTCCGTCAAATCATAGCAGTGTAAGATATAGAGACCAACCAGCGCTTCCAGTCCTCCCGCGAACAATACGCGAGCACATGCGCAAACAACGGAGGGGACAACGTGCGCCACGATAAAGCTGTGCTCACCACCCCATCCCATGAGCTCGATGACGCAATCGGCGCTACATACCTGCGAGTTCGGCCGCAACGCTGTCGATTTGGCGCCCCACGCGCTCTGCCTCGGCGGATTCGACCGCATGCAAGTCCTTTTCCTCGTGCAGCTCGCGTTGTAGCTCCTAGGAATGTGGTCGAGAGTAAACCGGATGCCCGTTTGACACATCGCAGACGACTTGTACCTCTATCTGTCGCTCGATGACTTGGATGGACGTTGCGCGCTTTGTGCATTGCAGCTGCAGCATGTCGTACGATTCATTCAGCGTGCGATACTGCTGCTTGCGAGAGTCGAGCTCGACGTCTAACAACGACACGGGCGACTTTGCAGTCGACACGTCGGGTTCCGGTGTCTTCAGGCCAACGTGGTAGCTGAGCTCCTTGGCGTTAAACCACGAGTACTCGTTGTCCCAAACAAGCACGACCGTGCCTGGTCCGGGAATGTCGAGGCTCCCACGGACAGTGCTCTCGTGCGACGCGCACCGCGTGGGATGGACCAAGTACTCAACAGAGGTCAATCCTTCAAACGTGATGGAGAAATCGATGTCCATATCCTTTGTCTCAAACGTGTACGAGAGGTCGGACCCGGCCTCTTCGACTCGAATCGGCAACTCAAACCTGCCAGCAGGTGCTACAATGGCATGGCTACTATGCCAAGTCAGCATCGGTGGTGCTGACAATGCACGTAGTCGAGCGGGGGCATCAAGTGTCTTGAGGAGGAGTGCCCATTTCAGCCGTCGTTCCGCTTCTTCCGGCGTGTCTGCCGCCCGCTTTAGTTCGAGCCGCTTCTGGCGCTGCTCCTTTGCTCGCCGTGTCATTTTCACATTGAAGACTGACTGAATGTATGCGGATCCGGATAAGACGGGAACGTGTATTGGCGAATCAGATGGATCTTTGTGCGAAAGGTTGCATGCGCAACTGAGACAACCTTTGCGCTGTGCAGCTTGCATGCATCACCGCAAGCATTCGTCCTCGCGGCATGACAGCGCCTTGTAGCTGGCACAGCAACCTTTTTCGGTCTACCTGTCGCCTTCGATTGCCTACTTATAGGACCTCGACCAGGTGATAGCGCTCATGCGGCATGTCTCGACGCTACGCCAACCCTGTGGTCACAACCACGATCGGATTTCATTACACGTTGGACATAAAGGCGAAGCGAGCGTATTGGAGCAGTGTAGACGCTGGCCACGTCAAATTCGCGCTGCAGGGTGGCCTTGGCACGTACTTGGTCCGCGAAGGCGCGAGCGCGGACGGCACGAACGAGACTGCGACAGACATGATCGAGGGCCCCATTGCTCAATGGACATGCGGGAATGCCATCGCTCTCGAGGCCGACAACCGTCTCGTCTTTTCTAGTTCGCCGAATCCGATCGAGAAGCACCTGAACTCTATTCATGATCCTTGTGCGTTCATTACGCTTTATGTCGACGCTGGTTTGTAATTGTCTCGCACACGAAACTCGATTGCATCATTCCCCCACGCAGCGGCGTTCTCAACAAACTTGACGTCTCCATTCACCTACTAGAACGGCGTCATCGTGAGGACGGTAACTTTGCGTTGAAAGTGGACTCGGGTGTGGTGCGGCATTTGGGCAGCGCAGTTCCAAGTGATGTTCATCCAACAACAAAAACGTCCTACATATGTCGCGATGGCCAAATGATCTCGCTGCAAGCAGACAAAGGGGCGTTCGTGGCGCATAACTAGACGACGTGCTTCGATGTCGCAAGAGTTTCCACCAACAAGACCTCACCTGGCATCCACTGGCGTGATGAAGACGTCGGCGACAACGTCATTGCGCTCAAGATCGATTCGGGCCACTGTCTACCTTGCCGTCGTGATGGCGCTCATGCCCTCCAGATCCAGCGTTCTTCGAGGAGCCAACCTACAACGGCGAGTCGAAGCGCAATGATGCTGTGAAGGCTACCGGCACTGGTAGGATTGCGCTGAGAGCGGACACTGAAGTGTACTTGACGAGTGTCAATGCTGGTGAGTCGACTGTCCACTCCAGTCGCTGGTACGGCTGACTGTCGTCGCAGTTCACCGCCGTCCAGCGCATCACCTCGTCGACGCCATTGCACGGCAGCCAGTGCCCAACGTGGACGCAGTAGGGCCGTCCCGATGCTATGTGTGATGTAGCGTCAAGACGGATGATCGTGTTATGTAGCGTGGGGCGAGTGAAAGACTTGTACGAGGACCTTCAAACGAAACTGGATGGGGTGCTGTCGACACAGGCAAAGGAGACGACGCACGGACTCCCATGGCATCGGTATCGAGAGGTAGTGCACACATAACAACCAACTCAGTTTGTATTTGCCCTCGTACGAAGTGACTTGAGGCTGGTGTCTCCGGGTTTCACCAGCCTTTGAAAGCAACCAAGTATTCCTGTCGCCACAAAGACCATGACCCGAGTAACATGGACAACGAACCAGTCTTCATGGCCACACGGACACGCGTCCTCGGAACCTTCTCGTGGTGGCGCAGTCTGCCACCCGTCATGCGCGCATCCCCACGACACCCAACTAACCGATCCGATTGTCGCATCCGGTCGTTTATCCGGACATTTTCATTTTATCGGATAGGTGGTCACCACAATTTGACTGGGACGATGGACGCGGCGAGTTTGGAAGCGGCGATTGTGTCCAAGGGGAATGAGATTCGAGAGCTCAAGGCGGCCAAAGCGGACGTGACTGCGCAAGTGGCTGAGCTGAAGAAGCTCAAGACGGACTATAAGATCGTCGCGGGCCATGAATATGGTGCGTCGGCGGCCGCACCTGCTGCCGCCCCCAAGGAAAAGCAGTTGACGAAGAAGGAATTGCGCATCTTGGAAAAGCAAAAGGCTGCGGTGTGTGGTTTGACGTGCATTGTGTTACGAGGTCTTCACTTTCTTCGGTGCTAGGAAGCGGCGGCTGCCTCCAAGGCCGACACTGCGGATCCGTCCAAGTTTGGTGATGCTCCGTTGGTACAATCCCGCGACCTTCCCACCAAAAAGTTTGTCGAGTACGTCCCATGTCGTCCTTGATCATCCATCCACGAGCTTCCTCTCATCATGCAGCGTCGTGGACCATTAGTGTTGCCACGATCGACGAGACGTTGGACGGACAGTCCTTTTGGGTGCGTGGCTACCTGCAAAACTGCCGCGCCAAGCCGAAAATCGCCTTCTTAATCGTGCGTCAAGGCGCATTTACGATCCAAGCCGTTGTGTCTGAAGTACGAGCTCATGCATCGTCGTCATCGAGACTCTCACACGATCCCGCCAGAGCGCCGACGTGCCCAAGGCACTCATCAAGTATGCCGATGACATCCCGCGTGAATCCGTCATCGATTTGTACGTGACGGTCAAGTTGCCCGCCAACCCGATCACCGGCACGACTCAGCACAACGCCGAGCTCTCTGTCGCCAAGATCTTCACCATCAGCAAGGCCCTTCCCGTGCTCCCGCTGCAGGTCGAAGATGCCGCGCGCTCCGATACGCTCGTCTTTGCCGAAGGCTCCGACTACGTCGAAGTCGGGTTAGACACTCGTCTGGACAACCGGTGCGCTTTCTCGATCACGTCGCCCATCACAGTCCATCCTGACGCCGTTTAGAGTGTTGGACCTCCGCACGCCGGCCAACCAAGCCATCATGCGCATCCAGTCTGGCGTCGGGCAGCTCTTCCGCGAATTCTTGTATAGCAAGGGCTTTGTCGAGATCCACACGCCCAAGTTGCTCGGAGGCGCCAGCGAAGGCGGCGCCAATTGCTTCTCGTACGTTCACATGCCATGATGCCAGCACTTCACGGACCGACATGCCTAGATTTGGGTACTTTGGCGAATCCGCGGTCTTGGCGCAGTCACCGCAATTGCACAAGCAAATGGCGTGTGCGTGTGCCGGGCTCGAAAAGGTGTTTGAAATCGGCCCGGTGTTTCGCGCCGAGAACTCGCTGACCGCCCGCCACCTGTGCGAGTTTACGGGCTTGGATCTCGAAATGGCGATCAAGGAGCACTACTCGGAGGTGCGTGGCCCGGCATCCCTTCTTCCGCGCCATCATCCCGCGGCTAACTCTTGTGGCGCAGTGCTTGGATGTGTTTTCCGAGCTCTTCATCTACGTGTTCGACAACCTGAACGCGCGCTTCAAGCGCGAGCTGGACATTATCAATGAGCAGGTGTGTGCATCTTTGGATCCTGTGGGGCTGATGAGAGCGACTTGCGATATAGCATCCGTTTGAACCGCTCAAGTACTTGAACCCGACGCTCGTGCTCAAGTTTGACGAAGCCGTGGCGATGCTCCAGGAAGCCGGGATCGACCAAGATCTGCTCGAAGATTTGAGGTGCGTTTGGTGTGATGCGCGATGGGATTGATGGACCATCGTTCCAGCACGCCCAACGAAAAGGCGCTCGGTGCCCTCGTCAAGGAAAAGTACGGCACGGACTTTTACTTTCTGGACAAGTTCCCCTTGGCTGTGCGCCCGTTCTACACGATGCCCGACCCGAAAGATGAGGTGCGCACCGCGATCATGACGGAACCGAGAAAGGGGATCGCATGCAATGAATGTAGAGATGGAGTAACTCGTACGATTTCATGATTCGCGGCCAAGAAATCCTCAGTGGTGCGCAGCGTGTGCACGACCCAGCGCTCCTTGTCAAGCGCATGGAATCTCTCGGCGTTGCGGAGAAGGACCTGCAGACGTACGTCGATGCGTTCAAGTTTGGCGCGTTGCCTCATGCAGGCGGCGGGGTCGGTCTTGAGCGAGTCGTCATGCTCTTCTTGGGCCTCGGCAACATTCGCAAGGCGTCCATGTTTCCCCGTGACCCGGTACGTGCGACTTCGACGCACCATTTCTGCCAAGTCTCATCGTGGCTGTGTGCAGAAACGCTTGCGTCCGTAAGCCAGCGCGCCAACCGCACGGCCGGCACCGATCACGCAGTAGGGATATGCTTAAATACAGTGCTAGCTTTCTCCAGGCCCCGTTGCTTCCATGCGCCACGCGCTCCATCATCTTCCGGCGGCGACTACGTTCGAGGTCATTCTCGATGGAAGATATAAATTGCAAGTAAAAACAAACACTCCGGAATCCGTTGACAACTCCGTTGATTGGGCCGTTGTGTGGTCGCATGCATTCTGATCGCCACTTCGATCTTGACGGAATTGGCCATGCCAGGGGAAGCGACCGGGCCCGCTGCGCACGTGCTATCGCCGACGTCGTCGTGCAATGGATCGATAGATGACGACATTGTGGATGTGGGAGACGGTGTCGAGCTGGCCCCCGTGCACGACGATGTCCGCGACGACATCATTTGTGACATCTTCAATCTGCCGAAATCCACCATCTTCTATCAAGGTACCCCGTTGTCGTCGAGGCGTTGACGTGACGTGTGCTTTGTACAGACTTTTCGTGCGCGCTGGTGTCCACGATCGTCTACCACGGCCGCATGTACCCCGCGGGCGATCAAGTGTGCTTTTACTCCAACTTGTTTGGCAAGGAGACAAAGGTCTTGATCCCGTATGACTCGATCGCCGACGTGAGCAAGACGAGCAGCATGTTTTCTCACGGTCTTCGCATTCAAACGACGGCGCAAAAGGAGTACTCGTTTTCATCGTTCTGGGGCAACAACCGGTATCGTCGGACGAAGATATCGGTCCGTTGAAATGTCTCTGTGTTAGTGATCACTGCGCCGCGATCATTGTGGCGTTGCGGCAAAAGTCTCTCGGCAAGTCTTCTTCTCCGTTCTTGTCGATCGCTCCCCAACGCGCCCCACCGCCACCAACCCAAGGTGCCCCCCCGGTTTCCTTACCGTCGCCACCATCCGGCCCCATCTCTTCACCGTCCGACCGGCCCGTTCAAGCATCGGAGGCAAATGTGTCGACGGCGGCGACAAGTGCGCCGCCAGCACTGTTGCTGACTCCTGACGAGCAGCAGCATCCGTTCACGGACGTCGCTCACGACACGTTTTCCGTCTCGAGCGACGAGTTTGTCAAGCTGTTTCTATCCGACACGGCGATTTATGGCATCGACGAAGCGAATCGACGCCGAGGCGCGACGGACATTGTTTGCAGTCCGTGGACATCAGACCAAGATGGACGCGGTAGGCGCATTTGTTGTTCCCCTACCAAGCCATCACCCATCTTTAGTGCACTCGCGGACTGTCACTTTCACGCAGCCCGTCGATGCCCCGATCGGGCCCAAGAGCTCTCGTGTCGATGTGGTGGGTGGATTTCTTCTTTCTGCTTGTCTCACTGCCGCGCGCAGAAGCAATGCCGATACCACGTCAACGACACGACCATGCACATGGACACCACCACCAAACTGGCCGACATTCCGTACGGCGACTGCTTCAAAGTCGACGATCGGTTCGTCCTAACGGCATTGACGCCGTCATCGTGCGAACTCGTCCTCCAGCTGCGCGTGGTGTTTGTCAAGTCGACGATGTGGCGCAGCCTGATCGAGTCGCGCGCCAAGACGGAGTGCAAACAAAAGAGCGTCGAGTGGATTCGTTTGGCGAAAGCTGCCATGTCCCCCGAGGGGCTTCCCCCATGGCCGCCTGGCGCCGCGACCAACGTACTCGTTTTTATTTATGGAGCACGCTTCGATGACATGAATCGCTGTTGTAGAGCGGCGGCGTGCGAGTGCATTCCCCACGCAGCAAAAAGCCCAAAGGGGCAGGTAAGTCCCCTGTCGCCAAGGACGAGCCCGCGCGCAAGCTGTCCGTCGAGACAACGGGCGTGATCGCCCTGGAACCGCTGAAACCAACGCGCCAGCGCCTTGGCGGCGGCCGACGACTGGCCTCGATCGGTAGCTGTTGCGCTTGCATGGCACGTGTGGACTGAAGTCGTGCCGTGCCTGACTTTTTGTAGTGATTCCGTGGGCCGTCATCGTGCTGCTGGGGGTGTACATTCAATACATTCACACGGAGTTGGTCGCGATGCACGCAGCACTGCGGCATATTCAGACGCAGGTCGACGTGTTGGCGGCAGCTTCCATCCCCAGCCCAAGATCGCAATGTCCAGCGCATTCGCCCCAAGAATAATGCCATTTGGACATTGCGTGTTGTTACGTTAGCTGGAAGGGCTTGATGGGCTGCTGGGGGGTTGGCGACGAAATGCTCTTCGCTTCATGGCAGCGTGAAGTTGTCCAATGGCTCGATCGAGCTCCATTTGGACGATGCCGCGGCGATCCGGCGCCGGCTGCGCCGCCTCAAACGCGAGTTCCGCTTGCATGCTGGACAGGGCAGTGTCGAGTAAGTGGAGGTGCGCAGGGTGCAGCGGATTCTCGAGGACAAAGATGTTGTGACGACCGAGTTGGCGCTGGAGATGGCGTAGTTGGCACTCTAAGATGGCTGCATTTGGCGCGGCGACGGTCACTTTGGCCACGCCGGCCTTGATCGAGTCAATCGTGACGCCCAGCTGGTTGCGATCGAAATGGATGGTCAGGACTTGTCGACAAAAAACATGAGAGGTACCTCGTTGGCTCGCGAAGGCACGAGCCACTGGTCCAACTGGCACGTCGTTGAGAGAAGGAGGAGGTCGCATGTGTCTAGGAAAGGAACGCGTTGTCGATGGAGATGGGAGTCAAATGAAATGTCGACTGGTTTCAGTACCTAGGTTTGGTGCGTGCACTGGAAGATGGAGCATGTCGTAGACAGCGACGCGGACAGGGTCTTGATCGAAGACGAGGCAATTGTCGTGGCCCCATGCTGCTAGCACATGCCAGTCGACGTGGGAGCGCCGATGAACGTCCGACGGCAGAGCTATGTGGCAGTGGAACGCGTGTGTGGAATGCGGCGCGAGGATGCGAACGACGTCGCTGCCGCCGTGGATCGGACTCGCCACTTTCGAGCCCACCAGCAAGGCCGTGACTTGCTCTAGCGGCGCGCTTGCACACAGCATGACCCGTCAAGGTTGAATGAGCATCGAAGGCACACGCACCTGGACGCATTCCGGACGGTGACGACAAAGTGAAGCGTGGAAAACAGAGGCGAATGTTGGATGCTAGTTGGCGCGATGGACTCTAGCAGCAAGGGATGCACGAGGATGGGAACGGCGTGGAATCCCGACGGCGCGTTGTCGATGTTGTCCAAGGGGGGAACGAGAGGCTGCAGAGGTGTCCGCGAAGCAGCAGCAGCAGCGTCGTCGATGCTCGGTTCCCCTGGCACAGTGTGGCTGTTGGTTTGGTCAAGCCATACGTGGCGGCACTGCCGTTCAAGCATGGCCAGCACCGCGCGTTTTTCGTCGAGCTAGCCAACGACGTTTGACGACATTTTCCCGTTGAGAAATGCACCATGGATTGCTGCGCGAGAAGCGATGCGTCGGCTTCTTTCGCACGAATCGCCAACGCTGCTTGGATGGCGTCTAGCTATTCCAACACGTCATTTGTCTGGAGAGGAGGCGCCCGCTCCTTACCTTGTCGGCTTGGGCAGGAGCGGCGAGCTTATTGAGTAGCATTTGAATCGACGCATGGTCGACGTGGTGCGCCGTTTTCCGCTTGGACTGTTTGCTACCTACAAGGCACACATGACCTTGACCAAGGGCAGCCCTCGACGTACGACGCGGTGGACCGGCATCTCCCGTCGCGGACGGTACGACAGACATGACGTCAGTGAGGACCCACTCGTGCTCGTCCACGTCGTTTGACGGCACGAGGAGGATTTGGTCCCATCCATTCCGTTTGAAATCATTCACGAACACGCGATGGACGTTGGTGAATTCTACGACAAACGCACCAACGAAATCAGCGATCGCGTTGGGCCCGTCGTCGGCCAGAAGGACCTTGTACGATCGACAGCGTCGACTGCAAACTCATCACAACCACCACGCTGTGATCGAGGCACGTCACGACAAAGATGTCTGCGCGATGCAGCGCGGCGGCCACCGCGCCGTCGTGCACTCCCGACGCGTCGCCGCCGTCCAGACCATGAACGTCGGCATATTGTCTAGAATGCAAGAGCAACGTGAAGAATGTGGCAATGCGAAGTCGTACATGTCGATGGGAGTGGCGTGCAATGTCAACGTGGCAACGATGCAGTCGTGGACGGTCGCAACAAGGGACGGCGCCGTCGTGCCGAGGAGAATGCGATGCGTCGATGACGTCACTTCTTCTTGGTCAGTCCATACACAGCAGATGGGTAAGTTCGACGGAAGGTAGCGCTTGGGGCGAGGGGGCACGTGTGGCTTGGACGGCTGCGATCGAGCTGAAAAGTGACGAGGGTGATGACATGGAGGAAGCGGAGGAAGGGGCAATGTGTGCCAGACGTGAGTGTCCCTACAGGAATCAACGGTGACATGACGTTCACGCGGGCAGATCAAGATCACCCGTCCGTGGAATGCACAAGGAGATGCATGTCGTCCAAGGGCGTGGCAGACGTGCGGCTTGCGGGATCGACTGTGGAATTTGCAATCAAGCAAGCGGATTGAAACATGTGAGGCTGGGGAACGGAAGCATACAGCATGTGCAAGTCGTCGTTTCGAATAAGCACGAGCTGTGATTCAGCTTGCGATGGGCACGAGAACCACACATGCGGCCCGTCCATGATCTCGACGACGACCGATGCGCCGCTCCACGACGGTGGTAGCGTGTGCGTGATTTGGGAGTCTACAACTGCGTCGTCCCCATTCAGATCCACTCGTGAAATTGCCACAGACACGGCGGAGGGCCTTGTGACGATAATGAGATTGTTGAGACCCACACATTGATCGTCCACATAGGCAGCTGCAAGCAGCTTGCCACCGAATGAAGCGGACATTTGAGCTGATCTCGCTGCATGCCGTTGAAACCCATTACCCGACGGATTCAAGCACGTCATGCGTGCACTCAGAGTGTTCGGAGTCGCGTCGGCATCGACATTCACCGCCCACACGCGGCCATGTCCGTGTTGGTTGACGAAAATCATCTTCTGCCAAATATGCAACTTTATGCGGATAATCATCCGGTTCATCCGTTTGACATTTCTTTTCTGACGGCGGTCCCTCATGGACGTCCATCGGTGTCAGAAAGTTTGCTGTGGAAGCACACGGCGACTCCGACAAGCACAAAGGACATGCCGAGGTATGTGTCTACGCAATCGGCGGCGGTAGTGACGATGGACCGCGCAAGCTACATGGAACGGAGTGACGTACACATAGGATGCTTCGGTCGTTCCCCTAGAAGTCGACTTGTGATTGCAGTGAAGACAAACGTGACTACAAGCAGTGTCAGATCGATGGGCATGAGTGCGCATGCGACGTACATGAATTGCAAATGGGAACGGCCATCGAGATGTCTACGCTCCACATCAATCGTGTGTCGCTGTGTGATAACGTTGAGGTCTGAATGCGTCACTACCCGACGACCCGAGAAAGTATACGAATGCAATCGATCCACTTTGGTTGAGCGCAAACGGGATAATAAACTACATGGACAACATCACAGCGTGCTCGATCCATTCGAATATGTGCACCTTCCAATTGGTCAGCGTGCAGTAGAACTCATATGCATACTGCGCCAACGAGTCATTCGTTCGCTGGTACGCGGCATTGCCGCTACCTACACACGTCGATCCAGTCCTCGTTCGTGCACTTGCCCACGCACCTTGCTTGAGCAATGGGTTCGTGCATCCCCAGAGTGCCCCGACAAACATGAACGACAACAGCGTCTCTATGTGGCGTCAACTTGATGGCGCGCCGTTGCTCCTCGTACCTAGCATCGTGGCTCGGCGGCGGACCACAGTTGTGTGGGAAAACGTGCCCATTGGGACAAATCCCAATAGTGGGCGATGCTTTGGGATCGTTCCGAACTCCATACCCGACCCTGTGAGACTTTATATTTTTGGGCAAAATCCGAACGAAAGCCTAATTAGGCCCCACCTCGCCCGGGAAATCGGGTTTTCCTGTGCACCACCAATTTTGCCCGAACTGCACGGTGCCATCAATTGCTTTTTTTGCTTGAACTAAAGATGGCCCTTAACATTTCCAAGAAGCGAAAGTTCGTCGCCGACGGTGTCTTCTTCGCCGAATTGAACGAGTTGTTGCAGCGTGAACTCGCGGAAGACGGGTATGCCGGTGTCGAAGTGCGCGTGACCCCCCTCCGCACGGAAGTCATCATTCGCGCCACCAAGACCCAAGAAGTGCTCGGCGAAAAGGGCCAGCGCATCCGCGAATTGACCTCGGTCGTGCAAAAGCGTTTCAACTTTGCCGACGGCGCCGTGGAATTGTATGCCGAACGTGTCGCGAACCGCGGATTGTGCGCCCAAGCCCAAGCCGAATCCCTCAAGTACAAGCTTTTGGGCGGGTTGGCCGTGCGCCGCGCTGCCATGGGTGTCTTGCGCTTTGTCCTCGAAGCCGGTGCCAAGGGTTGCGAAGTCATCGTGTCTGGTAAGTTGCGCGCGCAACGTGCCAAGGCCATGAAGTTCAAGGAAGGATTCATGGTCAAGACTGGTGACGCCAACAAGGAATACGTCGACACGGCGGTCCGCCACGTGCTCATGCGCCAAGGTGTGTTGGGCGTGAAGGTGTCCATCATGTTGCCCCATGACCCCACTGGTCGCATGGGCCCCAAGCGCAACCTCGACGATGTCGTCACCATCCTTGAACCCAAGGAAGAAGTGTACCGCCCGTACGTCGAACCTGTGGCCGCCGAACCCGTCGCTGCCGCCCCTGCCACCTTTGCCCAATAAATGCAGCATAAACGACGCAGTTTTTAATTCAAGCAATGGAGTAAAATGACATGTGTGGTGTCGTCGGTTCCTCGGTCGAGTGCGGCGCTAGGAGGCAGACGTTGTTTATGGGACTGGAGTCTGTCGTGGCGATATTTCCCTCCCAGGCAGTATGCTATGGTACGATAGCCGTGAGTTGTGCGTTGGCGGCGGAGATCTGTGCGACGGGTCTGTGTATTCGTGCCAACAAAAATGCCTTCCACCTCCAGCACAATCTTTGCAGTCTCGTTGAAACACTGCACGTGTGCCTAGTTCTTTTCCGTTGAGGAAGGTGGTGCCACTACGCCTTAAAGATGGAGGCAATCGCTGTGCAAGTGTGTATTGGTACCACGTATCTGCATGGTCCACAAGACCAAGACGCATCTCCATTGGAGTTCGTAAGACACGTGAGTTGACGACTGGAGTTGTTGGGAATGGCACTTGAATAACGTTAGCAGTGGAGCGCAAAGCTGGTGGCTGGTGAAGGACGGGGTATGAGTGCGTTCGATCGATCTGGAAGGTACACGTCTCGAACGTATGGACAGATTGGATTCACAACAAGTTCGTGGGCTGAGGCATACTTGAACGCTTCATCGCAAAGTGCTCGAGCAACACCACACCCGCGACCTGCTCGAAGCTCGTGGGTAAAGTACAGATCCATGGCGCGACCGTTGACGTTGTACATGAGGCAGCCCAGCATCAACGGCGAGTTACTGCGTCGAACCTCGCACACAAACTGACCCTTTTCGGCGTCATGCCGCACTCCTCGGACCACTCGCTTCATTAGGGCCCTCATCATGATCTGTCTTCCACGCACGGTTGATCAATGAGCAAATATGGAACGCCATCGTGCGCCATCGTCGGCTTCTCTTCAAAAGTTCTTCAACTATGGCCACCTCGACAGACTTCGACCCCCCCATTTATACATTTATCAAGGTATTTTTTGTATGGGGCCACAACAGGGGTCCCATCAAAAACAGTTCAGGTACAGCGAAGTGAATTCGATCGTCAAGGATACGGGCGGGGGGTGGGGGGGGGAAAAATCTCAGGAGTGCAGAAACGTCGACAGGATCCCTTCAACAAGCCGAGCGAGCGACGGGTGACCGACGGCGTCTGCGGCTTCCTCACCCCCCAGCACTAGGATAGCATAGCTCAAGGACTGCTTGCAGTATTCGTGTATGACGAGCGCGCTGTTGGCTAGCCAATGTGTCGAGGCGTGGAGATCGAGTATCGTTCGTATGAGGGCAACGGGATAACTACAGTGACTGCATCAAACGCGACCGAGGTGATTCGTTGTCGCGAGGGACTCCACAAGTCAGCACCACATTGGAGGCCCAGGGTGCGTCATGGAGCAGCACCTGCAGTCAGTTGAGGTTGCATTGGCCTAAGTACCTGTGTCCACGATGTACGGGACGAAGTTAAGACACCGAGACATGTCGAGGCCATTCAAGCCAAGCCATGCGCCATGCTATGTACCGTTTTGCAGGAGGGGGTGGTTACATTTTCGGTTCTTGCAACTGATGGCAACCCAAGCATTGACGCTGGCGCTGGGAAAGCCTCCCGCTTCAAACGATCTGAAGCGGGCCCTCGATGTCGACATGTACAACGCACTCAAGTCGGTCTCAACTGCGCCGCCCGTGCAGTCCGTCGCAGCGTTCTTGACCGACAAACAAAATGGAGCGCACCTCGGGTACGCCGTGGATCGACTGCCCATCATCGGTCCCCATTGTACTTCAACATGTAGGAGGGACCTGCTTCAGCGGCCAGTGTGCGTCACGAGCATCGGCACCCCAGACGTGACGCCTTCGTGGGTGCCTTTCCTCAACGCCTTCTTCGACGTGTCGTCGTTCCATTCGGCTACGATCCCTGCCTTCGCCGCACATCGCGTCCGCATGCTACAATGCCCCGTTCCAGGCCAACCGAGGTAGTCAATGCTCTTCCAGCACGTCTTTGTGCTTCACGGCGCGGCATTTGACAAGAGTCGGTGCGGGTTTCCGTAGCCTCCCGGCGCTGAACGTCCAAAACGTCGTGGATGCCGCGGCCCGTCATGGCCCGCCTGGGTCGTCCTCCATCGTCGTGCTGACATCTTTTGCATTGAGGTACTATGCAACGTTTGCGCCATGAGTCACCATGCGCCATCAGACACGTCGACGAGAATCGCCAAAGTGCAGCGTGTATGTCCGTTGCCGACGGGAAGCTCGTCGTGGTCTTGTCGATGGCACAATCGAGTGCCGTGCCGCCGTCGCCGCACCCCGTCGTGCACGCGATGCTGCATGCCGTTGGAGTCCATCCCTGCAGCTTCTTCGAATGCGCCATGAACGCCTGCTCCAATGGGTCCCCATCGTTGGTGCTCTGCCCTCTTTGCCTTCGCAAGTGCAGCCTCGTCGTACCGCAATTCAACATTGTTCGGCGATACGAAGCGCTGCTGGCAATCTTGGAAGGCTGGTGTGCATGCGACGGTGGGTGGGTCGAGTCATTCCACCGGTGGTGCGCCGATCACATCGCATACATCACCAACACCCCACGACCGTCCAAGCGTGCCATGGATGCCGTCGATGTGTCCAAGCTAACGCTGCTCAAACGAAGATTGGCAGCGCGGAAGCAGCGGTGACCTCCCCCAGCCCGTCGGTCCGTCGGGCGCGGGTCCCTTCGCGACGCGTTGGCGCGCACGAGTTGCGCCATGATGTGCGTGGCTGCAAACCTTTGTTCTCGTGCTTGCGTTCGTTGCAAAAGCAGCATGCGCGAGTCACCGACTCGCCAAACGCGCGAAACTTGCGTCGACAGGTCCACCGGAGGGTTTTGGTCGTTGCCGTGCGAGCCACTGGTCCTGGATGCACCACCTCCTGAGAAGCAACCCCTTCCACACGATTGCGAGATCACGTCCAGCCACGCGGCTCGACCTGTGTGCCTGACATCCCGTTCCCCGCCGTCATCCCAACCGACTCATGCGTGTTTTCACCGCCTTTTAAATGGCATACGCCGAACATTCCAACAGGAAAACGATCGTGCGGACGGAGATCGCGAGTTGCCTTGAATCACAACGCACGATTTCTGCTCCACGACGGACTCCAAACGAAGGCGCCAACGATGCGCTTCCTCGCCATGCATTCGAGGCAGCATGGACTCGGGTTGGATGATTGTCTTGGAAACTCTCCCACGCGTGCCCGACGCATCGGCACGATCGACAAGAGGTCGGAGCTCGACTATATCGTGGGTATATAGCACAGCCTTCCTCGATGCCGTCGCCGCTGCTCCGCGCGGCATCTTTGCCCTGTCTTGGCTGGTCGCTCGCGCGCGCTTGGACTCGAACATTTCACCACCCGGCATACGTTTGGCCAAATTCGACAACTCACCATCTTGCCCAACTACCCCACGTCGCCTACAAGAGATCCCCGGTGACAGATCCACATTTCAGAAAATATATGCCACAACCCCACACACGGTCGTCGACTCCACCACGATTCGGTCGTTGCTACCCCGTGGGAAGTTATGTCGATGACGGCATCAAGAACAACGGATCGATCTCGATGGCGCCGCCCAACGTCCCGTTCGGCATTTTCCGTGCGTGTGCGCGGACGCCTATTTTTTGTCATGGTTGAGCACGAGCAGCACGGCCGACAACGGCATGGCGCCGTACAGGGCCAAGGTCAAGCCGCTCAACGACTCGCTCTCGAGCTTGGTCTGGAAGGCGATCTATGCCGTGATATCGGCCGTCGTCAGCAAGGGAGGCTGGCACTGGCGCCGGATCATTGCAATCGAGCACGGCCGTGATCGTCGGGTTGGCGACCTTTTTGACGATTTGGCATGCCGTGCGCTACCCATGGTTCTTCACGGCCGTCGCCCTCGCCGACAACACCCCAGACGGCATTGAGCTCATCGTGGCGACGTTCTGCGCCGTCGAAGTCGCGGACGGAAGGCACCACGTACGAGCTCATCACGGCACGAATGAGTCCTTGATCTCGTTGGAGTGCAAGCTGTTCTCGCTTGGGTGGCTCTTCACGCTGCCACCCCAGAAGAAGGAGTTGCACGAGCTCAACAAGTAGGGCGGGATGGCCACCGCCGCTAGTGTCGTCTTCTTCCCATCCCTATCGATCTCCATGACGATCAACACCATGTCGATCCATGTACCCGAGGGTTACCGCATTGCGAGCAGCAACGTCAAGCCAGGCAAAGGTACATGCAAGTGCCTCATGCCGGCCACCATGAAGGGCGCGCTCCAACCTCAGTGCATGCGCTCAATCGGGTACATTTTCCAAGCGCTTGTCGTGCCTTCGGACCCCACCAACGCGACAAGCATGCCATGCCGGCCACGCACCACAGCATTCTCTGCTACTCCATCCCCATGTCGATCGACTGCGAGGGCTCCTTTGGACCACCTCCTCGCCCACGAGTGCTGCCTGGGTAGCGCTCCGCGAGGACCCCGTGGTCGCGGCCAATGATGCTGGTCTGGACGACATCGCAGGCTCGACTCGGCGAGAACAACTTTTGCACCTAGTCATGAGGTCTCGACACAGAGTCGATGCCGTCCTTGGTCGTGTGCATGCTGTGCGTGGTGCCATGCCATGCACAATGCCTTTTTCATACACGTCGAGTGCGATAGTTTCGGTTATCGTTATGGCATGGGACAGCGGCCGGTGGTCGGGTCGATCTTGCCGTTTCCGCCCGCAATGCGGTAGCACTTGAACGAGGGCGAGATCGACATGAAGTTGCTCGTGATCGAGAACGCGAGCGCCGTCACAAACAACAGAATCAAGACGGCCCCAGCCACGGCACTCTTGCCGCCGCCTCGTTTCAGCGCCTGCATTTGGCGCTTCTGCGGCGGCAGCATGCCCAGCCACACCAACGCAAACAGTTTGCTTGCGTACGAGATCAAGTACACGACGGTGGCATCCCATCGAACTCGCGTAGTGTCGGCCTTGATGTCGTCGTTCGTGACGTCGAAGAACGAGTCGATGTACTTGTACACGACCGACGCGAGCGGCGCCGCGAGGTTGTTCATCGTCGTCAGGAGGCCGTACGTGGCGCCTTCGACGCCCTGGTCGGCCACTTCGACCGCGCAGTACGTGGCCACGATGAAGCGGACGCCATCCGGCACGTTTTCACTCAGCCCAACTCCTGTGAAGAACCACTGGTTGCGCACAACGTCCCAGATCGTCAGGTACATCACGATCGCGTCCATCGCGACAACGCTGACGGACCCGAGCGCGATGATCCATCGCCAGTTCCAATGGAGACCCCACGAGGCAACAGCCGCGAGCGTCGCGGCAAAGATGGCTTTCCCAGCCAGCTGGGACAGCGAGTCGTTGAGGGGCGTGACGTGGGCCCAGTACGTTTGAATCGGGGCCGACGGCGTCGCGCTGATCCAGTTGAAAAAGTTGTTGATGAACCGGAACGCGCACACCTGCCACATGGCGCGCTGCTGGAGCAACGCCCAAAAGCCGACGCCCCACGTCGTCATCGACACTGCCATTTCCTTCTCCTCCACCACGACAAACGTCGTCGAGACGATAGCCACCACACACGGCACCAAACACATTGCATACGGCACGTTCGGCGCGACCGCGAACGAGAACGATCCGTTGAAATTCGGTCCATTCAGTCCAACGGCAACGATAGCCACCGACATCATCCCTGCGACGGTGCGAACAGTGTAGATAGCAGTCTGGACGCGGCCGCGGATCGCTTCCGGCTCGCGCCGCGCATACTGGACCACCATCGCATCCGACGCACAAGCCGCCAACACGTACCCGAACGACACGACCATCGAGAGAAGGATAAACTTGGACCCGTTGTCAGGAGCAGCCAAGTTGAAATTGGCCGCAATGGCGTCCGGCGGCACCGTTTGCAGCGGCTGGCCACAGTACTTGGCAAATGTTGGATTCGCTCGGTTGCAAAACGGGTCTCCTACGCTCGAGAACGCCATGACAGCCAAGCTCGTCATCGTGATGGCCCATCCGATCAGCATCCACGACTTGCGGCGGTACCCGCAGATCGGCACGCAGTCCGACATCATGCCAAACACGACCTTGAACGACCACCCGAGCGTGACCAAGACCGAATACGCTGCCGTCTGGTACCCCTCCATGTTGAGGAACACGTTGAAAATCGGGTAGTTGAGCGACGGAATCATGCCGTAGACGACCCCGATCGCGGCATATTGGGCAAACAGCCCCATCGCTTCCATCGACATCAAGTCCAGCGCGCCCCCTGCCATCAACGCGCCGCTGTCCGACATCGTCGGGCTCTTTGTCTCGCTGTACTCGTCGCCATCGGCGGACTGGATGTACGACAGTCGCTCTTGCAAGTCGAGCTTGCTGCTGTCTTGTGCGAGTTGCATCGAGTCGAAAACTCCAACGGGTGTATCTCGGTCAAATTCCCCAACGGAATCAACTGGACCGAGCGGGACACGACGGACGTTTGCATGGTGCAGGGGGGAGCGTTCCCAACCTCGATGACCCATTTGGATGTAGACTCGCGATGCACTTGGTCGACGGGACACCGGCATGATGCTGCGCGTCATGGGTTTTCCCAATGCAGCGGGAAAACCCCACAAACCAAACTATTCCGGCCAAGCTTGCCCAACCCGCCCTTCCGCTTGAACCCCTGCATCTCCTTGTTCTAGGGCGGCAGCGTGGAGAGCCGCACGACCGACAGCGACTGCATCGAGTTGACGAATGTGGGATTTGTATTCCGCGAGCGTTTGGATTGCGACCCAAGGCGTATGCTACTGGACATCCTTGGATCGGGACGTAGCAATCGAGACACAGCGGTGAACTGCTTGACTGTTGCGTGAATCATGTTGCAAAGGGCTTTCCGCCGCACGATGTGGCCGATACAGTCGTTTCTCGCGCGTGCACCGCACCATCAAGCCACCATGCACCCCCTCCTCCATCGACCCATCATCATGCCCATGGCTGTTCGTTTGAATGTTCACACTATTTTTATCCGTCCATCGTACACTAATTAATCTATCTGACGTGGCGACGTTCCCTCGTACCGCGCGCTGGCTCCCATGCGCCACGCATTCCCGCCACGAATCGCTACGATTCACATTGCGTCCATCCTCGCGGGAACGACATGGGCAACGACATCCCTGACCTTCCTCCCCCCAACGACGCGACTTTCATCGATGAAAACGACATCGTCCTCTCGTTTGCCGACGACGAAGACGATGTCCGCGACTCCCAAGACGACGGCGACCGAACCGTGCTACGACTGCTGTCGACCCATCTTCCACGCTCACCTGGACCCCAACTCGTCGATTCCCGGCAAACCCACGGGCGATCCTTCGAATTGCTCTCCCCCGAACACCAGCGCTGGTATGCATCTCGAGGTAGAGTCGCATCGTTCATCGACTCATGCATTCTCATGCATACGTCCAAGCATGTGATGTAGATATCCCCGAGCTTCCGCCACAGCGGACCTTCTTCGAGCCACGCGGCGGTGCCGTGAAGCACCGTCCTCGACTCCGCGCGAGGTCGCTGCCTGGCCAGGCTCCTGCTGCCATCCCTCCTTCATTCTCGGCAAGTGAGCCCGAAGCAGAGCCGACAACGTCGACAGTCGCATCGTCTGTTGGTTCCATGTCGTCGCGTTTGGAGGCGTCTCTTGCGCGAAATCTTGCGCTGACCCAGCAAGTCAAACGTCTGTCGTGGTGCGCGTTTTGTTTCTCGTGCATTCTTCCATTCCATGCGTGCATCAACCATAGGGACTACGAGAAACTGTCGGTGCAATTGCTGCAAGTGCATCGTCAAGCAGAGGCCCATGGCCATGCCGTCGAGCGCGAAATGGAGCGAACCCGCAAGTTGTCGAGAAAGCTGGAGCTGGTCGCCGAGCGCTATCGTGTCACGAACGAGTAGGCCGCGTGCCACTGGTCATGCCCCGTTCCATCTCACGTGTGGAATGCAGGGGGTATGCCGTTCTCAAGCAAAATCTCAACGCGATGCGAGTGCAACTGCATGCCATTGGGACGGAGAAGCAAAAGCTCACGGGGGATGGCGCGTATCACGTCATGGCCGTGCCAGACCTGGAAGCGCTGGAAAAGACGCTGGAATTCAGTCTGACCAAGGTATAACCGAGTGACGCTGCTGCCGCCTTCAGCGCATGATAGGTTCGCCACGCATTACGTCAGCAGTATCGAGACGCAGTCGATGGCCAGCGCGAGACATGCGTGGTGTGCCTCCATGAGCAAGTGTCGATCGTGCTGCTTCCGTGTCGCCATCGCGTCCTGTGTGCGAGCTGCGCTGTGAGGGTGCAGGCGTGCCCTGTGGATCGCGTCGAGATCACCGACATGTTTCCGACGTTTGGAATGTAGGAACTTGTTGCAAGATCGCGACGACTAGTACATGTTGTTGTAAAACTGTAGCAAGTTGGCGCGATTGCGTTCGTTGTGCTTGTCCAAGTCGGTCTTTTCGATATGCCGCTTGATCTTCTTCCCTGAGATGACACTGCGAACTGTGTCTTCATCGGACGATGACGACGAGTCTTCCGAGCTGTCGCGGCGTTTGCGCCGCTTGCTGCTCGACAACTTTTTCCGTTTCTTGTTCGACGACTTGTCCTTCTTTTTACTCTTCGTTGACTTCTTCGCATCGTCATCGCTGCTGGAGCTGCTACTCCTGTCGCGATGCCGCTGTCGACGATGCTTCTTCGAGGACTTCTTTGCCATTCTCTTGGACAAATCATCCGAACACAACGACGACGACCTCGGTCGATTTTCTCGGGAAGATCTCTCTTTCGATCGCGATCGCCGCTCCTCGCGTTCTCTGCCGCTATCTACACATCACCCCCCATAGGTCCATGCCGAATGGACTATGCTGATGAAAAAACTACATAAGCGGCGGTGACACGTCGTACCTCGGGAACTCATCGCCGCCGGCTTGATGCCTCCCGTTGCCGTGCACCCGAATTTCGCGAATTTCGTTAAAAGTGTCTCGTTTTCACAACTATTTCGAGTTTTCCGCACATAATTTGCAAAACCTCAGAAATGTCGACCTGGGGCTGCAATACTGGCCGTGAGGAAGATGCAGTGTCAACGCACCCATCGTAACATTGTCGGGATGTTGTTGGGGGCCCCCAGCGCCGTTATCAGGCCTCGCACGGCGCTGGCTGTCGTGGCCAAGAGCACACATTGCTCCTGTCGCCGCCCCCGTGCTACAAACGCGGTTGCCTCCGACGTAACATAGCACATGACAGAATATCCAGCACATTCGGCGAACATTCTTCAGTCCAGTGTACGGAACGACGGCTGTCCCAACTACAAACCCACGTCGTTCAATGCCGTCGTCCATGGCGGCGCTCAAATCTTCCATGCTGGCTGGTGCGCATTCACCGAGAACACGTTGGGACAACGAGATGCGAACCGATGGCGGCGGCAACCTCGGCTTTCCGTCGACCGCAATGCCATCAAGCGACAACGTAAAGGCGAGTCACTCGATTGGTAACACCTGCCGTGGTAGGCAAGGTCGCCCAATCAGATCGTTCGGATTTTGTCCAATCCCAAGCGCGGAATTCCGTCGACGCCCGTCGATTGGGCCGTGGGTCGCGTCACTCACGCTGCCCGCCTTTGCATGGGGCACGACCCCAACCATCATGTCCTACGTCATTATTGTGTATTGGATGAGAACGACGACGACGACGGCGCCACGACCAGCCTTTTTCCCGTGGAGCGGTCGGGCAATTTATCTACGTGTAAAGTATGCAGTTGCCAACCGACAGGCGGAATCGCCCGTGACATGGCCGCCCTCGATGCACGTCCATCGATAGTTCCACATTTCACTCTGTCATGACGTACCGACGCAGGAGTTTGCTCTGGCGCATCGTGGTTGCCGTCCTCATTTGCACACAAGTCGCGTGCGCGGGCAATGCGACAGACACCCCCACTCCAGTTCCGTCGACCAGTGTCCCGACAACGGTATCTCCACCCACGCAGTCTCCCCCCGTGACGACCTCGGCGCCGACAAACCCACCCCCCACACAACCTCCGACGGCGTCTCCAACCCCGCCACCGACGCCGCCTCCTGTACCTACCACTCCTGTTGTGAAGCCGACGCCTCCTCCATCCAGTACCTCTGCTCCTGAACCGTCCCCTTCGTCACAACCCCCGGTGACACCGCCAAGCCCTGCCACAACTTCCGTCCATCCACTTACAGAACCACCCGCTCCTTCGCATCCAGATGACAGCCCGCCATCTCCTTCGACTCAAGGTGGTGACTCCCCCGTCGATGCATTCGATCCACAGTTGCCAACCACGTCGCCGTCGAATCTCCGCGTCCCGACCAGTCCTGCAGGAGATCCGAGCTCTAGCAGCCACGGTACGTTTCCGTGCTGGCAATTTCAGTATGTGCTCATTCGTTCGTCGTGACGTAGAAGCGTCAAGTGCCGCCGACGATGCGACCAACTCGAACCTCACCATCATCCTTGGGTCCGTTCTCGCCGGGATGGTGTGCGTCGTTGTGGCCGCCGTGATCGTGCGCCGCCGTCTCCGCAGCGTTAGCGGCGACGAGAAGATGCTGCACGGCGCAAACACAGCTGGCGGGTCGATGGTGTTTATGGATTCGACGAGACCGTCGTCTGTTCCCGTTCTTCAGTCCAACAACCGCGTATATGAAATGCCCAACCTGCTCGCGCTTCCGGCGCCGGCGCCGACGAAGAAGCCGCCTTCGACCGTGCCACGCACCACGTCGCGACGCGATGAGCCGCGGACGGAGGAAGCATCTTCCTTGTACCGCCTGTCGTCGATGCATCACATTCCAATCGTCGACTGCATCGATGCGCTCGGAAACATGACGCGCATCTCGGAAGCAGAGAACAGCGACGGGTCGTCGGCGGCCACCACCCTCGACAACCATGCGGCCGACAACGGATTCGCCATCGATGTTCGAGGCACGGATGACCTCTGCCGGTTCACTCGCGCGTCCGAGCACTACAGCGAAAGCACGTACGACGGTGAATTCGGAGACCATGTTGGCTTCCCAAGCGATGTGAGCCGGGAAACAGGGTGGTCCATTGGAAGTGAGAACGTCGCAGCCCCTTCTGGTGAATGGGGCGGCGCGGCGGCGCCATCCCACGACGTTCGCAACACGGACGATCTCCTCCAGACAACCCGCAGCATGGTCTCCATCGACGACTCTTCCGTGCGAGGATCGTCCGACGTGTGGTTAGATACAAACCGCTTCAACGCGATGGTGTCGACCGACGTCCACATCTTTTAAGCTCCCGTTAGTCCCCTAGCTCTAAATACATACATGGCCGCAGTGATGTTTCGTTGGGTCTCACGTGTTGCTGCTACGCTCGCTGCATGTGCTGTGGGGTCGGTCGGGCAGCACGAGCGATGCGCGGGGTCTGTTCGTGGTCGTGTATCACGTCGAGTTTGAGGCGCTTGTGCACTCTCCAACGATGGCTGACAGAGTCCACTGACCGGTTTGCGGTGGTTTCACGTGCCACGATGGAGACAGCCAAGTGAAGATTTCGACGGCGTCACATCTAGCCCCATATGAAAGTCGTGGTGTGGGCGCGCGCTGCGCTCCTACATCGTCCTCGTCGCCACGGCATGCGCGGCTGCCGCGGCGGCACCTCAAGAATTTTCAATTCGTCATGCGGTTACACTTTCCTTTGATTGGTGGAAAAATTGGTATGGCGTGATTTGATTGGTTTCTTCGTTGGTTGAAGATGCCCACGCCACACAACCAAACTCGTCGGAATCCTGCCCCGAGCGATGCCGTCCCAGCGCAACCTTGCGCGAAAGGATTTCGTCCATGCAAAGCGCATCGTGATCAAGATGGGAACGAGTGTCGTGTCTACGAATGGAGAGCCTGCGCTTGGACGGCTCGCTTCCCTTGTGGAACAGATCAGCATGTTGAAGCGACAAGGAAAGGAGGTGCTGCTTGTCACCTCAGGTTCTATCGGAATAGGTCGGAAGAAACTACACAAGCAGCTCCTCTTGTCTGCGTCCCTGCGGATGCACGTACAAGGAGGCACCGCCCAGCATCACGCGCTCGACGCGAAGAAAGGCGCGATGGCGGCCGCAGGACAAGTCGGACTCATGGCGCTGTACGAGACACTCTTTTCCATGTACGATGTCGCGTGCTCCCAGGTAATCAATCCCCCAGCTATCTTTACTGTCAGTTCCATGCAATGGAATGTCGTCACTATCGATTCCAGGTACTTGTGACGGATGCAGAGTTCCGCACGCCTGAGCACCGCGCCAACATCCGTGACACGTTGCTGCATCTGCTCGAAATGGACGTCTTGCCCATCGTGAACGAGAACGACGCGATCTCGGCGGGGCTCTATCGCGACGACGAAGGCGTGTTCACCGACAACGACTCGTTGGCGGCACTGATTGCCGGCGAAACGAGCGCAAACTTGCTCATCTTGCTCACGGACGTCGACGGTGTTTTTGACAAGCCACCAAGCGAGCCGCATGCGAAGGTCCTGTCTGTGTTTGGCGCGAGCACGTCGGATGGGTCCATTGTCTTTGGTTCGTCCTCATCACTTTGTTCATCAAAGTCACTGTCGATCAGGCGAAAAATCGTCTGTCGGCCGCGGCGGCATGCAAGCCAAGATCCAGTCCGCCAACCGCGCCATCAACCAAGGCGTAAACGCAGTTGTGATCGCGAGCGGCTTCAAGTATGGCATCCTCGACACCATCATGAAGGGGGCCGCAGTCGGCACGCTGTTCGTCCCGAACCCGTCGGCCCTAATGCCGGCCAACCCCCCCGAAGAAATGGCCCTTGCTGCACGGGACGGCAGTCGAGCGCTACTTAAGCTATCCTCCGGAGAGCGCGCTGCCATCGTGCGTCGACTCGCCCGCCTTCTTGTCGACGAGTCCCCTCGCATTTTGGCCGCCAACCAGCAGGACTTGGACGCCGCCGGTTCGACATTGGACCCTCAGCTGCGCAGTCGGCTCAAGTTGACCCATGCTAAACTCGTCACACTCGCCCAAGGCATCGCAAGCGTTGCCGACCAGGAGGAACCTGTCGGAAAAGTTGTCTCGTTGATGGAAATTAGCACGGGCTTGGTGCTGGAGCAGGTCATGACTCCGATCGGAGTCATTTTGGTCGTATTCGAGTCGAGGCCGGACTCATTGCCGCAGATCGCGGCCTTGGCGCTTCGCTCTGGCAACGGACTGCTACTCAAAGGCGGCAGGGAAGCCCGGCACTCGAACGAGTGCTTGCACGCGCTTGTGCAAGACGCAATTCGACTGGAAGCCCACGACAAAGTGTCTCCGGCGGTGATTGGGCTCGTCACAACCCGCGACGACGTCGGCGCGCTGCTGGCCCTCGACCACGTTGTCGATCTGTGCATCCCCCGTGGCTCGAATGCCCTCGTGTCTCACATCAAGAAGCACACCCGAATTCCTGTTTTGGGCCATGCCGAAGGTGTGTGCCATCTCTACATTCATGACAAAGCGGACATTACCAAGGCAACCAAGGTGGCCGTCGACGCCAAAACCGACTACCCTGCCGCATGCAACGCACTGGAAAGCCTTGTGCTGGACGAGCGAGTTGTACAGCGAGGGGCGCACCGAGCCACACTCGACGCACTCGTTGCGGCGGGCGTGACGTTGTATGCTGGTCCTCGGGCCGCAAGTTTGAACTTGCTTCCAGGCGCGCCGGTACGGTCGGTCGCGTTGGAGGATCGTGGTTGACATGTGCCGTTCTGTGTAGGCGGCGCCTAGCTTGTCCCATGAGTATGGCGCCCTGGGTCTGACGGTCGAAGTTGTACCTGGTGGCGTCGATGGGGCGATCGCGCATGTGAACCAACACAGCAGTGGCCACACCGAATGCATCATGACGGAAGATGCAGCGGTGGCGGAAAGGTTTCTCAGCGGCGTCGACAGTGCATGCGTGTTTCACAACGCGAGTACGAGGTTTGCCGACGGATTTCGATTTGGGCTTGGTGCTGAAGTCGGCATCAGCACGGGGCGCATCCACGCCCGCGGCCCCGTCGGCGTCCACGGTCTCCTTACCACCAAATGGAAGCTTCGATCGGCCGGTGTGCATACCGTGGGGGCGTTTGCTCCTGGTGGTACAGCCAAGTACACACACAGACCCCTTGCGCCCAAGAGCAAGCTATAAGGCCACGGCGGCATCGTGCGCTGCGACGAACTCAGTACCGCCAGAACATTCAACGAACGATGCGCCACCAGCGTACGTTGAATTGACTTGACTCCAGTCTTTTCGCGCTTGCGTCAGCTCGAGTCATAGCGGGGATTCATGACCCAGGTACAGTTGCAGCACATCCTTCCGGCATTGCGAGATCGACAGACGAAGCTGAGGGTTCTGCGCATACACGTCTGGGTTGACGTCGAGGAGGCTGGGCACGCGGATGGCAATGCCGACGCCGTTGCTACGGGCCGACCCGCTCGACCGGATCGAGCTCATCGCAGTGTTGGCCCCGTTGTCGGATCGAATCGAGCCGAGGACAGCCTCCAACTCGGATTGAAAGCTCAATATCGCCAGCTCGACGTCGGATCGCGTGCTAGCCAAGATCGCGGGTTCCGAGCACACGCCAGAGGGCCGCGCGTACGTGCCAGTCCACCCGTCCACCAACGAATTTGCAGCGTGGAGCGTGGCAGGAATTGGCCGGGGATCGTCCTGGAAGATGTCGTCGTCCGAGTCGAAGTACCGAGGACGAGTTCGCAAGATCGCCATCAACAAGGCGCCGCCAATTGCGCCACATGCGACGACGCCGCATACGATCGCTAGGATGGTGGACGTAGACATCCTGTTGGATGCAGTCGATGGCGCGAAAGGAGGCGTTGATTGCGGTTGCTCTGTCGGCTCCGTCCAGCTTGATGTCGATGACTTGGCATCGGAAGCTGCGTCCAACTCGTCGTCGTTGCCTGCCGAGTCACGTCCCGAATCGTAGCTCGGTGGGGGAGACACTGAAATGGTTTGGGACGGCGATGGAAGTGTCGTCGTTACAAGGACGGACGGGATGGAAGGCGAATGGGTTCCATCAAGAGATGGAGGTGGTGCCGAAGCTTCGGGTGGTGTGGGTGGTGCTCCTGTAGTTGACCAAGGCGGCGGGGTGGATGTGACGGTTGGCGAGCTGGTCGGCGGTCGTGGCGTTGGAGTCGTGGATATACGAGGTGGCGTGATCCTTGTGCTCATGATGGAATCCTTGGCGCTGGCAGCGCGGAAGTCGTCGACCGCTTTCCCACCGTCAGCGACGCATGTGCCGCATGCCACCAGGGCCAGTGCGACCGTGACAAGGGTCCCCCACCAGCGGTCACTCTGTGGATACCAGCAACGACGCATGGCGAATGCTCGACTGAGTTTCGAGTCCACATGTCGATCTCAGACCAGGCGACTGAAAAGTTGGTGCGACCAGTTCTGCAATACCACGTGCTGAGATGAGAATGCTGGCGAGGGTGTGAATCCGGTCGATCGCGCACGCTGCAGAGCATGACTGCGACGTGGAAACCTCGACAACGGCAACGGGGACCCTCCTGGACACAGGATCTCAAGAGACGGTCTACCACCACTTGTCTTACCTTCACTAGGGCGTCGTCAGCGGTGCTTGGCGGGGTTCACCTTCGCGCACATTGGTCCAATTTCAAATTTCAGTAGAAAACGCGCGAATGTCATCGAATAGTGGAGCCCCAGAGGTCACGACGAGACTCGCATTGCCGCCAACGTGTGCCAAACCATCGCGACGATGCGGTGCGTGGCTCTTCTGGATGGACCACCCACTCAGTGCGTCATCCGCGTGGTGGAATATGGCTCATGCACGTGGGATGCGGTCGAGATATGCGAAGCGGGGGCACCTGCGATCCGCCCAAGTGAGCAATCGCGTAAACGACGGACTTGCTTGCTGCCGCACTGGGTGGCCTCAGCGGCGAAGACACTTCGATGGACGAACCTTGTTCAAGCGAAGACGTGCTCGAGAATCAGGACATCACGGACCAACGGCGGAACCATAAACGTGTTGGCAGGTAAACGGTCCGTTGCCCCGTTTACTCGTTCCCGCACGAACGAGCGCGCGGGGTAGTTTGGCAATCGAAATGAAGTGGATCCTCGCGCTGGCTGCTCTGGCGGTAGCACAACGCCCGGCGTCCCATGCTCCAGGGAGCGTCGCGAATGCAACCACCATCCCACTCGACGCAGGGCGAGCGGCGCCTCGGCTGCGCGGCCGCCTCCCCACACCATCTCGTGCTCTGTCCATCGCCCCCGCTGCGACGATCCGCAGCAACGCAACCACCATCCCATCCATGCCCCCAACCACCTCGGTGGTTCCGCTGCTCCTTCCTACGACGGAACCGATGGCCACCGCACCCGTCGAGTCTGCTCCAACGACGACAGACCCGCCAGAGATTCAAGTGGCCGACGAAGCGGGCGACTTTCCTTGGAAGATTTTGAGCCAGCAACTCGAAGCGTCGATGCTGACGTAACAGCGACGACTCTTGACTGACTTTCATTCGAATATGACCTGTACACTCGCTGCTACCTAACCTCGTCCTCATGAGCTCCAACCGCCCTGATTTCCTGCGTCGTTGGCGCCGCCATTGTTGTACGGGCGGTACGACTGCTGGTGCTGGGGGTACCCTTGCTGCTGGTGGTGGTGGGGAGGAGGCTGCTGCTGCTGCTGATGGCCGCCCCACCCACCAAGTGGCTGTTGCTGTTGCGGGGGTTGGTTGTACGATCCCGCCCAGTTGCTGTAGTGCTGTTGTTGGCCATACACGGCAGGGTTGGGATTGCCCGGGACAGGGGGCGACGCAGTGTGTTCGCGAGAAGGGCCCACGGTATACGTCGGGTCGATGGGGCGTCCATTGCTCAGAGGCGCTTGGGGTTTGCCACCCCCTTGCTGAAGATGATGGGGGGGCACTTGCGGGTGCAGTTGGCCATAGCCCAAGTCGCCAAAGCCAGGGCCGTAGTCATTGGGATGGCCGAGGTGGGAAGGATCTTGGTAGCCCAGCGGGACACTACAACACCACATTGTCATCACGAGCACGTCGTAGAGAGGAAGGAGGACGAGCGTACTTGGGGGGATTGGAAAAGCCAGGGGCGCCGTCCATGCCGTACGGAATGTTGCCACGAGGGGGGAATTGACGGGGGCTGTATTGAGGGTACTGCACAGCGCCATGAATGCCCAAGAAGATCTCGACAGTCGACCGTACCTGGTGGTTTTGGTAATAGCCGTGGGGGTAGCCCTGTTGGGGGTAGTACTGCGGGTTGTAGTTGTACGGGTTGTAGGGCATTGCCATGCCGGGGGGCGGCGGCGGGGCGTACTGCGGGTGGTACGCATGAGGCAGCTGCTGGTATGGCGCCAGATGGGGCTGCTGCTGGTGGGCTCCTTGGTTCGGGTTGACGTTCGGCGCTGGACCCGACGTTTGAGGGTTGGACGAGCCCGCGCCCGCGTTGGTCGATGGCGCGTTGCCCTGGTTGATGCCTCCTGCGTTCGACTGGGTTTGGTTGCGGTTTGCATTCGTTTGCTTGCCAATGGCGCCTTGGACGTGTCCGCTAGCAGCTGACGACGGGGTGGTCGGCTGGGCGGTGGAAGTCGCTGCAGAAGGTTGCTGGGATCGGCCAGACATGCCCACCGAATATTGGTTGTACGTGCTCGGGTGATTCTGGTACAAGGGGCTGCTGGTGAACGCAGCCGAAGACGTGGGATGGTTCAACTTGGATTGACCTGCCGGGGTTCCTGCAGACGGAGCGTTGTATGGAGTTTGTTGGGCGGCGCGCGACGAGGCTGGGCCTTGCTGGCGCTTCGACACTTCTTCCGGCTTGGGAAGGGCCGCCGGGGACGGTGCGTTCGGGGCCGGGTTTTGAAACTTTCGCGGTGACGCGGCATGCTTGGGGCTTTCTGTCAAGCCGGGGGGCGCCGACGACGTGGCGCGCGGCGACTTTACGGCAGGCGCGGCTTGTTCATGGGATTTCTTGGGCGACCAGCTGGCAGTCGCAGGGGTCGTGGCCGTGTTGGCCCAGTTGGCTGAAGCAGTCGTCGTGTTGTCAATATCCATGGAGAAGCTGCCGAATTGAAGGGACAGCTCCGGGGCCGCGACATCACCCCATCGGCCCATGCTGAATTTATTCTGGCGCACTTCGGTCGCGGGAGCAGCATTGGTGGGGCTGGATGGGAACGACCTGTCGTGCCCTTTAGTCTGCGTAGGGCTCTTTGGGGACTTGGTCGCCTTGGGAGAAAACACGGCCGCCTTCGGAGATGATGCAGGATGCTGAAAGGACGGCGTCAGAATCGGACTCGATCGGGTCCAAGCAGGGGCTGCGGTGTCCCAGTCCGACGACGAAGAAGCCGCAGGTGTTTGGGCTTTTGAAGACTCGAGAGAGGCACCCCAGGACGCAATCGTGTCGGCAGGTTCCACCCGCGTCGTCGGTTCAGGCTTGTCGTCCTTTTTCTGGTTTGGCGATCGCGGCCATTTCTGTGCTTCGGTAGAGGAAGCCGCATTTGTGGCGGCAGGCCATGCTGTGGTCGAGGGCGTGGACGCAGGTGGGGTCGTATCTTCGAGCTTTGTGTCTTTGGAGACGTCCCATTGGGGAGTGGTTGCCTGCTTCTTCGGCGACTGCGGCATGGCCACTTGCGTTGCGGGTGGTTGTGTCTGCGTGGGAGGGGCTGCGGCTTTCTTGGGGCTCGCGGGTTTCGCCTGGTTCAGGATGTTTGGCTTCTTTGCCCATGCACCATGAAGGACAGGCGCCGGTGCTACTGGTGCACTCGTGTCGTGTTTTGGCGTCGCCGGTTGCTTGGTCTGTTTCGTTTCGGTTTTATGTGTGCCCGAGGCGGGAGTGTTGTCGCGTTCGTCTGCAGTTTGGTCAGTGGTATCCCCGGCAGCGTGTTCTTCCTGTCGAACCCAATTGTCTTGCCCGCGGCCTGTACCACGACCACCACCGCGGCCACCGCGCGATGCGTCGCGAGTTGTACCATCTCGTGTTGTGCCTCGGCCACCGGAGGCTGGGCCGCGAGTGTTACCACGGCCTCGACCGCCTGTCTGAAGCGTTGAATTGTCACCTCCATGTTGGTAGGTGTTCTTGTGCTGCTGTGTGGGTGTCGTCCACGACGTTTTGTCGTCGTTCTTCTTTTTCGGTTGCTTCTTGCTCACCGTGGCCCATTCGTCCTGGACCGCGCCGTGGTTTTCCCACAATTCGCTGACAGCCAGCTGTACTTTGCCGGCATCGCCCTTGGTTTGCTGAAGAATCAGCGCGATGCGTTCATCCGACGTCCCTGGTGGGCACGTTTCTCGGATTCTCGCGACCTAGACACCTTCCATTGGAACCTCACGCCACCGCCGCCACAAGACGAGGACAGCATGTACCTCTTTGGCATTGTTCGTGGATCTGGTTGCGCTCGACCGGGGCGACAGCGGCTTGGCCACGTCGTCGTTGAGTTGCTTGGCTTGCAGGCCCTTCTGCAGATTGTACTCCTTCCGACTACTCATCTTGATGTGTTGTGGCAGCAACTGCGTCCCTCAAAAAAGAGTGTTCGATTTTTATTTTCTCTCGCCTCAGTCTCTTGCTTTTTGTATTCTGATTTGGTCCAATTTATTTTATTTTGCTCGTGGCACACTTGACACCACACATTGGGGGAAAGAACGAGGACCGCTCGTGTTGGCCAATCAAAACCGCTCGTTTTTGGATGCACGTTCCATTTTGGACCGCGCGCGATCTTTTTTGCCGGCGCCGATCGTGGCGGCGGAGCGTACGCGCGACGGGATGGAGCACAACGATTCGCCTTTGCGATAGCCTTTCAACTATTTCTCGCCTCGAGATCCAGCGAGTGCGTCGAGAAACCTTGCTTCTTTCAAGAAAAACAAGCTGGAAACGGATAGAAACAAACTCCAAGCACCAAGCCGTACATGCAGTTGTGGCCCAAGCATGCTCATGCTCTCCTTATAATTCTCGGGGTGTCCTCTGACGTGGAAAGCGCAATGCGGTGAAAGGATCTTTCGCATCGTGACTGCGTCGTGTGCGGTGTACACATGGACTGTGGAACGTATGAACATTGAATGTCCGTCTAAGAGCTGGAGGTTTCTACAGACCACATCATAGGCATATCGTGCGAATACATTTGGCTCGTTATCTTTCAATCTCTGCCGCGTATGCAGCGCTTGATCGTAGGATTGGCGTGTGGGGAGATGTGAAATGCGTCTCGAGAGAATCGACGGACTATTTACCTACAATTCGCCACATTCGGTGATAATGACGGGTGTCCGGGGCTTGTTGTTTTGGCCCGTGGGGACGCTTTCGATTTTCCGCATCACGAGGAGCGATGCACTGTCGAGAAGCTTGCCGAACACGACGTGCTTGCCGTCGAGCCATTCACACGCCCCACATGTGATGAAGAATTGGCACCCGTTTGTGCCCGGGCCACTATTTGCCTACAGATTCATAAGTCTCAATGTGCCGCGTTTGAAGGAGGAGTACCATGGATACCAGACCAGCTTCCGTGTGTTTGTGGCGAAAGTTTTCGTCGGCGAACTTGTCGCCGTAGATGCTCATGCGACCCGTTCCGTCGCCCTACGAGATGCATGTCATTGTAATGCGCATAATGGGACAAAAGAACCTTGAGAAAGTCACCGCCTTGAACCATAAAGTCCTGGATGACGCGATGAAACGTGCTGCCCTTGTACCCGACAGGAAGTTCATTCTTGCGGTACTCGCCTGTGCAGAACTGCCGAAAGTTCTCGACTGTCTTCGGGCAGTCGTTCTTGAAGAGTTCCATGCGGATACGTCCAAGCGGTGCGCCGCCCAACGCTATGTCGAAGAACACGACGACGTTCCCTTTGCGCAGCGCTTCGGCGAGCAGCGGGTCCATTGCACCAAGCACGTTGTGGAAATTTCAGAATTCTCCTTTAATTAATGTATTCATTGTCAAAGGACATCACTCATACACTATTTTCAAGCAGCTGTTTCACACTATTTTTAATTGAAGTAGGATTCGTGTCCACGCATCACAGCTCGCTTCCACGTGCGATTTGTGCCGTCATGACATTCTTACGAGGAAGATTAAAGTCGAACCAACCTAGAGCCTCTATATCCCCCTGACGTGGCGGTGGCTACACCTCCATCGAGGTCCCAGTCCTACAAGTGACTGGCTTTGCGTCGATTCATGGACGATTCACTGCCGCAGACTTGTGCGACGTTGTGCTATTCTTTCATGATCGCAATTTCTTTCAACATCGTCGTATTTGACACTTGTTTTGACGTGCAGTATAAACTGCCCAGCATCAAATGTTGTCACGATGCGCCAGCAGGAAATGTGATCTCTGAGTCAATGGACGCGCCGTACAGTCGCGTCGTTGGCATCCCTTTCGACCTGTTATGCATTGCTCAACCAACATGGCCACGTCGTTCAAGTCCTGTAGCGTCGTGCGTTCATATGTTGGTGTCATGTCGTCATGCTCGCTTCCAAGTGGCGCTGCGCACGAACACCAAGGGATCCATGCCCTCCTGTGGTAGATTGCCCGATTGCCAGCACTCGCTGCACTTGGACGCGATGACGAGGTCCACGAGCTTGGTTGCCAAGGTGGTGCCGGTGCTTGGGGGATGGAGCATCTTCGAATGATTGGTTATATATTATCCAATAAAACATATCCTGCCACGAATATTGTCCAATAAACTCACTAGAATGCCATCAGCACTAGTGAACTCGAAGCAAGCTAGCACAATGGACGACAATCACATCGCCAAATCACGCATCCGCCCGCCGCCTTCGACACAAGCCTGGATACATTGGGATAATGGACACGTAGCCGCTACCGTTAGAGCTACACCGTACAATGTGTTCTGTGTGGCAGCTCTCGATCTTCGTAACTTGTCTTTGGTGTGAGATGCGATGATTTTCGCACCAAGGGGCCTTCTATATTTTGATTGGACGAAATGGCCGATGATGTGGACGAAGTGCAGATAATCCACTTCGAATTGTAGGCAATTGAAATGCATACATGATTGTTACGGAATGGACTTTAGTGTTCGTCATTTGCTACATAATTGCGCTTAAGTTTTGGAAATTCGATACCCTACATAAATCGAAGTCTAGCCTGGTAACGATGACCCGTCGCACGTGGATCCCACACGAGAGCCGAAACTTGGCTGTCGTTGGCCGAACCCACGGGCCGTCACACGCGACCAACGCAGAGCTGGTCCCACGTGTCTGCGCAAATGGCAGGCGCGGGAGAGATGTGCACGAAAGAGCAGCTCCATCGACCGCCTCTGGAATAGCCACTCATCATTTTCACGAACATCAACTACCTGATGCTTCTTGCACCACGCCTCCTGTCAAGAAAGACATCCCGACCAGCCGCGTCCGCGACGAAGACAACAACTCCGCCGCCATGTTTGTGCTGGACTCTGTCGAGATTTCCCTTCTCGACGTCGCTCGCTGCGTCCAAAGATGCAGAGCAAAAGCCTTCCCCCATGGACCAAATCCCTCCTGTCGTGATGCTGTCTGGTTGAGTGAATTTGCGCCATCGACAACCCCACTGGACGAAACAAACCCAGTATAACCTCCACAGGAAACTAATTTAATGTGCTCCCGGCCCGAGTTGGCTGACATTGCTGCTGGCATGACCAACACGATGTGCAGGACAAGCACATGCAGAAAGACGAGCGGCCCACAATACTGCAACATGGGAAACACTGAGCTCTGCACTACACACACTTTATGAATGTGACGATCGACCTTGTCCTTCCCTGCGGCACGCACGATAGGAAGAGTCTTATGCATTCCGTGAGCAGGGTCTTCCAAGAGCGTCAATGGCATGGATCAAGCATACTCGGCAAGAGCGGCCTCTCTGCTCCACTCAACTTCTTTCGCGCCAACCATGGTCACACGTGTCCAATTCAATGCTAAAGAAGTGATGTCAATCCGGCACAAACTGATATTTGACGACAGAATATTTCAATTGTTGTGGCGCTTCCAAGAATTGTATCTGCAGATTTCCCGTTGATGGGAAGGGGCTCAGTGCAGGCGACTGCTCGATCGACTTAAAGCCGGCCTCATCTCAATGAACATTATCTACCTCGTGTTAAATTGCAATGCAGCCTAAGCCTCGTACTCTCGTGGTAGCACTGCAACGAGACCGCTACATACAGAATTGGCGGCCATGGCGCCAACTCTGCGCAATAGTTTGCGACGCCGGAAGCTTGCATCGGGTCGGGTGTACGAGCTGACCGTCTCAGTGGCGCCGCGACCCTCCGGTGCTGATATCCATACAAATGTAAACATTTAAAATTGTGTGGCAGAAAAATCTTCGAAAACTGCACGAAGATTTTCATGAATGTTTACAAACGTCGAAAACTGTCGAATTTCTGATGTGCGTGTACGTTGTAGTGCATTATCCGGACATGGCAACCCACGTGATCGTCTCAATTCGAAAAGGTAGTCGAGCACCAGGATGGCTCTTCCACGACCGCAATGGGTCGTCGTTGGACCGTCAGCCGACGAGCGATACAAGCTATGCGACGCACTCGCTCTTCGCTATGGAATTGTACATGTAGCTGAGAGCGTGGCATCTTCTTCCGCCGACGAAAGCAATGGCGCCGACGTCGTGCTCCGTCGCCTCCACAACACGGATTGTGCAACCCAAGGATGGGTGTTGAACAGCGTTCCATCCACAATCGAAGAATGCAATGCATTCATCGCTGGAGGTATCGTCCCGCGCATTGTCTTTGACTTTTTTGAGGATGATGCATCGTCGACGTTGCGATCCCTTGTCGACGCCGCGCTTCAGGTATGGAAATCAGCCTCCGACACAACCACCACCATAAAGTGCGCCATTTCGTCCCCTGACTCGTCCGAAACGGTGGCAACATCCATTTACCGCGCTATCGACACTCGTACATGGACTCTTCATCTGCAGTCTGAAGTGCCAAGCCTCGCCGACGAGCATCCGGAGGCTGTGGCTGACCTTGTGCACGTGACTGCAACACTACCATTAACCGAACAAGCAGCGGCAATGAAATTGCTGTCGTCACTCTTGACTTTCAAAGGAATGGGAGCCCTCGCGCCAGACTGCGGCAGTAGCGTTGTGTCGCTCGTGAAGGTGTACACCGGCGTGTCCAAGGCAACGCAGGCGACGGTCGCGAGTCGCTTTCCTCCAGAAATCCTCGCCATGCTGCCGTTTGTTGAAACGCTGTCCCCGAATGCACTCATGACGATGGCCCCGCTAGCCCAAGAGATCTTCATCGATGCGTCGTCGGCCGGCGCCATCCAGCCAGCAACTGCTGTCAAAGTCCACACTGCGTTCTTCGAAGTGTTGTCCGAGAAGGAGCGGCGCCAACTCGTGCGAATGCTACCAGCAAAAGAGCAGGAGCTTGTCACGCATGTCGTGGAAACGACCGAAGGACTGTCACCCCGCGGCGTAGAGACCGTCGTGCACATGCTGCTGCAATCGACCAACCATTCCTTGCCATCCCAGCCATCCAAAAACCATTCCCCCCCGCAGCCATTCGTGGTTCCAGGTCCCAACGAGACCTCCGTGCATCAACCGCTTGCAGACCATACTTATGGTACCTCAGTCGCTGTGCTTCAGCTCATTGTGCTGATCTTTTCCCGACGTACAGGGGCCATCGACATACCCGACGCCCCTCCACCGCCGTCCCGCGACGCGGTCATGGCCAAACTCGCGCTGACGGCAACCAAAGCTCACGGCCGCCGTCTCATGCGGTGGGTGCGCAGTGCGCCCCGCAGTCTTCGCGTCCTGTCCTTTGTGTCGTCGGTGCTTCTCTTTGTGACCGCGTGCATCTCGATGGTGCTGGATGTAGTTGCCGGTCCCATGATTGTGGTCGTGATCAACATGTGGATCGTGGTCTTTTCCCTGATCATGGTCTCCGTCGAGGTCAAGATCACAGCTATTGAAAAGCACAACTCGATCGCGACGTACTTTCCTCTCGTTCGGACCGTGACTGGCCGCGGCGCGTTTTTGCTCTTCATCTCACTGATCGCCATGACCCTGGCTGTGAAAGCAACGTGGCAGAATGCGGTCCTCGGTGTCGCTGGCGTCGTCGCGGCCGGCATCAGTCTCTGGTCCATTGCACTCGGCAGCATCGCGAGCCACCAGTTCAACGCGCTCCGCAGTCGCATCGAGTCGCTTGCCCAGCTCAAGCAAGCGTTCGATCTCGCCGACGTCGACCGCGCCGGCGAACTCGATGTCGACGGACTCGGCCGGTTCTGTCTCGTTTGGGACTGGCCCATCGACGTCTACTTTCTCGAAGCCATCGTGCGCGACTTGGACGGACACAACTCGAACGCTGTGTCCTTGTCCGACTTGCAAGTGTGGTGGTCGCGCGCCCACCACGACACAACCATGGTGCGTTCACTTGTGCGATACTGTCGAGCGTCCTCATCGTCGCCGTTGTGCAGCCGCCTCTCCAGCAGAGCCCTCGACTATCCCGCTGCCACCGACCCACTTCGATCGTCAAGCTGTTCAGTGTCTTCACCGGCGTCCTCACCATGGTCACAGGCCTCGTCGGCAACATCGCATCGTTCCATCCTCGGTGCGTGCGCTGTCTTTGGCCGCTCCATGGCTAACGCCAACTCTATAGGACGGTCACAACGAGTGAAGTCGCAATGTACATGATGCTCGACTTGTGGGTGATCCTGTTTGGCATGATCGTGGTGGTCGTCGACGCGCCTCCGACGTGGTCACATGCCTTGAACGGGTGCAAGCGGATTGTTCTGGACAACTTTGCATCGTTCCTTGCCACTCCCGTCGGTCGAAGCTTCTTCTGCTTGTTCTTGAGCACGTTTGTCGTGTCGGTATACCAGAACGACTCGGTGTACTTGCCGATGGCGACCAGCGCGTGCCTCGCGCTCGTTTCGCTCGTTTACACGTGCGTGGGTCGCAGTGCCAAGAGGCAATTCTTCCTCCTTGCGAAAGCCGTCGACGGGACCAACTGCAGCCGCGTCTTTGCCGCCGCCGACAACGATGGCGACGGCGTGTGGAGCCTCGACGAGCTTGACGCGTTTTGCCGAGCCCAACACGTCGTGCTGAGTGCCGCGCAGTGGGAAGTTCTCGTTGCTGATCTCGACCAACACCACGTCGGCGCCATCACCCTCCACGACTTTACGACGTGGGTGCAGTTGCAGCACCGCAACATGTCCTAGCATCGATCGATCACGAACCATGGTAGTTCCAACTGAATCCCAACGCCAGAGTCTTGATTCATACCCGACGCCGTGTGCGCGCAGCGGTGAATCGATATGAGCCATTCATTTCCAGAACCACAACATGCCGCGAATGCATGGCTGCTGATGTCGGGAGAGAGGCTGCGGTGGTCGCACACTTGCGAATGGGTCCGGACAAGCCGACCCAGATTGGATGGTCGGGACGCCGTCGCAAGGGCGACCGATGGTTCGGATGTGTATGTATTCGTTATTTATGGGTCGCATGCTTCGTCTTCGCACAGGAATGTGAGCTGTTCGTTGGAATGGCTGACGAAATCAAAGCAGTCGTCGCACACACGAACGCGATCTTTGTACCCCTGGGACGGCAAAGCGATGCGGCGGCGCGAGTGTTCGGCGCAGAATGAAAAGCCACATTGACGGCAGTGGTGTCGTCGCAGGAAGAGGTGGAATTCGGTGTTGCATTCCTGTCCACACACACACCTGCATGAGACCATCACGTCCGCACCATCGACCGACGCTACCTTGCAATGTTTGTCTTTCTTCCACCGCGCCGCGTCCCGACCGATAATGGACGACGCAATGGAGAAGCTCGAGTCGCTTCGTTTGCGACCAGATGCACTCATCGCACGGAATTGTTGCGCGACGAGGTCATTCGCGGCCTGCACGTCTTCCGTTGGCGGCGCCAGGCCATGCTCACGCATCATGTCATCGTAGTTGTAGATCGCTTCGTCTTCTGGAATGCGCATGTCCGGGTCTCCAGATAGCGACACCGTCGCCGACGACCGCAGCACCTTCTCCGGCTTGTCCATGATCGCCAGAGATGGCCAGATGATCTCGTGATGAGGTTGGGCAAAACCGTTTATCCCATGCTGGGAAATACGACATTCTTCCTCTTGTATTGCATTGGATTCTCGGCGTGCTCACGACAATGGGCGGCGGCGCGAGTCGTCGGAAGTGGCGCCAGGAAGAAGAAGCGGACGCAAGCAGGTAGAGAGAAAAGAGAGTGTAACGTGTGTGTGGACGCAATCCCGATCCGGTTATCCGGGACGGCTCGTCCCCGTGTGCCGTCGAAAGTACGCTCCACGTCGACAAGGCCGAACGTGCCAGCAAATATGGTGAATTATCATGCGTCATAAATCTCGTCCTCGCCGAGATACATCAATTGCTCGTTGAAGTTGGTCACCCACTCGAAGCAATCGTCGCAGACGCGGACGGGGTCCTTGTACCCCTGCGACGGGAGCGCGACCCGCCGTGTCGAGTGCTCAAAGCAGAACGAGAATCCACAGTGGCGGCAGTGGTGGCGCCGCACAAACAGATTGAATTCACAATTGCATTCCTACACCACGAACGAGACACGTCAGGTTCAAGCTCTTGATCGCGCCATACCCTACCTTGCATCGCGAGTCCTTGCTCCACCGTGCGACGTCGCGCCCCGTTATGGACGTCACGGCGGAAAAGCTCGAGTCGCTGCGCCTTCGAGACGACGCACTCATCGCACGGAATCGCTGCTCCATGATGCTCTGGGCTTCTTGGACATCGTCGCTGACTGGCATGAGGATCCCATGCTCCCTCAGCATGTCTTCGTAGCTGTAATCTTCCTGGTTTTCAGGAATTGTCATCTCTGGGTCCAGCGACAACGTGCGGCTCCGTCCTTTGCTGATCGTTGGTCGGGGCGCGAGGGTCGGAATCCCGCCACCGTCGACAGGGGGCTTGGCCAGTGGCGGCTTGGACAGCACTTGGTTCACTTGGTTGTCAAACACGCTTCTCACGTTGTGGATGAGCTCTGAAAAGATGTCGACGGGCGGCGGCGGCGTCGGCGCCACAGAGTTGTGGCTATCCAACAACTCCTCGTGCATCTTGTCCGCCTGGAACTGCTGCGCCGCCTTCGAGTCCCGCCGGTAGTACTTGGTGTTGGCTGAAAACGTATTCGATCGGGACTTGCTGGTGACGATGCCAATGGGCGGTCGGCGAGTTCGCACCCGCGACGTTGGGTTCGTCTTGCCATTGAACCCCGTCGGTTCGCCGGCCTCGGTCACCACATCAAAGTCGCTGGAAGAACGGACCCGCTCCAGCGTTTGCCGCATCATGTCGAGCTCGAGCTGCAACTTCCGATTTGCTTCCTCGAGCGCCGCTTTTTCGCTCAGCTCCTTCTCGACGCGCTTGAGCTCTTCCTGGAGCTTCCGCTTGTCGTCTTGCAGCGCTTTGACGTTGCGAAATTCGGCGCGCAACGTGGCGAGCAACCGGCGGGCGTGCCGGCGCCGCCAGTGGCACTGCACAGCAACCACACGCTGTCGTGCCCGTGCAAACTGCCGCTTGGCCAAGAACCCGCGCACCGTTTTCTGCAGTTGAATCGCATGCACGTGTTCGCGACGCGCCTGGACCACACGTTTCGCCACCACTTGCCGGTGCTTCGACTGGAGCACGACGACCGCATGACGGAACGACGTAAACGCGTGGCGCGCAACGACTTGACGCGTCCACGTCTGCAGCACGATGGACGCCGCCGTTCGCTTGAGGTGCATGCGTTGGACGTACGCGACATGCACCCGGTACGCACACTGCGCGACGAGCGCCGCGCGCAGCAGTCGCCGATACGCTTTATAGCAGACAAACCCTCGAAACAGGCGCTGCGCTTGCACCGCCGAGTGCGAGTAGATGCGTCGTTTGAGTGTTTCCACGTCTTCGAACGCTTTCCGGCGGAAAAACACTTTGGTCGTCCCCAAGCTGACATGGGCATGGTGGGGGGTCGTGCCCGGCCTAATGCAAACACCAAAACGAGTCACTTCACCGTTCAAACGTCAAGACGACGTGTGGTTCGCACCTTTTGGCCAGCAGCGCATGGCAAACATGCAAGAATTCCCCCAGGACGGGGAACGAGTCGGCTTGAATCAAGTCGCGGATCGACGGCGTCGTCAATGGCGCCACGAGCCGGCCATACCCGACCCTGAACTCTTTGTGCGTCAACCGCACGGGAAACCCAGCGCGCGCGACCTTGACAGCTTCGAGGACGCCGCCACTTCGGAGCTGTTCGACCATCCGAACACGGTCAAACGTGTGGGGTCTGTTGGCGTCATTCGGCTTGAGACACCGGACGTAGTGCGGCGCGGTCTTTTCAATCGTGGCGACGAGTTCCGTGAGCTGGGCCTTGAATTGCTCGGCCACGTTGACCGACCCGATCGACGAGTGGAGCGCGGCCCGGCGCTTTGTCGTTGCCGTTTGTTTCGACGCGGCGTGATAAATATCGTGCAAAATAAAACTCTCCGAGTTCTGGAGCAACTCGACGAGCGAGTCGAGCAACGCGTCCTTGTTTTTGTCGAGAAATCCGTCGACCGAGTAATTGACCGGGCCGGCGTAGTGGAGGACTGTGAATTGCCCGTCCCGAACGTGAGCTTTCGACGCATGGAACATGGGGTGCGGGTCGTCGACAAACGCTTTGTAGTACTTGGCGGCCAGCGCCTTGTCGCTTCCCTGGGGCACGCGGCATTCTTGATCGAGCAACGAAAAGAGCCCGATCGGTTTCTTCTCAAACAATTCGATGCACGGGATGTTGTCCGGGAAAGCAATAAACTCCCACGCAATGTGCTCGGCCTCGTACAGCTTTTGCTCCGTCTTGAACACGTACGAGTTGAATTGTTGCTGGAGCGTCTCGTTTGCGTAGTTGATGCAGAGTTGCTCGAACGAGTTCATGGCCATGATTTCAAACCCAAAGATGTCGAGGAGCCCGATCAAGTGCATGCGGGCGCCGGCGTCTGCGTGGTCCGGTGGATGGATCGATCCATTGACCCGCCGCACGAGCCACTCAAACAGCGATCGGTATGCTTCCATCGCGAGCGCGTTGCGCGTGTGTCGTGCTTGCATCAAGCTCATCCCCATCACAAACACCTCGCCGTTCGTCGTGATGGAACGTTTCGTCAGGGCGGTCTGAAGATGCTTGGACGGCACTTGCAGCAACTTGGCGGCGGCACTCACGTGGGGCTCCGACGCCGACGCAATGAATGCGCTGCGCATGGCCGCGTCGTTTTCGTCCGTCGAGTCGAACGAGATGTTGCCCAAGTGCAGCACGCCCACGATGAGAGCGAGAACCTGCTCGACGTGCTCGGACGACATGCCTGTGTCCAGCATGGCTTGGATCGTGATCGGAAACTGGTCGATGTCGAGGACATTGTCGCGCCGAGCCATGCACCCGCTCTGGTTAAGAAAGTTATACGCGTCCAGGTCCAGGACGTGCCACTCGGTGGCCTTCTTCCGCAGGTCGAACGCTAGCGGGAGCGGCCGGAGCTTCTTGATCTGCTTCTTGGGCGGAAGATTCATCTGGAGGATCGTCGACACGAGCTCGTAGAAAATGTGAAAATTGCGCTCGTGCGGCGCCTGCGTGACCACGCGAACCTTTTCCAATAAATACGTGCGAATGTTGGCGCCGACGATCTTGGCATGTTGAAATCGCACTAGAGCAGCATGGTCACGATGGGCAGCGTCACTCAGGTTGAGGTCGCCACACGAAGAAAGGTGGAGAGGGAGGACCCAACGATGGCGACAATGCTGCACGACGTACCTTCGATGAACTTGCCAAATCGACTCGAGTTGTCGTTGCGCACAGTGCGCGCGTTCCCAAAGGCTTCAAGCACCGGGTTTGTCTGGAGTACTTGCGACTCGATGCTGTTCTCGGACGACGACTTGCCCCCGTTCGACATGTTGGCGAGGTAGCTCATGATGATCTTGGTCGCTTCCGTTTTGCCCGCACCGCTTTCCCCTGAAATTAAAATCGCTTGGTCGCGGTGGTGCCGTGTCATGTCCACGAACGCGCGCTTCCCAATGGTGTACAAATGTGGCGGCAACACGTGCTCGAAGAATTTGTTTTTTGGCGACGCGTCGTACTGTGCCATGACCGAGTCGTCGTACAAGGGCAGTGGCTTGAACGGGTTTATGGACAGCACAATGTCTCCGATCGTTGTGTATATGGTATCGTTGGCATACCGACTCGACAACGCTTGCAAAATCGACGCTTCGTGCAAATGCGGGAGCGTGATCAGGTCCTCATTCTTCTCTTCTTCCTCCAAACTATTCCGGAGCAACACGTTTGTCGTGATTCCGTCGCGGTCTTTGATCAGTGCAATGGTTTCAGTCGCCGCCTGATCGGGTCGCTTGACAATGAGTCGATCGGCATTGGTGTGTTCGACGACGGTCGCTGCCGTCCAAATGTCGTTTGGGTCGGCGATCCACACGCCTGCACCAGTCTCCATTGGTGGGTGGTGGCGGCCGTGATCGCACTACAGCGGTGAGATCCTACTACTCGTCGGCTCACCTGCCTGGGTGATGTGTCGCCGACTCGACGCAGCAGCGCAACACGTCCGCTGCCCTGTACGTCAATGATGTTGTGCGTTTTCACATCCTTGATGGGGAGAATTTTTTTCGAAAGCCATTTTCACTGGATTTCACTATAACAGGGTGTATTTTTGTATCCTATTTTTACCTGCCTATTGAACAAGTTACTGCCTGCAACGCACTTTTGAGGGGCGAAACGCACTTCATCGGGCCAATCCACCTGGTCGTGCCGCTACACCCAATTAAGTACGCCTGTCATGCGCTGTGTAACTGCCACGGCTCTATGCCTCCACGGTACCAACCGGGAAGTCGCGACGGGGCGGCAACGTCCCCTCCGGTCCCCTCCGTCGCATCATGGCGACGACAGTCGATGGCTTGACTTACTGCACATGCAAGCCGTCCGGCGGCCCTCTCTTCTGCCAACGTCAATGACGATACAAGAATGTATGTGCGTCAATTTGCACATGCCCCTCGCGGTACTGTACAACACTCTGCCGAAATCACTTTGCGTGGGTCCACCGCGTGCATTGACAAAGCAGGCGCATTTCCGTGCGCGTGGGTGGCGATAGGGACGTAGAACATTCCACGCGAAGCGGCTCAGCATGGATCGCCAACTCCGTCGGTCGCATCACGGGGGTGTCGACCTCACGGGTTGATGAGGCCAAAGGATTGGTGGCGAGACATTTGAGGCCAGTGAGTGTCTGGCGTGAGGAAGAGCTTTGAATTTTGAGGATGCGCCAGGCCAGCAAGTCGTGCTTGGTCGTCGTACTGTACAAACGGAACGTTCTCGGGCAAGACGGGGCGACGATGTCTGGTCCTACTTATGATTCAAATTTGGTTGAGCGGGGCAAACGTCATGCGATGGATGGGGCTCGCGCCGTGTGTGTGGATCGCAGCCATGTGCGCCCTGCACATCGCACAGATGAACGTCCGGTCTCGCTCGATGCAAATGGTACTGCACCTTGTGCCATATCCCTTGTGCTGTGCAAAGTGGTATGCTGGCCACGTTTTGTCGTACTCGACCATGAGGCGGTCTCGAGTAACCTTGCACAAAACACGTCAGGCAGCAAATAAAACACAATGGAACCACACCTTCGCAATGATGGATGCGGCAGCGATCGCATACACCTTGCTGTCGCCTTTTACGACGAACTCCCCCGAGATGCGCAGCGGTGGCATCTTGTTTCCATCGATCAAGGCGTAATCGGCGTGCACGTTCAACGCTTCGACAGACTTGGTCATGGATTCCAGCGTCGCCTAAAGACGCGCGTCATTTCGATGCAACGAGGGCTGCGTAGAAGCGGAAACCTGCAGGATATTGATCTCGTCGATGCGTGCAGGACAGTTGACCTACCAAACAGCAACAAACCTGACGCGCAGCGATGGAACGCGCCTCGTACATGAACTGCGTATTGCACGTCTTTATGTGTAGTCAATGCTTCGAACAACGCCTCGCGCTGAGTTTCGTTGAGCTGCTTGCTGTCGTAAATGCCTTCAATCTCGACATCCAACGGGATGTAGCAAGCAGCCGCGACGACAGGTCCAGCCAGGGGGCCCCGGCCAGCTTCATCGACACCGACTACGCATGAATATCCTTTCTTGTAGATGCGCTGCTCGAACTCTCGTGATAACGTGCCACGTTTGAATAACACCTCGCCAGCCCCACCAGATTCGTCTTTTATCTTGCCAGGTTTGGACTTGTGTTGAACTGCAGATGTATTCGCCATCTTAGTCAAAGCACGAGCTGCTGAGGTGGTCTTTTTCACCTTCTTCGATGCAGATGGAGTCTTGGAAGTTGCCATGGCACTCAGCAGCCGCGTCGAGCGGCGAAGCGGCACGGCCGCCGACGATCCTCTCATCATTCAAGGTGACTTGATTGGTCACGCAAAACGACAGCACACTAAATAATGGTGAGGGAGGATCGTCAAAATATATGCAAGTATATTCTGACCAATCCCGTTCGTTCATGCCCACCGCTCAAAATAGTGCTACTTGATATATTTCATCTTATTGTAGATCTTACACTATTTGACATCGGTAAAATCCACCCAATAGGCCACCATCCAGCAACCCGCCTCTTCACACAACCTTCTCGCATGCCGACGGATCTCACGGCGTCTGGACCGCCACCGCGGTCATTGGCATCTTCCTTGAACAAATTCGGACCGCTCAAGAAGTCGACAGTGCTCCTGTTACTCGAACATGAGCACGTAGTCGCCCAAGTATACAAAGTGGCTCAAGAACGTGGAGCCATTACAGATGGGGATGTACTGCTCGAGATCTCCAAGTACACCGGCACTCCAGAGCCACAATCGCGGTCAGTTCGGGTAGTTCAAGACCAGTCCAATACTATGAGCAAGTTTAATTCGCTAAAGACATCGACAAAGCTGCTCCTCTTCGACAACGAGCACGTACTAGCTGAAGTCTACGAACAAGCGGAGACGCGCGGGACCATCACAGACGAGCAAGTCTTGGCCATAGTTCGGCAGAGACCTGCCCCTCTGTCAGCGTTCCCATGACGTTTACTCAAGGTAGTTAACAACGATGTAGTATGCGTGTCTGTTGGTGGTTTGACGCGCGGAATGGCTTGATGGAACCAACCCTGCTGACCGTCTCCGTTGTGTCGCCAATAGGGCGCGATGGACCTGCTGATCATAGGGTGCTGGATATCATGTATTGGTCCTGAAAATGCCCGTCAAAAATTCAACAGCCTAGTAAATACATCTTCGCGCTCCGACTATCGAACCAGGGTCAGATCACGTCAAAAGCTGTCGCTGCCCAACGAGTTCGATCGCAGCGTGTACAGGTCGGCCTCGACACGACCGTTGACTCTGTTCTTCAGATGGTTAATGCGCCGATTGAGCTTGGACACATCGACTTGCCCGCCGCGCTCTTGCAGCGTGTAATGTGTGTGCGCCTTGCCCTTTCGAATGTTGTGGATCCTTCGCTTCATCAACGTTGCATCCACGTCGTCTAGCTTCATCGCGTCATCCTTGTCTTCGCCATGCATGAGCAAGCATTGAATGTTGGCGTGACCGTACACATCCGCCAAGTCGTACACAGTCTCGCCTTTGTAGTTGGTGTGGTGCGGGTTCGCACCTGACTCAATCAACGCTTCCACCACAGCAACGTGCCCGTGGATCGCGGCCATACCAAGGGGCGAGTTGCCTTCCTTCGTTGAGCCCAAGTTGACGTCGACGCCGCCGTCCAATAGGTAGTTGACCACGTGCAAGTCGCCTTGAATAGCAGAAATCAACAGTGGCGTGATAACTTTGACGATGCTTGGATCGCGCGTTACGGGCACGCGCTCAACGACTTGACTCACGGTGATGCCACCGACGCGGCAAAGTCCTGTGATGATTTGGATGTTACGTCCCTGCGTGGCCAAGTTGACCAATTCGAACAGAATCTGCACCGTGGCCGCTTCCGACAAGCTTGCAGCAAACACGAGCCATCCTTGAGTGACCAACTGCTCAAACACGTCGTACGATCCAGACATGCAAGCAGCCGACAAGATCGACATGTTCACTTCCTGCGTCGACGGTCGAATTCCTTTGTGCAGCAGGCGGTCCACGACTGAGGTATCCGACCGTTCCACGGCATCGAGTAGTTGATGGTACGGGTTCACATCTTGGCTTTGCGTCGACGAGGACGAAGATGAGCGGAAGCTGCCTTGCTGTTTGCCGCCATTGACGCTCCGTTGCAGGGCATGCATGCCGTACTCGCGATGAGATTGTTGGGGAATTCTCGGACGGCTCCTACAGGACAAGGAGGGGATAATATGCATAATTTTGAAACCCGCCCACACATCATAAACGACGAAGTTTCTTTACACAAACAGCATTTTATCGCCTTACATAATTCAATTTGTTTATTACTGCCATCGTGTGAAACTCATTCCTGCTGACTGTCGCTTATTTTTGACGACAAAAAGTGAATGCATTTCATTGGTTAAAATTGCCCCTTCCATCTCGTGGTGTTTGGCGCAAAGCAAAGCCATGACACGCACGAGCATCTCCACAACGCGACGGTACGTCGTCGAACCCCAGTTGGAAGTGCGAAGCGGTCGTCTTGACGGTTCCGTGTGGTAACTTGGCCGTGTCCGGGCTGTCTTGCATCTGGTAATAACTTCACACTTGGTTGCATCGCCCACTTCACGTTCCATGCGTCGGGCTGAACTCATGGCGGAAATTTTGAGTGAGGGCAAACGCACCGAAATTATATACATACATCGAAGTATGCGTTTTGATCTGGAGGCGTTCAAGCCGCGAATGGGGCTGCTTCCAGTCGACGGTGGCAGTAATTCAATGCAGAGAAAGAATTGGGTTGTCAAGTGGAAATCTTCCCCTCGTGCATCGAGGGGTTCGAAAATAATGAATCCAATTCTGTTCCACGTGGATTCGCTTGATGAAACAGAACGTTTTATCCGCGTGGCTCAGTTGCAATACTCTGGTGTCGTCTTTTGACAGGTGTCAACTAGGGGATGCTCACAACCATATCTCCATCCTGTGGCCCCGCCAATGTCGCGCCTTCTCGTTTGTATCGACATGGTGGGTGAAACGTCATACAAACATTGTATATCAAAATTCAATTGATATTTTTGGTGTAGAATGTGCTGGCAACGTAATGTAAGATCGTGTATTCTTGGATGTACTATGTGAGGGAGGATGGCGTTTTTCTTCAGATAATACCGTTAAATAAATGGGGATGTTAAACTTGGCCAAAGTATCTCGTTGAATTCTATTATGGTTCGTTACTCTCTTTGCCATTTTTGGATGAAGGGGTTTGATTGGTCAAAATTTCAAATTTCAACCAATCATTGTAGCTTCCTCCCCGCCACCCACCCCTGTCGCTCATTCTTCGATTTCCCGGGTCGCTCGCAGACGTATTCCCCTCGCGCGCCACGCTCGCTCTCCCTGATTGTCCTTGTGTGCTTTGTTGGAATCCCCTTCCTCTTGGCTCCCTAGGCACATATACACATAGACACTCTCTAAATTGTTTGTGAGCTGCTGTGCTGTCGACATTGGCCTGCTGCATCTTTCGTACGGAAGATATCGCATAACACATCTGCCATCACCACAAGACCAATCGTCATAACGCTGTTCGAGACTAAACAGCTTGAGATCACATGATGGCATTGGAAACAAAGATGACGCCAAACTTCTCCAATTTGTTGCAAACCCAACACCGTGGATACGCCCAAATGCTTCAAACATTCGATGGACGTGTGCAGGAGCACGAGGCGCTCACTGGGGTGCATCCCATAACCGGCAAGGTACGCTACCTACATCATGACACGATTCGAGATATGTTCCCGGCATTATTGAACCCGTGTATTTCATCGTCCTTCCCAAGTAAATATGGGATGGTGCTCGGAATCGCCACATTAACGACCTTTTGTCACGATCAGACTACCAACAAACGCAAGCGGGGCGAGACTTCGATGGTGGGCTCGCCCATGAACGCATTCGAAGAAACATTGATTGCATGTTGCGACGCCTCAAACGTCCTACGCGACAATGTCGCAACGGAGCGCTTCTTGCCACTCCTGAATCAAGCCAAGACGGTGTGTAAAATCGCATGCTCGCTCGCACATCGCTCATAGTTTCGTGTAGGAATCGGACCAAGCCAAGCTCTTGTGTGTCCTCGCCGCGACCGCGAAGGTGCCCGAACGCTTGAGTTCCGTGGACCAGTTTGAATCGTTTGGCGGTGTCAAGGTGGCGCGGCAGTGGCTGGACAAAGCCGTGTCGTACCGTCAAACGTCGCTGCTGCATTTCATTTTGGTGACGCTCAAGGAGCTTCCACTGCAGCTGTCAAGCATCACGGACGCCAAAATCAACGAGCCGGTAGTGCAACTCCGCAAAACTGCGACGAATGAGCACGTGAAGCGCGCTGCGCAGGACTTGCTCAAACACTGGAAGACTACGTTTACCGAAAAACCTGCGCCCATCGCGAAAGAGTCGACAAGCCCTCCATCGAAGGGCGGGGCTAAGGCGAAGGCTGCCGCGGGTGGCGGCGACCTCCTCGGCAAGCTCTTGCTGAAAAAGCAAGAGGCAAATAAAGTGATCAACAAACCAAAAGACTCGTTTGTGACGAAAATGGTACAAAACTCCCAGCAATTGAAAAAAGACGCCGCTGCGGCGGCGGCAGCGGCCCCCGCCGTGTCGTCGCCTGTCGCACTGCCCACGATCGCCCGCTTCGACCAAGTACAAAGCCAGCTGCCATCCGCGGCCCCCAGCAGCCGTCGCATCAAGTGGGCCGACGAACACGGCTCAGAACTGACCAAAATCAAGTTGATCGAGTCGTGGCGTGACCTTATCATGCACAACGAGAAGGATGACCCGTCAAGCCCCATGGTCACCGGCGGCACATTCAAAGATGCAAAACTGCGCGAACACGCCAACGAGAAATTTGCTCTTCAAAAGTACGTTCCTACGACGATTATGCCATTCGTAGCTGTGGTTCACGCGACGGTGCTCTGTAGCAAGCACAAGGAAGAGTCGTCGAGGAGCCGGGCGGTCGCAATACCGACAGTGTCATGGCGCACACCCCCGACATTGCAGCTCCCTGAAGGTGTTACACCCCGATTCACTGAAGAGACCAACGAAACCATGGCCCAGGTATGCCCGACGTTTAGGATGGTGTGCACGTTGATTGTCCAGTCCATACTGAATTCGTGTATTTACTGCTCTAGACAAACCGCACGCGAAAAGACATGGAGTGGATGATCCTGGGCGACGAAGTGCCGCCTCCGAACCCCCAAGAGTGGGTCCGTACGCCAGCAGAACTTTCACTTGGCCCCACCGCCACCATTCCTCTCTCAGACGTAAGTTGTTGCTGCGGTGGATGGCACGTTTTATCTCACGTGGATGTTTGTTGTGTAGCCCAACGAGATGCCCCAGCCGGTTGCTTCCCCCCCTTCGGTGGTGTCATCGATTCAAAGCGCCAACGAAGCGTCCCTTCTTCAGGCACTTGGGCCCCTAGAAAAGTCGACGCTGTCTCTCCTCTCGTCTGCCAGTGACGTCGCGATGACCCAAGTCTTCGCCGAAGCCCAACGCAATGGCCGTCGCATCTCGGACGCTCGGGTGGTGGACATTTTGAACCAATATCGACGAGGCACGCCACCGCTCTTATCCAACCCCCCACCGCACAATGCATCAAGACTACCCCCGAACGCATCGGCGCCGCCGCACGTGTCGGCTCCCAGCCAGTTGAATGCACCGCCTCTTTTGTCAAATCCTGGGTATGTGGGCGGTCGGGACGGCCCAAGTGGCCCACCACCTTATGGAGGCAATGGTGGAGGTGGCTACGGACCGCCATCTTCTTCCAACTCTGGAGGCGGGGGCTATGGACCCCCTGGTGCCAACAACAATGGATTCAATACCCCCAATTCCGGTGCGCCATTTAATGGCCCGTATAAGCCCCCGCCTTCCACTTACGGCGCCCCTCCCCCACAGTCGTTCAACGCCCCGAACAATGGCTACAACGCTCCCCATGGTGGCGGATACGGTGGATACCAAGATCGGGGGGCGCGAGATAGCGGCTACTTGGGCGAAGGCTATGGCTATGGTGCTGGCGGTGGTTACCCAGACGAACACCGGTACAGCGACCCGAGTCAACGGTACGCTGACGACGGTCCCCGATTCAACAAGCGCAATCCACACGAGAGTGGAATGCCAGACATGTCATACCCGTCGAAACGCCCTGCATTTGCCCTTCCTCATGGTGGCGGCGGTGGTCCTGGCAGCTACAAGTACAAGCAAGTGCCGTGCATCTACTTCAACTCCCCCGCTGGGTGCGGAAAGGGTGAGGCGTGTACATTTATCCACGATGAAGATGCCCGTGGGGCTGGGGGAGTGGCGGCGTCGAAATATGCCCCACGTGGTGGCCACGGTCCCCCTCCCTTTAAGGGGGGAGGTCCCAAGCCGAACTACTACGGAGGAGGCGGCGGCCGCGGCGGCGCGTTCCGATGAGTTGTCGAGTTTCCGTGCTATTTAACTGTCCAAATTTAGACTAGTGGATCCATTGCACGACATACGGAAACGCCGAAATTCAACAAAAACAAGAAAAATGATACATTTGTCGACTTGGTTTATACTCTGATTTGTATTGGAACGATGTTCACACTAATATAATATATTCAAGTTAACAACATTCCTTCGCCTCGCAGCCAACATTCCACATGCAAGAAAAAAGTCTGGCCAAAAATATTGCATTCTTTTCTCCAACCTCAGAGCAAGACTTAAATGGACTCGCACTTCAACAAGTCCATTCTTCTGCTTGGGCGAAAATCTCTTCAAGTACGAATTCCTTCTAAGTCCTGCACTAGCTTGGCGGAGGCCCTTCGAGGATTTTCAAATTTCCCCCTTTCTCCATGCAACATCTGTGGTGTAGAACGTTCCTGCACTGTTCTTGAGCGAATCCAACGCCGCGCATCGTTCCTTCTGACATAATATTGGCGCTGCCTCTACGGGCCAAATTCCCGTCTGTGGAGGTCTATCCATACCAGTCCGACGGAGCGGCTGTTGACGGGAGCAGGGCATGATGCTTACCCCAGCCGCATGATGGTGCCACCCCTGCATCAATGTCCTGGGGGAGATTGCGAGGTCGTCAAGCCCCCCCCCGTCGAATCCGTGCCGAGAGCCCTGAGTCTGATATTGTACTGGATGCGAAGGTGGGCCATTATTACTCACATGCGCCAGCCACCAACTCGACACCGCTAGTTTGAATTCGTTCCTGTCAACGCCAGCAAAGACGCCTCGAGGTCGGTGACGGCGCCACTTGCCATGATGAATCCAAGCCACATTAGCATGCGCCACCTCTTGTCGTTCCACGTGACCGATGACGAAGTTGCTCCCGAACACAGCACCGTGCTGGAGTGGTCGAAGCCGACGGTACTACCCCCGCTCGTCCATGCGATCTCAACCAGCCCGACACATTCGACGTCGTCGGACCACATGCCCCTCGATTCGATGCGACTTTCCACTAGCTTGAGGAATTCTTTTCGGAAAACGTGCATCGAGCCAGCATGCAGTCGCGTTCCGCGCTCCCGCGGTCTCTGCAAGCGCCACGGTGGGGGTAAACCTTGCTCTGTCCTCGGTTGTTCAAAAGAAGCGCACAATGGTGACTATTGCTTTGGCCACGGTGGCGGCAAATGCTGCAAAGTGGACAGTTGTCCCAATGCAGCTCAATCGCAAGGTCTGTGCAAGGCCCACGGTGGGGGCGCCAGGTGCAAGTACGAGAATTGCGATAAAAGCAGTCAGGGGGGCGGATATTGCCGCGCGCATGGCGGGGGCAAGCGGTGCCTAGAGCCTGGATGTACAAAAGGAGCTCAGCGGGGCAACCGCTGTGCCAAGCACGGGGGATGCCGCCTGTGCACTGTTCAAGGATGCACCCGCACTGACCGAGGCGGAGGAGTGTGCGAAACCCATCGCCCAGACAAGATCTGCATCGTCGACGGCTGCAAACGGCTCGGCAAGACACTCGGCATGTGCACAGTGCACAATCGATTAGCTCGTGTATCATAAACCTTGTGCTGGTTCCATCTTTACGTTTTGAGGCGTTGTGGGTCTCGACAGTGAGCTGCTGGGCGATGCGCGATGATGATCAAAGGAACGACCAAGCTGTGCCAGCGAGACGACGACTATGCCCCGCACCACCGCTACACGGCAATACCATTGCGCATGAGTGACGACGACAGCAACGGCTACACATGCCCAACAGTTCTTTCTCTCTGCGATGGGCTCGTGCCAGCATGTTCGTGATTGTTGTGTGAACACATCGGCGACAAATTCGATATGGCGAGTCTGCCTGAAGAGCATGTTGTCGCTAGAGGACTACACAACTGGCGACGGCAGTGCCAATGTCCAGCCAAAGCAACTAGAGAATTCGCCCTCCCAATAACGCAACGTCACGGCGACACGGGAGAACCCCGGAAACGGCTCGCTTCGTGGTACATCCACCTCGAGTCCGTCGAAAGTTGTGGTCGCGACAGTCGGACAAGCAGCAATGTTGGGAGCGCCAACGACGAAGAAAGTGATGACGTCAGGTATCTGCCATCTCATGGCATCAAACGTGCCAGAGCAGACAAACTCTTGCCCCCAGGAGCAGTCGATGCGACCACGTGTCATCGGGGGCACGGGCGCCACTTGGCTCCAGGCCGCTGGCACGAAGTGATGCAGCATGCCCTCGTTTTGACGGCGTTTGTTACCTCGGCGCACGCAAGGACGACAAGTTGTAATGGGCAGGTACGTCGAAGGAGCACCGGAGCTGCCGCAGGTGAGGGTTGTCACGTGGACATCCACAAGACACGTCGCACCTGACAGCCGTCGCAGCGAGCAAAGACACCAACTTGTGGCAGCTTAATGTTCGGTCGTCGCCTCCAATGCACGCTTGAGTTGCATGAGTTCCAACTTGAAATACCGGCGAAGTACCAATCCTTGAACGGGCAACGGAACGTCAAATGTGCTTGGGCTGTCTCCTTCACCAAGAAATAGTTGCGGGGTGGGGATTTCGTCGGTGTAGTCGCCAGGCGCGGCGTACATATTCGCATTGTTGGCACCACATTCCACCGCCGCTGATTATTCCACCGCACTCCATTCAACATGCTGCAGTCGCATCAAAGCGATCGCGTTGGTGTGGACGTAGATATCGGCGATAGTGCGATCCAAAGCGTGCCACACGGTGCGGCGCTGTTGCTGCCATGTGGAGATGATTTGAACGCACAAAGCTGTCGTGGGTCGCCCCTTCGACACGACTTGCCCAACATACAGGACGAGCACGAGAAAAGCATGGGGAGGGCATGCTGCTCTTCATCTCGATCAAAGATAACCATGCAATATCCAAAGACATCACGATATCAACTGGGGAATTATTGCCCTCCCCCCACCGTCCATCCACGACCAGTCGGCGACTTCTCACAGCTTCATATTGCACGGTGGGCACATGCCATGGCACTCCACCGCTCGTTGTCCGCATCCCGTTTTTGTGACTGACACACCGCGACGAGAATGTGGCGCGTACTACGTCCGCATTGCACGAAAACGCTGTACACGACGGCTGTGTTTTGTCATTCTCCCCATTGCACCCCAACTGGCAAAAGGCAGGTTGGACCCCACAAATTCCATCTCCACAACCTTCCACTGCGCCACCACGACAGGCAGCAAGCGGCGTCGCAGCGGCAGCATTTGCTCGCAACAAGATCCGATTGGCATGGCCATCATGCAAGGCTCGACTGGTGTGCGGTTTTCGCAACGTCCGTCCATCTTTCGTCCCGGTCCAACTTCGAACTGGTTTCCTGGGCGTCGCGGTGCACGCCGCCCTTGTCTTCTTTGGGTCGATTCGTGGTTGGCAGAGTGGAAGCGTTCATGACGACCGTAAGCAATGGTTCGATGTGGACACCAGAACATTACATCCACCTGGCAGGGCGCACGTGTCGTTTTTTCGCTGGCATGTCGCGTCCTCCAGTTTAATCCCTCCAAAAATGCATCCACGCGCCTTGCTGGCTGGCCTCGAGCTCTCCTTCGCATAGAACCAGGCATCCCGAGGCGGCTTCCGATTCCACGTGACCCGCTTCACTTCGTACGTTCGAACTTGTGTCTCGCTCGAGCCGCTCGTCCCGACGCCAGTGTGCAACACGGCGATGTCTGTCGCGTAAGCCTTTCCAGTTCGCACATCTCTCGATGGACACCATCTGGACCACCACGGACGTAGACCGTGGGGCTGCCTCCGCGGCGGCTCTGGGACATGATGTAGAGCCCAAAACCCAATGGGGACGCAATTTATGTGACAGCGCTCGCCTCTCGACGCGTGATAACTCTGAGAGGGGGGCGTTCGTGCAAGCCCACGCAGCGATATGGCGTACGGCACGAGGTGTTCGCGGGAGTTGCTTGGCGCCGGCACTCTTTCATACGGTGGATAGCACGGCTTGAGCAATCTGGCAGCGCCCTTCCAACGGACGCTCGCCACGAAGCCGACACGAAAGATGTGTGTCGACGTAGCTGGCTGGTACATGGGATCCATGGTAGCACATATGGTGGTCAATGTAATGCCATCTGAAGCACGGGGGGCTGCGCAAGAGTCCGTCATAGTTCAAAGTACTCGGTTGTGCCAACGTCCATCATGATCTCCACTACTGCGTTGGACCACATCGAGCCGATCCCGTTCTCGTCGATGCCGTTCCCTCTCTTGGACGAAGCGGACCTGGCCGTCTTTCACGACATGGACTCGTTTGAATTTGACTTGAAAACCGAGGCGACGTCCACCCGCACCGCCAATTTGAACGAACTTGGCCAACAAGGCCCCGGCCCCCTCCGCACAACCGTGCAATCGTCTGGCAGGAAACTGTGCAACATGGACGGCTGCAGCCGCGTCGTTCGGTCCCGTGGGTTCTGTAAAAAGCACGGCGGCGGCAAGCCGTGTGCCATCCCCGACTGCATCAAGGAAGCGCACAACAGCAACTATTGCATTGGCCATGGAGGCGGCAAGTGCTGCAAAGTCGACCAGTGCGCCAATGCCGCGCAATCGCAAGGTCTTTGTAAGGCGCACGGTGGCGGCGCGCGGTGTAAATTCAATGGCTGTGACAAGAGCAGCCAAGGAGGTGGGTTTTGCCGTACTCACGGGGGGGGCAAGCGGTGCTCGGAGCCGGGATGCACCAAGGGCGCCCAGAGGCGGGACCGATGTGCCAAGCATGGTGGCTGCCGCGAGTGCTCGGTGGCAGGCTGTGCCCGGACGGACCGTGGCGGAGGCCTCTGCGAAGTCCATCGACAGGACATGACGTGCACTGTCAAAGGCTGCAAACGCCTTGGAAAGACCATGGGCGTGTGCACTGTGCATGCACGGCAGGCACTAGTCGGCGGCGGTCTGTTGACGCAACGATTCACTCCTATTTAACACAAACTTCGTTTGCCCTCCTGTTCACCATCGTGTTCCCCGTGGGCGTAGTCTTTGCCACTAGTGATGTTGGCACGCACGCTGGAGAATTGCCAACCTGACAAGGACGGAGCTCCACCTGAGCAGTACACTCTCCAACAGTCGCTACGACTACCGATGACATCTGCTTCGTTCAACTTAAGCGGCGTTGACTAGTAATCCATCCCGGTGACACGTGCAAGCTCAAACGGCAGGTCCCCCGTAGTATGGACCACCCACCCCGCTGCGATATGTAACTTTTCGCATCCTCTCCGCAGATCGCTGCGACCGTCCACATGAACCCACTAGTATATTCCCCCAGATGGGGGATTTTGCACATGTCCCGACGACCATCGTGCCCTCACTTCTACATGTGGCAGAATTCTTCCACATGATCGCGGTAAAACACGCGTGGATCGGTTGTCGAGACATTTCATCCAGCTCTTTCCAACGTTTGGGGATCAAGTCGGCAGCCATTGTGCTATTTCATTTACGCCATTCCTCCGTCATGCACGCTTCGTCCACGGAACCACTGCCGTACGCTGCCACGTCGACCCCGACGGCGATCGCGTCGCTGCTCGACGACGTCGACCTGTTTGGCTTGCACGGCCTCGAGCCCCTCAGCGCCGTCACACTCGATCAAGTGCTGTCGGAAGTCGACATGACGGCGTCCGACCTGCTCAAGTTTACCTATTCCGAACCATTCAAGCCAAAGTTGGACTGCCACGATAAAACCCTCCCTCTTGTCCAGCTCACGGCGTACGACTCGTCGGGGGCCCAAGTCAAATTTGAAACCCTCTCGACTCGGTCCACCACCTCGGCCGACTCTTGGAGCTCCCGACGCAAATTGTGTTCGACGGAAGGGTGCGGGCGCGTCGTGCGATCGCGGGGCTATTGCAAGAAACATGGCGGTGGCAAGCCATGCATGATGGAAGGTTGTCGAAAGGAAGCCCAAAACGGAAGCTTTTGTATCGGCCACGGCGGGGGCAAGTGCTGCAAAGTCGACGACTGTGCCAATGCCGCGCAGTCCCAAGGACTGTGTAAAGCACACGGTGGAGGCGCCCGCTGCAAACACTACGGGTGCAAGAAGAGCAGCCAAGGGGGCGGCTTTTGCCGAGCTCATGGAGGTGGGAAACGATGCATGGAGCCCGGATGTACCAAAGGGGCCCAGCGGGGAGATCGTTGTGCCAAACATGGGGGGTGCAGATCGTGCTCTGTTCAGGGGTGCGGTCGCACGGACCGTGGGGGCGGGCTTTGCGAAATCCACCGACAGGACATGACATGCAGCGTCGACGGGTGTAAACGCCTTGGGAAGACGCTCGGAATGTGCACAGTGCATGTTCGCCAAGTTCGCAACTCGACGGGAGCCCCATAGCCATGTATTTGTGCAAAAACTTCAGTTCTTATTTATCGTCCTCGCGAGTATTCCAGTTTTGTTAGATATGTTTTCGACGACGCTGGCGCGAGTCCACTTGGTTCAGCTGATCGGATTGCGCCACGTACAGCTGTACGTTTGGCGGCAAAGGGGGTTCGTACATCTGACCTGCCCGGCTTCTACTCGAACTGTAAAACACTCCATGTTGCTGGACTACACTGTAGCTGGTGGGGCACTGACCGGTTTGGCCATGAATGCCTTGATCGTTGCGACATTGACAGGGTCGTTATCTGAACTGAAATGGAAGCGTTCATGTCATCATGATGCATGACGTCTTGGACCTGCGTAGCCATCGCCCTCGTGCAAACGCCTCCGATGCAATCGAACGAGGTAACATGGACGACGAGGTGGAGCAAGATCGTTGACCGCAGCAGTAATATCTTGTTGTGCGCATCGACCCAATTCACTCTGACAAGGCGCATGCCGTGTGAAGGATGCCTCACGCGGCCATGGCTGGTCATGCAACTGGGCTCGTTCACTCTCCATTGCCAAATCCCAAGCGATTGTTCAATGTAGCGATGTTAATCAGGACGTGGAAGCGCTGCATGCTCGTGTGTATGGGCCATGCCATCCCTGCCGCCGACATCTTGCCGCGTCAGGCGACATGGGACATGGGCACACAGCTTCAAGTTGGGGCCAACCGGATATCCGGATACGGAAGCTTGGGGAATCAAATATCGATGGGATAGCAAAGACATCAAGTTTGAGAGGTTAACGCCCTCGTGACGCAGAGCGGCGGATGCTTCGCGGTGTTGTGGCGACACTTCATGATGAACAACAACGACGAGCTTGACGGCGCAGAGGCCGCCACCACCACATCAGATTTCCAACAGCCGGAGGCCAAAGGACAATGTGCTGCGACCGCCAAGTCCTGGACGATCCATGACTTCGACATTGGACGCTCCCTTGGACGTGGCAAGTTTGGTACGACGAACGCGAGTCGACCTCTCGATGGCGTGAATCCTGATGGGACGCGTAGGACAAGTGTACTTGGCTCGAGAAAAGGCTTCCAGGCGCATCCTTGCGATCAAGACTCTCGAGAAAGAGCAACTTCGAGTACGTGCAGCGAGTCACCAAGTACAAGTGATGATGTCGTGGACAGGTGGGCGGCGTCGTGCAGCAGTTGCGGCGGGAGGTTGAAATTCATTCGCGCATTCGCCATAAGAACATTCTACCTCTCTACGCTACGTTCCAGGATGATGCCAGAGGTAGCACGACCCTCTTCTCGACCTCGTTCTGATCGCGCCGTCCAGTGTACCTCGTGTTGCGGTATGCCCCTCGCGGCGACCTCTTCACAGCCTTGCACAATGCTCCGAGCGGCCGGTGCTCCCTTCGTCGTCTGGCGATCGCTTCATTGGTCTGTCGTAGGTTTGACGAGCGGTCGTCTGCCAGGATCATCCAGCAGCTCATCGAGTAGGGTTTCCAGTGGCTTGCATCCTGGTGCCCCTGACGCTGTAACATTGCACAGAGCCATCATGACGTGCCACCAACACAACGTGGTCCATCGAGACATCAAGCCAGAGAACATCCTCCTCGACAACGACGTACCGTTCACCTCTTGTCGAGCCCACTCGATCATGCCAAATATGGTGTAGAACGAAATTCTCTTGGCCGACTTTGGGTGGTCCGCTGCCAACGTGAATGCAACGTACGTTCGGGTTCCGCTGCGCCGTTCCTGCCAAGCCATCACGCCGTCATGCCGCTGCTTCTAACGTCTTTTCGCCATGCTTGTAGCAACCGCCGCCAAACCCTGTGCGGAACTCTGGACTACCTATCCCCCGAAATGCTGAATGTACCGTGCTGAGCTTCGCATGCTGCATCAGTCGAGTCCTCCGCTCATGTGCGTGGATTCATTCCAGGGGTGCACATACGACGCATCGGTTGACATTTGGGCGATTGGCGTTCTGCTCTTTGAGCTGCTCGTGGGGAAGCCTGCGTTTGAAGCGCAGGTGGGTGGGCGTCTGCTGTGGTGGCACACTTCTTGCTCACGTGGGCTCGTGCAGGATCAGTCGAAAACGTCCGACTTGATTGTGAATGCAAGGTTTCGTGTGCCGCTGTTTGTGTCGGAAGGCGCGCGCGACCTCATCAAACGGGTGCGTTGTCGCCAGCATGCTGTCGTGGTACGAGCTCATGGCGAATGCGCAGTTCTTGAGGAAAGACCCTGCCTCGCGCATCACGTTGCAGGAAGCTTTGCGGCACCCGTGGCTCGTTCGAAATTGCCAAGTCAACGTGCCAAAACCCACAAGTCGCTCGTCGGCTTTGCGTGGAGCAACGGCGTCGCGTCCGTCCAGTGGATCCACGGGCTCCCGCCGAACGACTTGACTTGGCCAGCTAACCAGGAATGCACGTATTCCCATGTGCTCATCCAGTCGATCCCGACCAATTCGGTGAGAACGGGAGTGCGCAGGTCGCTATCTACGACCGACGCGACTCCAACACTGCCGCATCGTCCATTGGAGCGGAGAGGCATACACCAGTCACTCGTGGAGACGTGTAGCATGCTTGACAACATGGGAAGTCGACATTGGTTGGTGCTTCTCTGCCAAGCGCACGAACGGCGCAACCTGTCCAGGCGATTCCATCTGTGCCGTCGCATCATCATGCGTTTGGCTTTACGACGGCGGGCAGTTCGCTTCGTTTGGATGGAATACGATACGAGAGAATCGCGATGCACATCATGGCCAGGGTCGACGATGGAAAAGGGCCGAGTCCTGATGCGGACCCACTTGGCAAAACGGTTGCTGGCAGCGCCGCGTTGGCTCTGTCATGCAGCACTCAAGACGATGTATTACGTGCCGACGTCTCTGCGCTACTTGTACTTCCAGCTGAGGTTGATGCCGCGTTCTCGAAAGTATCGCAGGACGAGGCGGTAAACGCCAATGGGGAACAAAACGCAGCCCGCCACGACCGCGTAAAACAAGTAATCGACGTCTTGCAAGTACGAGTTCAGGTTCATCCCGAACGTGCCAACAACAAAGGTCGGCACCGTGATCAGCGTCGTCCACAGCGTCAATGTCAGATTCACCATGAGCAAGTAGTTTCGCTTGGCGTCGAGCTTGAGCATGGCGATCGTGCGGGTGTTTTGTAGGTTCTCCAGCATCAGCGCTATCTGCGTTTGCGTGTCGTAAATGTCCTGCAAAGTTTCCCCCAGAGCAGCTCGTTGTCAACGCCAGCCATCGTCGCAAACGACGTGTCGTACCTGGAGGTAGACTTCGATCAGCGATTCCAAGTCCTCCGAATCAAAGCTAAACAAGTCGTGCGCGAGCCACGGATCACGATAGAGCTACGTCAGCATGAAAACGACGGACGAGGCGTGGCAACTCCACAAGCATCAACCGAGGGCAGTCGTTGTACCTTGGTCAAGTGCATCATGCGCAGGTCTTCTTCATTTTCCAATATGTCGACAAACGCTTTGCGCATCCCGGTGACCTACACCACGGTGGTCGTTGAGAACGACATGTTTTGCACGTTTCTGCATTTGTCGGCGATCGTATGCATCCTCCGGCCAGCGTACCCGCGTGTTGAGCTCGTCCATGGTGTTCTTGGTCGATCGCAGCCGCTCCAACTCGCCCGCCAACGTCGCATCCTGTGATATCTTCTCCACGGCCGCCTTCGCGACGGGCAGAACCCGCGCCGCGTCCTTTGCCAACGCGCTGCAAGTAGATGTGGAGCTCGTCCACCCCATGCACGATTGATCCCAAGTCTTACGTGCACAACGTGGCCAAGATCGCCTCCAGCGCCCTATCGTTTATCCACGGCATGGGCTCCACGAGGATTGCGACCACATGATGCGCTGGTTTTCGCGTACGTGAACTCAAAGCCGTGCAATGCGCACTCGTCGAGATGGTCCTTGAAGTTCGCCTCCAGTTCGGGAATGAGATCGTTGGCACCATCTTGCAAGAACACGACGCATGCGTCGCGAGTGATCACGGCACGAATAGGGTCTATCGCACCACCATCCTCAAGTCACGCCATTTCGAGACATGCTGCACGACCCCACGCGATGTTGCATGCAGGGAGAGGCGAATAAGGGCAAAGCTATGCCTTGTTGGCCCACAGACGGACCTGCATTGACGAGGATGCCTTGACAGCGGACGGTAATGCTGGGTTTGTTGCCGATGGCAAATGCATTGTCAAGTTTTCGAATGTCCCGCATGTGGACATTCTACAGCACACGTAATTTTACGTTTTCGAGCAATCCCAACGCACCGGAATCGACACGATCCCTTTGTCCGTGCGCGACGGCTGCGGCGTGGCTGGAAGTTCCGGTACGTGGACCTGTATCGACATATCGTCTCAGTTGAGAGCGCGAGAGATGCGACAGAATACATGCAGTTACCATGGTGGCCGCGGCATCTTGCACCATTTTCAACGCTTCATGGCGGGTCATGGCTTGGTACGTAGCATTCCCAGTGGTGTCAAAGCGCAGTGTCTACGTGCTGAGGTGAGTTGTCCACAGCTGCTCCTTGCTGACGAGGTTGAGAATGTGCTGACCAAGGGCTTGCCACCAAGCATGGGGATTCCATGTTCGAGCTTTTCTTTTCGGGGAATGGACTTCCGAGGTGGCGGGGGAAAGGAAGAGCTGTCTCCTGATGGAGGTCCGCCAACGACTTGATTGGCTTCCGCCAGAAGCAGATCGGGGTCAGCTGTAGCGTCATCCAAGGCTGGGAGAAGCTCGAGGGGACGCCTTTCATCCTTGATGGAAAATTTTGAAACTTTTAGTGGTCCAACGATCTGGTCTCGATGGAAAAACGGGTTCAGTACGGCGCGCAGTCGAGGTGGCCAGGAGCTGGTCCAGTCGAGCCAACCGTCGCTTGATGTCTTGTGTGACTTGAGGTACCAATGTCGGCTACCGATCGAATTGACACTCTCACAAGTCATCCGCGAGATGACTGAGCTCGATGGCGCAAGAAGCACCTTCGCCCGAATCAGGTCGGAGAATGCGACCACCGACTGCATTCGATAGGGACGCTGTGCCAATAGAGATGAGCCACACGCCAATGCAATGCGTGCCTTCGACACTTGAAGAAGCGGTGATGCGTGCTGAAATGCACCCCTGTGAGTCAAGAACGCTGCCGTTGGCCGCATCGACATCGTTGCCGATCGCATCATGGCAAATCTTGTGAATGCGTTGACTCGAAACAGAACATGCACATTCTAGCCAATCGAAACGCATGAAACGAGAATAATTTGGCCAATCAACCTTTGTTGTGAAGTGAAAACTCAACGAAGCAGTTTTGAGGTTGACAAAATGAGTTTGATGTTTTGAGTTTGAAGGGCAAATTCAACCAGTTGCGCGCGCGCATGTCGGACCGGACAATGGCGAGCGCCGACGACTTCGCAATGAACGAAGATGACATGGAGTGCATTGCGCGGCTACTGCCGATGGATGATGTCAGTAGTGCGTACCCCCTCGTGGACCTCGTTGACGACGACTCGACTTCCGTAACGCGTCTTCTGTGCTTGAATGAATTCCTGCCATCATTGTGGTGTTTGGCTAGACGTCGACGTCGCAGAGCTGTACACTGGTACGTAAAATTTGCTTCTTCTATAAGGGGCGATGAACCTATAATGCTCGGCAGACATGCGCACCACAACCACATACCCGATTTGTCCCAAGTCTCTCGTCGCAACGCAGCCTCCATGCGATGGAGAGTGCAGAGTTCGCGCGGCGACATCATGATGAGTCGCAACGATACTACTTCCTGCTTTACTTGAGACAGCGTGTGGTGGCAGTAGCCCTTCAATCGGCAACCATGGCCCTGCCCCCTCAACCACGCCGGGTGTTGTGTCAGCGTGAAATCAGGGTGGCTGCGCTGGTGTACCTGTTTCAATGCTTTCGCCCGGGCGACGTCATTGCTTCCCTTGGTGTATTCGCCCCCTGTCACTCCGTGACGCACTCAGTATATCTCCGACGCATCAAGACATTCCCCGACTTGTGGTGATTCCCGCAGCCCCATCGTGCTCTGTAAAGCCGTTGCATGGCCTAGGGATGCCAAGTCGAAAGTGTTTTCATCCTTGAGCCACGCCTTGGTCAACGTCGAGTTTGACATGGGGACCAACTCTGTCAGAGCACAGTACAAGTTTTACCCTTCACTGAACTCGACATAGATTTCGTACAACGTGATCACGCACGTCGCACTGAAAAGTCGAGCAGAGCCTGGGGCGCTGGTTCGACCGGGTTGGCTGCAAGTCTATCTGCAGCCTCGTCGAGTGTATCGATGGCAAGAGTCGTTCAAGTGCACGTACGTGGGATACCAAATTGGTCCCATGTCCATCTCCGTGACCTCCATCGACGCTGTGGCAGCCCTTACCTCCTGAGAGTCCACACCATGGTGGCATGAATTGTGTGTGTCGCTGTATCGGCAAGAGGCTTCAACCAGTTCTGTCTGTCCACGTGCCTCCTCCATAGTGCGAACGTTTACTTTGTGTTGCGACTGGTGGTCATTGTTGAGGGTCGTGCGACCTTTCCACCTCCCCCACACAGCGATGCGCCAAACGGTGCGGTCAAGCCGATGCCAGCGGCGCCTCCTTACAGCCGAGGAACGACATAAAACACTGGGGAGTTGGACGACGTTACAAAATCTCATAAGAAATAGCGTCTTAGCCCATGATTGGCCAAATATGCACACCTTTATGCAGGATCATCTGATTGGGTCAAGATAGGTCTCAAATTATGATTGGCCGAATATGCCCCTATACTTGGAATTCTCTGATTGGTCGATTGGAGACACTGTCGCATGACGAACTTGGAAGCACCAAGCTCAGTGCATGCAAGGGCTCAGCGTTGTGGGGCGCTTGGAGAAAATTTATTGTGTCATAAGGCGATCGAAAGAAAAGGATCGAGCAAATCATCATGGCTGTGAGTCCATCGGTGTTTGTATGCAGTGTAAAGAAGACATTCAACCCGGCCATTCGCCCAATTTTCGAGTACTGTAGCGAGGGCAATTACGTTCTTGATTAAAAATGTATGAATGAATGTATAGACATCCACGATTTCTACATACCAAACGTGTTGCATTGTCGATGGAAATGTCCCCATGCGAATCTTCCACGTCCCGTCGCAACGAGCGACTTCGACAACGTCAGCGAACATAGGATTTGTTGGCTGACCCATCCCAGCATTGGCCAAGATTTCATAACACTCACGCTCGTGGGTGCTCTTGATACAAGCAATACTCGCGAATACAAGCTTGAGCGTTTTTCTCAAGTCGACTGCACGTGGCACGCACCAAGGCACTTGTCCACCATGACGTCACACCGAATTCATTTAATGCATATAATTGTATACAAAGATGAAGACAGTTTCAAAATAATGCACCACTCCATGAACAATGCACCTGATTGGCTGAAATTCCTCATCCCTCGACGTCCCCTTGTCGAGTGCGATGGTCATTTGGCAAGTTGTAGGGGATCACCAACCACCATGACGGCAGTCCTTTCCCTTGTGTCCCCGCGCCACTTGTACCTTGCCAAGCAAGCGGCGCAAATCATCGGTTTGCTCGTGCTGGCCAAGATCGGCCTCACTCTACTCTCTGGCTTCTACGCGTTCTTCCTTCGTGGCGGCAAGAAGCTCACCAAGTACGGCAAGTGGGCAATTGTCACGGGGGCTACGGACGGCATCGGCAAGGCGACTGCGTTGGAGCTGGCTCGCAAGGGCATGAACATTGTCTTGATCAGCCGCACGCAATCCAAGTTGGATGAAGTCGCAACTGAAATCACAACCAAGTACAACACTGTCTCTGTCAAGACTGTGTCCGTGGACTACTCCAAGCTGACAGACGCGTCGATCGCAGCTATTCGAAAGGTTATCGCCGACGTCGGCGATGTCGGTGTGCTCGTCAACAATGTCGGCCAGTCCTACGACTTCCCCCAGGTACAACATCCCTTCGTTGTCTCGTTCACGACTCATGTGATTTTCTTCTCGTCAGTACTTCCACGATCTCTCGGATGAAAACGTCGCGAGTCTCGTCAACATGAACGTCAACTCAACTTTTATCATGTCAAAGCTGGTTCTGCCTGGCATGGTCGAGCGCAAGCGTGGAGCGATCGTCAACTGCAGCTCCGGCTCGGCCCGCATTGCGTGCCCCTTGTTGAGCGAATACAGCGCCGTGAAGAAGTGCATTGAACAATACACGCTGGGCTTGGCGGGCGAATACGCGGCCAAAAACATCTCCATCCAGTGCCACACTCCTATGTTCGTCACGTCCAAGTTGTCGAAGATCCGCCACGCTAGCTTCTCTGTGCCTAGCCCCACCACCTACGCCAAGGTACTGTCATGACGAAGGAACTAAACTTGGATGACTGATTGAGCATGTATAGGCGGCGGTGGCTAATATTGGTTATGAGACGGTTGTTTCCCCGTACTGGCCCCATGCTTTGCAAATTTGGCTTTACGAATCAATCCCCAACTTTATCGTCAGCAAGGTTGCCTTGTCGTCCCATTTGGGTTTGCGTAAGCGCGCCTTGAAGAAGCTCGAACAAAAGAAGGATTAACTGTCAATGCAGACGACCTCGTGCCATTTACAATCCCGGCGTCTCGTTCACATCGTCTTCACCAAGGGAAACGCCTGCCTTTGCATGTCCTGAACTCTCAGGCTCGTTCGACGTTAGTTCGTGTCACATCCCTCCTCACACAGCACTAGAGCAATTCGTCCATCGCCTTGTCATGTATGAGGCTACCTTTGGCGCTCTTCCTCTAGCAACGTGCCATCCACGGCTGACCAGCGTCGATATCGGCGGGTTGTTCAACCAAATTGGTTGCGCCCCCGTTTGAATTATCCGGAGTACCACTTATCCGTATGAATTTGAATATTCAACTCACAAGCGATGCCGTTGGAAACGCCGGCGGAGTCGACCTCGGCAGTGGACACCACAGATACATCAAGCCTCCTGAACGACCCCACATCGCCCGATATGCAGAACAACACAAGCCAGGAGCAGAATGCGTGGAGTGAAACGCGTCAGACGGGACCTCAGGCAACGACAAGTGTCAAAGAACCAGGGGCTGCAGCTGCTTCAGGTTCCAGTTCTGCTCCCACAACACGCCCACTTACACCACCGACAACAGCTTATAGCGAAGGTGGGGTAAAGAGAAAGGAACCGCACCCAACGCCATCGCCTTCTGTGGAATCGATGACCTTCGCAGACCTCAAGGCAGCACAGCGGCGGAGTATGAAGGCCGTCCGTGATATTGCACTCAAGGAAATCAACGCGCTGGAACCTGAAATGTCCGAAGCGAGTCGCCACGAAATCGCCGCTGTTTTGCAGGCTCACGTGAATGAGATGAGCTCGTCCGCGTTCACGCACCTCGCGCGCGTCTACTTTCCTGCCGAACTGCGTAAGCTTTGACCCATGATGCACTATCACGATTCAGTCCGCTATCATAGAGTCCACGAAAAAGCCTGAAAATCCCGTGGATCCCGTTGCATTGGCCCGGATAAGAGAACTCGACGCGCAGATCCATGCTGCCGAGCAACGTATTCACGCACATCAAACGAGCCTTCCTGTCATTGTCCGGCAACACCTTCAAGCGAGCTTTACAGAGAAAGCCAAGGCGCTTGAAGATGCGCTTTCGAGTCTACCGCACGCTACAATCGAGAGCGACACCGCTATCCAGTACTCGAAACATGACATTGCAGCTGTCAAAGCCACGTTTGCCCGAGTACGCGCAAAGTCCTCGTTCTCACTCCGCCTGACTCAACCCTCCTAGATCACGTCGAAAATTGATCAGTTGAGCGTCAATCTACCGCTGACGATGCAAGCTGCCGCCAACACCATCCAAGTGGTACGTTCTTCCTTCACGGAGGGAGCATTTCTGTCATGAATCCGTCGCTATGCAGGTTCAGCACGCCGTGAGCCAGCCCAAGTCCCGACTCGATGCTCTCATGGAGCATGGGGGCGACAGCATTTCAACTCCTGCGACTTCATCGCCCGCGGTACGCAATCGAGTGTTTGATGCAGCGACGCATGAGAGGTGGCGACATTGTTGTGACATTAAGAGAGCGCGTTCACCTAGACGTCAGCGACCCCCAGTCCCAACTCCCTCCGTGCGAAGCTGGCCCGGTTGCTTTAACTTAACTTGGCCAGTCGCTGCTTTTGTCGGTCGCGGAATACGTCGTGTGTCGGTCGCTTGGTCAAGACATTTCCTACGATGGAGAAATGATGCATTCGGTTTTGCCGCATCAATCCATCGTCACGATTCTTCCTACCATTGCCTTCTCCGCCGTCCAACGCGTCCAAGCGCTCGATTTCTTCTCGCGACGGGAATTCTGCATAACAGAGGGCTTGGAACACCATGTCCGGGTCCGCCACCGGTCCTACTCGCACCAACACAATACTGTTGGGAAAACCACCCTCGGCATGGTTTGTTTCTTCCGTACCGTTCCACGTGACGCCGAGGGGCAGTTGGGCGGCAAATGCCTTGAGAAAGTCGGGAAGGGGCGGGCCGTGGTAGATCCTGTGCCAAGTCAGTTGCATGCAGAGCAGGCAGAAAATCACGGTACATGTCGGACGATTTGAGCACCGACGACTTGATGGAGCCTGATAGCGTTGTGTTCGTCGTGGGTTGCGAGGACGCCGAGTGTCCCGACGTGGAATGGAAGGTCGATCCATAGGTGGCAAAGAAGAGTTCGTCAGACTTGGACGTGTCGAGAAGGTGCATCCACACGTATCGGTCGACGGTGCCGAGGAGTCCTTTGGTCGTGATATCGTCGGGCAACGCGGCCGCCCTTCGTTGCTCGAGGCGGACGACGGACGTGAGGTCGCCGCCGTTGGTCGCCATCGTTTGCTCGAATCGAATGAACCGGTCCCACACGGGCTTGGACACGGCGGCCGGGATTACACTGAGCACTTTTTCAAACAGGGATCGCATGTCTACCAAGAACGTCACCGGCATCCGATTTGGTCATGGGCGTACTATTGTCATCGTTGGTGTGGCCAAGGAAATCAACGTAGGAAAGGACGTAGTCAGGTTCGTGGATGTGCTTCTTCAGCCCCAACTCGAAGATGTTGAGTGCAATCTGCTTGCCTTCGTCGCCGACACCGCTGTGGAACTCGAGCAGGGCTAGGCAAAAATTGTCAGCAACGGCACTAGTGTTGCCGGACATGGCCAGGAAAATTCACGACCGCACACACCAACGTACCGGCAGCAGTGTAAACGTGGTACGTGCATGCGCCTTCCCGCGGGTCCCGCCGTGCCCGCTTGAAGATCTGTCGCGACGCATCCAAGCCCTATATGGTGCCATTCCACCGTTAGCCACTTGCGCAACATCAGCCCCATGTGAACAGCGAGTACACATGCCGCCCATGCAGACAAGGAGACGACAGTCATTCAAAGCATTTGGATGGCAAGCCACAGCGGTAGCTGCGAGCCCCGTCGATACATCGAATGCCGACGGTGGACCGCTTTCACGACAGAAGAGGAGGGTTGCATACCTTGTTGCCGAACGCACGGCGAGCGAACCGCATGTACGTGATGTAACCGATGGGAGACGCCGTCGCTTCGAGCAAGGATTCGTACACGGCGCGAGCATCGTCGACGAGACCGTGGCTCTCCAAGTGATCGGCATAGGCAAATCGAAGCAGACACGATTCGGGCATGGCTTCCAGTGCTTGCTGGAAGATGGCGGACGTGGCTGCCACATCTGGCAGCTCGAGCATCGCGTACTGGAACCAGACTTCGGCCGAGTACCGTCGGCAGGCAAGGCACGCTTCCAGGACATACCGGACTTTGGCCTTCCACTTGGGGCGCTCGACGCGTTCTGGGTTGGCCAGTTCGAACTCGATCCATTTGTTCCACGCGTCAATCTAGATGCCAACGTCAACTTGACGGAAGGTAGCAAACGAAGGACCTGTGGATCCGTGTTGGTGCGCGACGGCAGCGCGTCGAGATCGATCGGGTCCACGAGCGCCTTGCGATCCTTGAAAATGGCTTTCGCAGCGTCGACCTTGGGCCGCAGAACCTTGAATACGTTCAACGCGAGCGCTTCGTTGTTCGGAATCGACTTTTCAAATTGCTCATAGTCCTTCCAGAGCGCATCCAGGTTGTGCATGGGTATAGGGAGAGCGCGCTGGAACACCTTGCGGATGGAGAAGATGGCGGTCGGTTCCTAGGCGTGGACGCATATTCGACATGAGTGAGTGAAGCGGTGAAGGTCACACGCACCTTGTCGTCTTTGAGGAAGTGGAGATATTGTGTCCAAATGCCATTCGAATGGATGGACGTGCCGACTCGGTCCAGCGCAGACTCGAAAGCTTCTGTCATCTGCTGCCGCGCGCGCTTCTTATCCTCGGGGGAGTTCGCTTCTGTCAGCACGTCCATCACCGTACTCTTGGTGAACTGGAGGTAAAAGGCCCACAACTCGACATGAGGCAATTTGATCTCCTGCAACGCCTTCGTAAAGATCGCGCGGACGTTCTCCAGTTGGTTCGCGCGCCACTCGTGGTCAGCATATTGTTTCCACCAGTAGGCCTGCAGGAGCACGCGAGTCAGCGATCAATCATGATGTGTTGAACCTACCGAAGTCGGGAATTGTTCAAGAAAGAGCACGTAGAACGGTCGGGCTTCCTCCACGTGCTGAAAGCTCTGCTGTACTTCGTACATGACACTCAACCACGCGTCGATGTTCCATGGCTCTTTGCGCGCCGCAGCGTACAGGCGTCGGAGCTTTGGATGTTTGCCAGCAGTGGGATCGTCTGCTGCCGCCATGTCTTCGTCCTCGTCCTCGTCAGCTCCACCACCCATGTCAACGTCACCGCCGACATGAGCCGCAGTATGTTGTGTCGGTATGGCGATGGGCTCATCCTCCTCGGAACTGTCATCCGACAGCATCGGGTTTCCGTCCATGAGTGCGCTCATCGCCGCCAAGTCCTCTGGTCCTGAATGCACACCTCAAAGTGAGATCGCTCAGGACAAATCGATTGTCTTCTCGCAACAGACATACAAACACTAAGAGAAAAAATTGTCCTCATTTATGGCTATCTTGAAGGATATAACGCATTCAAAAATATTTAGCTCGATTGGACTATGTCGTTTTCGATATATGATATATGGATTCTCTCAGATCTTCTGCATACAATTCGACAATACTTTTATTCCGGTGCCATGGATCACCTCGAACGTGAGGCGAGTAAGCTGCGCGCTCTCGTGGAGAATCCGACGGGAACGGCATCCTTGAAGGAGGCCAAGGACATCTTGCGCAATCTAAAGGTAACTTGCTGCCTGTGCATGAACTAGTTATGATGTTGACGCATGACGTGCATATAGATTGCAATGATCCAGCTACCGAGCTTGCCACCCACCACCACAGAATCGCCGACGGCAGTGCAAGAGCGCAAACTTGCACGTATGCTGTGCAATATAATTCCTTTGCGAAGATCATTGAACGAGTCTTATAGAGAGTCTGTAGGCGACGTCTTGGAAAGCGCGACGATCATGAGCATCAACGAAGAAGACATTCCTGGTTTCGAACGCAACATCACGCAGCTCAAGGTGTACTACAACTCGTTCGGGTAACCTCGCTCACCATCGTCGTCCCACCTCATATTTCGATGCCAGAGATCAATTGCCGAAGTCTCCGTTGCACTACCCCCTTCTCGGGACACGTTTGCTCCATTTGCTCGTGGAAAACCGCATGGCAGAGTTCCACGGAGAGGTCTATCCTTGCTCGCGTTGTTCACTTCTCATTCCATAATCTCCGATATATAGCTGGAAATTCTTCCGAGCGAAGGGCGCGCGGATCCAAACATCGCGTTCTCGATGAAGCTGGAGCAATACCTGATGGAAGGAAGTTATAATAAGGTATCGTCCCCCTTCTCCATCCTGTTCACTGCGGTTTGTAGGTGTTGGAAGCCCGCACAAACGAACCCAACCCGTACTTCAAATGGTTTATGTCCCAACTGCTCCAGACCGTCCGAGACGCCATCGCCGACTGCGCCGAAGTCGCGTACCCGTCGTTGAATGTGGCGGACGCTGCCAAGATGCTGATTTTTGCCACGACGTCCGAGTTTCAAGCGTATGTTTTGGCCAAAAAGCCTGAATGGGTCGTCATGGGAGACGTTGTGTGGTTCCAAGCGCCAACTAAGCACCTGGGGTACGACCACCTCTACGACAAGTTCTTCCTGCTCACCCAACTTTACGACGTAGCGCTTCAGATATCCCGTCGCTCCGCCTCGTCCGAGAGACGCTGTCGTACGCCACGGAGCTCGACCGCATCGTCTAAGCCTAGCAGACTTGCATCTTCACGAGGTAGTTCCCTTGACAATTGCGGCACTCTCCATTAGCAGCTCCTTCTAAAGCATCAAACACCGCACCTTGTCGTCCTCCCTCACTTTCCTGGCTCCTCAAGCTGCTGTATTTGTTCGTCTAGATGCTGCCTCTGGAGCCGGCCTTGTTCATACAGCAGCAGCCATCGCGGCTTTTTCTTCTTTCGAAGTGCTCGTTCATCTTTTCGGGCTTGTACCTTGGCCGCTGCCGCCTCGGATTTGGCGCGCAGCCACATAACATAATCTTCTTTGACCTACACATCGGACTCTCAGCGACGCTGTTGGTCGACGGCCTGTGTTGGTTGACCTGCGCTCGCCACGCCGCCTCCTTGGCGGCCGCTTCGGCCGCGTCCAATTCCGCTTTGGACGAAGTTCGCATGAGGCGCGACGTGGCCTTGGGGCTCCCGCGGCTCGTTGGGCTTCGAGTCATGCTCGCCATGCTTTCGTTGGGCCCAAACAATGACAGCATCGTGGCTTTCGACGAGAGTCGCGTGAGGCCCTTTGCATGGGAGTCGTCGAACCCGCCCTTCATGACGACGATAACACCGTGCACATGATCCAAACTGCATCGCAGACGTACGCGGAACGAGATGGAATTGAGCTTGTTGGCCGATTTGTAGATTTGCCGCTGTGCCTGTGGACAGGTTCGTCAACAGAGTCGTCACGATGGTCGGAACACCAACACTCTACCATGTCGACGGCTGATGGCGGGTTGATGTCGAGCTTGGGAATGTCTTTCTAGTGGCATGATGACTGCATGGCCAGTGAGGAGATGCAGGGTACTTGACGCCGCTGGGAAAGGGACCCTCGATGGCGGTCGTCGTCGTGCAAGGCAGATGCTGATGCGTCCCCGTCGTTCCCGTCTCGAGGAGTCAGAACATGCTCATCGATGAGTGACCCGATTTCGTGCATGAGGATGCTGTGGTCGGGTGTGTTGTTCACTTCATGAAGAACCATATCGGTGATCTGACCATCCACACAACGTAACACATTGACGTGTGCAAGTTCGGATGTACCTCTTCCATTTCGCGTTTGCTGAGCGAACGAGGCAAGCTTAGGAATCGACTTAGTTGCCGCTTGAATGAACGCGATGCCTGAGCGTCGTCGTCCATGATGGTGAACCCGTCGGCCGACTCGTCATCATCGTCATCGTCCTCTATCTCCACCGCGTCAAAGTCATCGAGGCTGCGTCGATGAGACAGCTGAATGCGCTGAGCAATTTCCTGTGTTTTGGTAATGATGGCTTCAATGCGTTCTTCAAACGATTGCGCGCTCGCTGTCTTCTTTGCTTTTTTCTCGGCCAGCGCTTCGTTATAGATCCGTGCTGGAGGATGTTGGTGGAATCAACAGCAAGATCATCGCAAAGTGTTAGATGCATCGTTCGTACATATAGATATGCCATTGACTTGCTCCAGCGCGCGCTGGACACGAACATGGCGGTCGTGCTCCGCCGCGGCAGCCGCCATCTCGGAACCGGCGAATGAAACCGTCTGCGCATTCTGATTGGCGCAGCACAACGATCATCACTCTGAACGGAAGGTACGTTATTGAATTAATGAACTTTACAGAATGGTACAACTCACCATTGCAAGTCCGTGGGAACATTCCTGAAAACTGAAGAGTACTTCATTGAATGGCGACACAATGACTTGTGTGTATGGAACTCAGGAACGCCGACGGCCTTCCTCGCCCCGTTCATCGACTCTCGTCCGGCACAGCTCTGAATATTCACGCCGCGGAGTTTGTACCAAAGTATGTGCAGGCATTTCGACAAGAATATCCATCCTTGACGTCTACAAATCCCCCCAAAGTCACGAAAAACGCGTCCACTACCAATGCCATGAAGTTTCAAGATGCCGCTGCAAAACCCATTCGTGCGTCAATACCTGCGCCACCGCCCGTAGTTCCTGAAGGATTCGTTGTCCTGTCGAAGAATACCAGGTCATCACTCACGGCAGTCGCTGCAAAGGATGCCGATTGCGTCTCCCCATCTGAAGCAGCGCCACCAGTGGCTACGATAAGGCGAAAATACACCAAAACGCATGTATCCAAGTGGGCCGCCCTGTCGACTTGTGCTATCTCGCAGAACGACGGGAACGATCTCTCTTCACCCGCGGATGTGCCAAAGACAGATGCCAGAGGTCGATCCCCGGGGTACTTTTTCCAAGTTGCAGCCCAAGCCAAGGTGTTGGGTCACCAAACACACTACGAGGACGACATTGGCGTCAAGGACCGGGACCACCGACGTCATCGAGTTGCTCTCGTTCGAGAGTCACCCCTGGTCGCTCCACTGGCGGATGCCTCGAACGAACCACCGACCGCGCATGCTGTGGCGCGTGAGGCCTGGCGAGTGCTGGCCGCGCAAGTTCTTCGCTCGTCGCACTTGACACCCGAGAATTTCGCCGCGCTGGCAGCCCACCTGACCACCCACCGCTCTCTCCTTTTGTGGGACGAGCGCGACGACGACAGGTGCAATGCGTGGCACATCGCCGCCGCCCACGGACATGATTCGGTACGCTTTGGACACGTGTTGCCTTCTTGGAATAGCATGCCTTACGTCGTAGGTTCTGACGCTCTTGCATGAGCTCGGCGACGGCGTCGAGTCGCGAGACCGGAAGAAATACACCCCCCTGCACGCTGCCGCAGCAAACGGTACGCCAGACTCCAGCGCCATGGCCATTCGGTCCATGGCACTGTGGCGTTATCAGCTGATGGACAGCGTCGGACCTCGTCGTTGCGATAACCACACGGCCCGTAGGCCACCCGTCAACTGTGCGGCTACTGCTGTCGTTGGGCGCAAGTGCCGCGACGGTCGACAAGCATGGGAACACTCCGTTTCACATCGCGTGCCGGTGAGCAGCGCACACACTTTTTGACGCTGAAAAAGTCGGGTTGTTTTGACGCTGAAAAAGTCGGGTTGTTTTGTAGCGAAGGCCACGTGGCCATTGTCAAGTTGCTCTTGCCCAAAAGCAAACTGGACGGCCGCAATCGCCGGCGAGATACCCCTCTACTCATGGCCGTTCGGTGGGCCGCCGCAGCGCAAACCTCAGGCGCCAACAACGATTCCACACGACGAATGGATGTGGTGCGGTTGCTGCTTGCTGCGGGAGCATCTCCATTGGTTGTCAACCTTGACGGACACACACCGCTGTACGAGTCGGTGCAGGCGTGCCACAGCTCCCTGGCGCTGGCTCAAGACTTGCTCGTATATGGCTATCCCGCCAACACGAACGGGTCTCCCATAACGCTTCCGCCAACTCGGTCGGTGTTTTACCAAGCTGTATGTGCGGGCCACGCAGGTGCTGTTCAGCTGCTCATGCCAGTGATACCACCGTCAGAGTGGGCGGCAGTGGACAAGGAGCACGGAGACTCGTTGCTGCATGCGGCCGTTCGACACGGCCATGCCCACCGTCGGTCCGACATGCTCAATGTGCTGCTGCACTCGTCCAAGCACAAAGGCTACCAACTCCACGCCGCAGAAAACACTGCTCTTCTAACGCCGCTCTTCTTGGCCATCAATCTTGGAGACGATGCCGCCGTCGCCGGCCTTCTCTCGCACGGCGGATACCCCAACGAACGAAATCGACAACATCACTCGGCATTGTTTACTGCGCTTCAAGCACGGCAACTGGCTTGTGCTCGGGAACTGATTGAGTTTGGCTGCACGCTTGATCGGGATTGCGTGGCCTACATGAGGGCCAACACGCCGGTCGCGCTGCCGCCGGTTGTAGCTGCACCGTCCATGGTGACGTCAGTGCGACCCGTCGACATGCAACGTATCGAGTGCACGGTGGAGAGGAAAGTGGACTACATCCATACATGCGTCCTCATTGCACATTGCCCGTCCATTCGAGCGCAGCTGTGTGGCCCGTGGGCTCATTTTGCACCAGACAAGGCGGTCCCGGTGGCGCTCGACACGACGATAGCTTCGTGGGACTATCTGAAAGCGTACTTGTACGATGGCGGGGCCAGCAAGTTGCTTGGTAGCGCCGTGTGCACGAATCAAGGGGAGTTGGATGTTGTCGTCGAGTTGCTCATGTTGGCCAACTCGTTGCTCTTGATGGACGTGCAACATTTGTGCCATGCCATCCTCGAGCAATCGCTTCCCCGCCGGCAATTCCGAGATCTCATCGCGTCGTTGGGAGTGGAGGAGGCCACTGACGGTGCCGTCGCTTCCATGAGCTACAAGGACGTGGCAGCACAAGCGATTCGAACGTGGCGCCACGACCGACGCCAGCTCCTCACGAACAAGTGGCTAGCCGATGCAACTTTGATTGCAGACCATTCCAAAGCATCCCACCACCGCTGCCACCGAGCAGTCGTCGGCGCAGCTTCGCCGATCCTTCGATCGCGCTTCGAATGCGACCAAAGGTCGACGGCTACCTTTTCCTTGCCGTTCTCCAGCGATGTCGTGGAGGCAGTCCTCGAATACATCTACACACATGCGCTGGCGAATGCCGCGGTATGCCCTTGATCTTGTCGGATGCTGTGGTTTGACGATGCTATGTAGGAGTATTCCGTGGATTTCGTGGTCGAAATCGTGCAAGCCAGCAAAGCCGTCGACGTTGCGGGCTGTGTGGTGCTGTGCGAACGGGAGCTCGTCCGCCGCGTCGTGCAGACTGGCTGCGACGTTGCGCTGCTGGCAGTTGCCGAGTCATTGCAACTGGAACACTTGGTCCGCGCGTGTCGCTGGCATTTGTTGGGGTCCATGCCGACGGACAAGGCTGTGCTGTTGGCATGTTTAGCTCCCAACTTAAACGTTTCTGGCTAACAGCGCCCCAACCACAAACGATTGCCTTGGGTCGCCAATGTGTTTCGGCTTTGGTGCCGACGCTGGTCGGTTTGTCGACTTGGAGAGTGGATGGGTTGCCGTAGCTGTTGCACGGGCCCTTGCTATGGGCACTGGAATCGTGGATGTCACCATGGTGACCGCTGTGGTGGGATGTATTGCTGACGGTCCGAGTTCGTGACGCGGTGATGACGGGCCGGGATCGCTCGTGTTGGAAGGAGTTGGCGCACGATCCCCGCCATGCTCTCGAAAGAATCGCTCGAGGAACTGGTTTCGTCGTACGAGTTGCTTGATGTTGTCGACGTCAGGACGCTGGGTGTGCAGCGCTGGCACCGACGACGCATGGTGGAGTTGCTGGTTGGTGGTTGCGCCGCTGCCCATGTCACCCAACCGTTTGAGCTCGGCATACCGAGTCAGGAGCCGCATGTGCTCTTTTTTGTGCAGCGAATGGTCGAAATACGTTTGGTGCTGCTGCGTGAGCATCTTCTTGATCTGCTTGCGAAGGGCAAGGATTTCGGCGGCTTGGTGGTCCAGCTTGGACCGGTAGAAGCCTGCCACGTACCTGTGCCACCAGCAACCATCAATCGACTGCACGACCGGTGTCGACGTACTGGTTCTCGTTGGCGATGCGATTCGCGTCGTGGTCCGATACAGTCTCGGGCACGGCGGCCGCATGCTCGCGCTTCTTGTCACTTTCGCGTTGCAACGCGGTGAAGATTTTATCGTATTCTGCCTGTATGGATGGGAATGGTCGGTGGTGCAGCTCTTGTCGTCGTTGGTCGTACCTGCAACGCTTGCAGTCGCGAGCCTTTTTCAGCCAATTCACCTCGAGTCTTCATCAACGTCGCCTCGGCCGTCGCGAGCTTTCTTTCCATGTCGTTCACGCGCTCTTTGAATCTAAGCACAAATCGTGGAACGACCTTCCAAACCACACAGGCGAAGGGACCTCGCGGCATCGGTTTGAGCTTTGGCAAACGCTGCGGCGTGCGTGCTACTCGTGTAACCCTGCAGCTTGACCTTGAGCTCCTTGATTTGGCTGCGGTGGGCTTGGTTCTCAGCCTCCAAGTACGAGATTTTGAGGTTCGACTGGCGCATGGCAGGGTCTTGATTCACGTTTCGCGGTCCCGCACCGTCGCCCCCGCCTTTCGGCATCGCCTTTGCCACTTGGTCGCCGCACACGGTGCTTCGCTGCATCGACTCGAGCTTTTGTGTAAGCCCCACGATCACTTGTTCCTTCTCGTCCAGTTGAGCGACCTGCCAACGACACTACAGCGAATGTTCAGAGCCATGTCGAGATCCATTCGAGAGGTGCACCACGTCTTGGGCCTTCTTCAGGTCTGTGCGGGCGTTGGCTAACTGATGAAGCAGGTGCTCCTTCGCGGCGTGCGACTGCTCCAGCGCTTCCATCGTTTGGGCGGTCAGGAGCGCTTTCACGGCTTCCGTTTCGTCCATTTGGTCTAGCAACGCCTACGGTTTCCATGAATACCCCACGCCGATTGTGTGGACAGGACGTCGCCAACGTATTTGATCGTGACACCGACGAAACATACCTGCTTGTCTCGAAGCAAGGCATCCCGTTCGAGCGTGAGCTGCGCTGCCTGCTCCTTGGCGCTTGACTCGCCGCTTTGGGATGATCATGGTCACGATGTTGGCCAGCCCCAAACTCCTTACTTGAATTTGGCGGCAGACACTGTCTTGAGCGACGACTTGAGCATGGCTTCGTAGTCCTAGACCAGTGTTCACAGTTGAGTCTGACCAAATCGATGCTGCTCGTTTCCATGTTGTACATCTCGAAAGGCCACGTGCATGCGCATATACGTTCGCAAGGAATGGATCAAGGCGAGGGTATCTCCGTCGCCGACGGACGGGGTGACTGGCGTCGCGGCGGTGCTGCCTTTGTCGGTGGACGCACCTTGGCGGTCGCCCCCCAATGCGACAACTTCCCCATGAAAGTCGGCAATCGCTTTTTCAATGCGCACTAACTTGGCGATACGGTCCTGCGATGCTGACAGGCGCTGGGCAAGGCGCGTGACGAGCTAAGGCAGCAGAGGCATGTCAACGGTCCACGTCCACACCACCCACGCACCTCAACGGATACGACACTATTCGACGAACTCGCACTCGCCTTGGCGGTTGTCGCGCCATCCCCTTGATGGGTTGACGCGTCCGTGTCAGCGCGGAGGAGGCGCGCCAAATCGAGAGACGCCCCGGCGTCCATGCTGTCGCCAAGTCGCGACGTGCCGTTTCACGCACGTATGTAACTGCCACCGAAAACGGCGGAACCCACTCATTGAGTATTTCGAGGCAGCGCACGCCAGCGCGGCGACGGGGGAACGTTGTCCTCGTTCGAGTTACGCTCATTACGCTGTGTCCGTCCGAGGATCGCTAAGGTGCACGAACAAGTCTGGACACGCTGCCAACGTTGTGTACAGTGCACTGAATCAGGCCCGGGTGCATGTATACACAATCATGCACATCCCACAGGCAGCAAGCGTATGCATTTCCGCCGACCGTCGACGGCGCCAACGGAACGAGGCTGCCACCGGGGCTCGTCGTCGGCAGTGTGAAGGGTCTGTGGGAAGCGACGGGCTACGATGGTGTAACAAGGGCGTCGCGCCTGACTGGTAATGGTGACGTCTTCCACCAGCTGGATCCGTTGTCTATGGCGCATCGATTAGTGCTTCCCCGCGCAAACGTGAGAAACTGGCCATCACGTTGAAAATCCCTAAACAACAAGATCAAGATCGACGCGACTATACCGTGGCAAAAAAGAGGGTCGCCATGATGACGTGGCACGCTCTCGTGCTTGGATGGGGTTGAAAAGCCCTAAAGAAGAGGAGGTTTAAGGCGTCCTCACCGTGTCACCAATGCCATATCATGCCAGCTGTAATGCTGTCGCGAATGTTTTGGGAGTCACCCAAAGAGTCAACGCCCGCGTCCACGCAACCTGTCGAGCGGCGCATTCGTTGGCAGCAGCAGCTTTGCGGCAGAAGGAATGGCGACGTCCCATCACGTCCAGCGCAGCATCAGTCACAACACCAACCACAACAACGTTCGTACGACGAGCCAGACAAACCACGGCCGCCGGAGCATGAGCCACAACGCGCGGCGCAGCATCAGCTACAACAACAACGAGCATCTGTCATCGAGCCCTGGGTCGCCGTTCAAGGCGTTCTTCGCGTCTCAAGAGTTCTCCGCGGAAGATTACCCGTCGCCAGAACCGCAGCGCGCTTCCGCCACCAACAACCAGACCAGCGCGGCGGACCAGCGCGGCCGACGACACACGACGACCACGTCCAACTCATGGCCATACCCGTGGGATGCCCCACCCGTCCTCCCCCGCGAAGAAGAGCGGCTAAATGTCCTCGACAGCTACGAAATCCTCGACACGACGCCCGAGCACGTGTTTGACATGCTCTGCGCGATGCTGGTCAAAGCTCTCCGAGTGCCCATCGGCGGCATCTCGTTCGTCGACAAGTCTCGGCAGTGGTGCAAAAGCAGCATCGGACTCAAGCAGACCGTAATCCCACGGAACGTTGCGTTCTGCGCTCACACCATCGCGTCGACGGCGCCGCTTGTCGTGCTCGACGCGTCGTTGGACAAGCGATTCTACATGAATCCGCTCGTCACGGGTCCGGCCAACTTGCAATTTTACGCCGGCGCGCCGCTGGTCAACCCCGCCGGGTTTGTGCTCGGGACCGTGTTTGTGTATGGCCACCACCCCGAAGAAGCGGTCGACGTGGCGATCCTGGTCAAGATTGCCAAGATGGCAATGAATCACCTCGAAGACCGACGACGCGCCGCGGTCAGCGAAGTGCGGGGGGCGCCGCCACCGACCCGCCACCGCCAGCCATCGTCGCATCAGTACCAGTACCCCGCCCCCGCGCCTCCCCTTGCACCGTTCAACCACCACAACGTCCGCCACAACTCGGGCGTGCCACCGACCCCGCATGCTTTGTCCTCGAATCCTTGGCAGGATGCGCTGCGTACGCTCGACATCCTCGACATGCCGGCCGAGCTCGTCTTCGACCGGATCAGCGGCCTCGCGTCGACACTGCTTCAGTGCCCCATCGCGGGGGTCAGCCTCCTGGACGAAGACAAGCAGTGGTTCAAGGCCCATCGCGGCGACGACGTGACTTTAACCGACGTCGCGGCGTTTTGCGTGCACGTTGTCGCGTCCACGCGTCCGCTGGTCGTGCTCAACGCCGCCGAGGACGCGCGATTCCGAAAGCACCCGCTCGTGAAGCGCCGGACGAACCCCATTCGATTCTTCGCGGCCGTCCCGGTCGTCACGGGCGACGGGCACGTCATTGGCACCGTGTTCGTGATGGACACAGTCGTGCGGCAAGCCGGCCACGTCGACTTGCATTCGCTGCAGCGCCTGGCGCGGGTTGCTATGCTGCACCTAAACCAACGCATCACGTACGCCGTCACGCCTATCGTGGACTACAGCTCGTTCGTGGACGAGCGGGCTCAAGTTTTCGATCCCCATAGCGTGGCAGTGCTCCCGACCATGACGTCCCACGGAACCAAGCAGCCGGGGGGGTTCCAGCGCCTCCGGACGCGGTTCCTCGCCCGGTTGTTTGGGCGACAACAGGACCACCGATAGACCCGCCGGTCGCTGCGCCTCGATCGAGTGTACCATTAGTCGAGACATCCTATTTAAATCGAGGCGGCAGGGCTTGCGAGTGTGTTTTGGTCCGAGTGACGTCGCGCTAGACGTGGGGGAAAATGATATTTGGAAACTTTTTCGAGATGACATGGAACTCGTCCAAGTTGAGCTTGTGGTCGCCGTCCGAGTCGGCTTGCTTCAAGATCGTGTGGGCTTTCTTGATCACGTTCGCTTGCGTCGTCTGCCGAGAACGACATGAGCCATGGGCTCCCAAATGGCTGGGACGGTATATACCATGTGCGTCGCCTGGAGGATGTTGATCAGTTCGTCCTCCGTGATGAACCCGTTGTGGTCGTCGTCGTATATTTCAAAGCAGAACTGCGCTTTCATCGCTTTGTCAATCTCAAGCAGGTTGCTCATGCCTGGTGGTCGTCAAAACATGTCACGTTATCCTCGACAGCACGCACCGAGCAAGATCTCTCGAATGTCGGCGAGCTTGTCGCCAGCATACAACGCATGCAGTTTGCGATATTCACCCACGGGCTCGACTTCGAACAACGTGTAGAAATCCTCGAACGTGAGCCCGGCTTTGTCGGTTTTCTTGAACCGGCCAAACACCCGCCGGAGCGCGTCGAGTGTAATGTTGTTGTCGCCGATGAAGCGGTCCAACAAGGCCTGAAGCATACTCCATCGTTTTGCTCGCGATCGTACGACCGACTCGCGGGGTACCTTCTTTTGCATCTTGGTTTCCATGTCGCGCTTCCGGTCGTCGTCTGTCACGATGTCTTGATGGTGGTGCACCTATAAGACACGAATTGCCGTCGTGACGCGAGCGGTCGAGTCGTCGAGCTCACTTCGTGTGGCGCGTCGATGGCTTTGCTGAAGTCGACGCTGCCCGGGTCCGGGTGAATCACAAGCTTCCGAAACTCTTCAAACGACACTTGCCCGTCGCCGTCGCGATCGACCATGCGCACCATCTCGTCCACTTCCGCGTCCGTGATGAGCTCGCCCATGCAAATCAAAATGTGGCGAATCTCGGCCGCCCCGATGAACGTGTTTTTGTCGAGATCGATAAACTTGAACGCGTGCAAGATGTCGTCTTCGGAGAACTCGCTCGTGCTACGTGATTCGAGATGTCACGATGACACACGACGACCTGGGTGGAGAGGATGACGTTATCGTCGTACTTGTCGGCTGCAGCTGCAGTCTTGGCCTGCTGGACGATCACATGCGTCGGCACGACTTCGATCGGCTGAGGCGCCTCCTTGACGCGGAGATGCGCCGTCTCCTTCGTCAGCCGCTCCTTGTGATCGAATGCGTCCATCCCGACCTGTGCACGCCAAAGGGCTCAGCACGCCCCCACCTCGACCAGCCAATTTCACCCCACTGGCCGCAACACCTCGCACGACGCACCTGGTGTTGAGGATATCCGATGCCGTCCGGCCCGACAAACGACAACTGAATGTGCACGTCGCCCGCTTTCTGGGACGACCCGAACTTGCCCCGGAACGTGAGAGGCACCCACTCGTCCACGTACCCGTAGCGGAAGACTGGGAGCAGCGACAGCGACGTTTCGCCAATCATGTCGTCGTCGCCCATTCCGTCGTGGTCCCAGCACTCGACCATCATGGTGAACTGATCGACGACGTCGAACTCAAACTCTTGATTCCACTCGGGCTCTTTCCCGCCGTCCGTGTCGATTTCTGTCCGCATGACGCTCTTGATGCACGCGCCTTCCAGGGTTACCTTCATGTACGGGTCTTGCCGCCCGACCGTGTCGACATCGCTTCACGATCGTGTCATGCAACTTGCAGCAGCATCGACACAAAAACACACTCACCGGAGCTTTCGGCCGGCGATGCACTTCATGGTCAAGTGGCCCGCGGGGAAGAACTGGGCTTTGCAAAAGAGTTCGCCGGCAGGTTTCCCGCCGTTTGCGAGCGGGATGACGATTTCTGTCGACATCGCGCCAGGGACTTGCATCGCCTTGAGCACCGAAAACGATCCTACCGACGACTCACGTCCAGTAGTGGCTGGTTGTTCGAGACGTCCTACCTTCACCGATAAAGTCGTCGCTGCCCACGTCTTCGTCGAAGAGCCGCACGACCATGTCGTGCACCCACGACTCGCGCGTGATCCAAAAACACAGCTCCTCTTCGCCAAAATACGGGTGCGTCCCGCCCTTGTCGATCGTCTTGGTCCGCTTTGTCGTCGATCCGTGCTCGAACTTGCAGTACGGATCTTGCTTGCCGATCAGCTCCATGTTTTTCAGATTCCGGCCCTCCATGACGATGATGCTCAACATGCCTGGCACGGCAATGTCCAGGTGAAACTCCATGTCCACTTCGCCCGCCGGGAGCCGCGACTTGATGTGGACAAGCGGCACCGTCTGCCTGTGCGTGTGACCGTCCATGAAGCGAAGGAGCGACACGTCGCACGTCCCCAGGAGCTCGTCCGCAATCATGTTTTCATCCCAAACATCCACCTAATATTCAAGCGTCGAGCGATGCGTTGTCTTTGAGATGCGGTCGGCAGTACCGTGACGAGGAGATCGTTGGCCGCCGTCAGCATGTTCTCGGGGTGGTCCAAGTTGACTGCCAGCACTTCTTCTTGAAACCCAACGTCGCGCCCGCTCTTCTTCCACGTGCGACTCTTGAGCTCCTTGACATGCTTGGTCGTCGCGCCAACTTTGAGTTTGCAGTATACGTCGGCCTTGAACGCTTTCTTCCCGTCATCCTTTTTAGCCCCAGGCCGGCACAACCCACGTGCTTCAAGCAGCGTCATGTGCAATCGACCTTGTTTCACCAGCGTGCGGGAGGACGGAGTGGGGTTGCTCGAAGGGGCAGAAGCTTCAGTCGCTGCCGCGGTCTTGGTTGGCTCAACGGGAGGTGGTCCAGGAGGCGGTCCAGGTGGTGGTCCTTTGGGTGGTCCGGGAGGACCAGGCGGGGGAGCACTTGGTGGCCCCGGGATGTTTCCACCTGGCCCTGTGGATGACTTCAAAGGAGGTGCGCCAGGTGGGGGTTTTATAGGGGGTGCGCCTGTAGGTGGTTTTACAGGAGGGGCTCCTGGTGGAGGTTTGATGGGGCTTGTGCCTTTGGGAGGGGGAGGGCCTGCAAAGGCGTACTGGTGTGTCAGAATGAATAAGCATACAGGCTTGGAAAACCTGCGGGTGGGGCGATTGCAGTTGGAGGCATGCCTGGAGGGGGCGCGATGGGTGACGATGCTGAAATGACGTTCGATGGTGGGGGGGCACCGGGGGGTGGACGTACAACAGGGTGCTTTGGAGGCGACCCAAGTGCTGCAGCGGCGGGTTGAGGATCTCCACGTTTGGCTGGCGATTCTGCCACTGGCTTTTGCGGAGCTTCCACTGGTTGGGAGGGTGATTCTGTCGATCGGGGCGGAGTCTCTGTCGGCTTTGGGGGGAACGTAGACACCTTTGGAGGGGATTGTGCTGGCTGATGAGGAGGTTCGGTTGTTTTAGGTGGAGAATCTGCTGGCTTGGGTGGTACCAAAGAATTATTTGCTGTTAGTGGAGATGGATCTCCGGGTCGTGGTGGAGGAGGTCCAGCTGGTCGTGACGGTGGTGAGCCTACTGACAATGGCGACGGGCTGTCGGCAGGTCGAGGTGGAGGTGCTTCAGCTGGCCGCGGTGGTGGTGCTCCAGCTGGCCGTGGTGGCGGGGCTCCAGCTGGTCGTGGTGGCGGGGCTCCAGCTGGTCGTGGTGGCGGGGCTCCAGCTGGTCGTGGTGGCGGGGCTCCAGCTGGTCGTGGTGGCGGGGCTCCAGTTGGACGAGGTGGTGGTGGTCCTGCTGGTCTTGGTGGCGGAGCTCCAACAGGACGCGGCGGCGGTGGTCCAGATGGCCGCGGCGGTTGACTCATGGGAAGCGCCGTGTCAAGATCGCACCTTTATCCGATCAGGATTATCCGGAGTGTCGTACGTTTTTTCGACAAAGTGGGTTAAACCTGTTTCGCAGGTGATGGGCAGATACCCCCTTGCCAAGTACGTAGGCCATCGATGCACGTCCGTCGAGAGTCTCTTCATCCTAAAGATGGATGGAAGGGTCCACGACACGACCAATGGAGCTGTCAGGTACCAAGGTCTATCAACTGCCGCGATCTAAAGATCTAGCAGTGGCTAGCTAGCACTGTCTGTCTCGCACGCAAGTGTACTCGCCAATGCTCTACTTGTTCATTTATTCAAATTCATCATCTAAACCTGTTTGATTGTAATCGATGAATCGCTACTAAGTTGTACTTGCTCACTGTAAAATATTGAATGAGAAATACATTCGTAGATGAATTCGTTTTCTAATTGTTTGTCTTTAAACTTGACTCAGCGTTTTTTGGCTTGGTCGGGTCATGGTAGTTTCTCAGAAGCAAGACGGCCATTTGATTTCGAGGGAATGAGCCGCAGCCGCCGCGAGTCCACCGATCCGGCTGCATTAACATCGTCGCAGCCGCTGTGTCGATCGACGGGAGGCATCAAGTTCGACCCGACGGAACCATCCCGACAACAGAAGCAGCGCTCCCTAGAACACTGCTCCAAGTACTGGCAGAATAGTTGCTGCAATGAGACCCACACGATCCCGCTCAAGTTACGTGTGATGGAGCCGCATGTCGCGATGTTCAACTCGAAATGCCAAGCGCTCCATGAAGAGCTCACGTGCTCTGTGTGCCACCCGTTTGTGGGAACAGGACGCATGGATCGGATATGCCCCGACTTGTGCGACGACTGGTTCGATGCGTGCAAGGACGAATTCTACACGCCGGATGGGAGCCAAGCATTGAGTCCATGCTACGGCAACGCCCTCATTTGTTCCCCCCTCCATACCATCTTGTCCACGTAAGTATGCCTCCTTGTCCGCCCTCATCATCGTCCAACGTGCTCCACAGTGGTCGAGATTTTTGCAAGGCCATGGGGTACACGCCCGGCAAATCAACAGACACAGATGGGGTGACCTGCTTTGACGGTTCAGTTCCCGACGAATTGGGGGTCCCTGAACCTGCCGAGCACATGGCAGACGCAATCTTCCGCATTTTCCAAGAGCAATCGGAGGAGCCGACCGAGTTTATGCTGGTCGTAGTCCTCGTCGCTATCGTGGGCCTCTTTGTCTCGGTCAAGTTCTTTCGTCGTTGGTCTGACGAACACAATGCGCTGAAAATGGAGGAAGCGCGCCGACGTCAACAGGAAGCCTACCGACAAGCGTACCATCTCGGGAAGGCAGGTGCCCAAGACGACGCCACATCCGACGTGGACTCGTCCGATGACGACGACGATGACGTTGTTGGCGATGCCGATGTCGCAGAAGGTGCGTCGGCCTCGGGTGCCCCAGCAGCGCCGTCTACGACCTCATAAAGCAGACATAAATGTTTCAACTGAGTGCGATGCCCCGATTGCGTGGATGAATTGTCGAGTTATCTTTGGCGCGTGGAGGTCTTGCTTCGGCGACGACTTGTCTGCCGTAGGATCAGGTATGCCCCGCCGCCAGCATCCACTACACGAACGCAAAAGTTAGAGAGGGTGGTCTGTCGCGCCTCTCCAGACCCCACATACTTCGCAAAGAGGATCCCGCATGACGAGTTATGTCGTGGTTCATCAGCCGAGACGTCGTCAAATCGTCGTCGAGTTCAATCGTATTCATGGCGAGGGTGGGTGGCCAAACAATGGAGGCCGTGGGGCGACTTGAGTCTCCCTTCTGCCAAGACCACATCTACGTCCGCTCCATCACGTCATCCAAGTCGCATGACAGCGACAGGCACGTACGGTGTGCTCGTTGGCGTGAACATACGTGGCGCCGTCAGCGCCGCACGCCACGTCAGTGTGCAGAACTCTCTCTTCTTCATCGAGGGTGCTCTTTCGAGGTGTCTGGACGACGGTTGGGGATGCCGACGGCGTCGACAAACAGGCTGCATCGCCCCACACCCACACTTGGCCTTGAGTTGTGAGGCATGCCGTGTGCCACGTGCCGCACTCAACCTTTTGGACAGCTGGCACGCTGTCGACTTTCATCGGGTGAACCTACGCCGCCTGTGTATCGTCAAACGATTCCCACGGGTCGAGGACGTTATACCTTGGTCGCAAAGTCACCATGGCCCAACGCACCAGACGCCCCATCGCCCCATGAGTACAATTCTCCATCGGCAGTTCGGAATACGATATGGGCATCCCCTGCTTTGACACTGACAATGACTCCGCCATGGAAGTCTTCGATCGGGACGTGGTGTGGGGTGAGGTAAAGTTCGTGGGCGTTCGGGCCAAGCAGCGCCAGCCCACAAACATACACGCGATCGCAGCGGGAGACCAGCACGGTGCACTCGCGCCCGGCGGCCACGAGATGGAACCCTCGCACAGCATTCGGGACGACAATCTCGGTCGGCCACAAAACGCTGCCCGCGTCTTCACCAATGCCCAGTCGGCCCCCTTCACCCCATCCAAAGCTGTACGCCAGCCCAGACGCACACACGACTGCTGAGTGATCACGGCCGCATGTCACGCCGACGGCCACTTGAGACCGAAGAGCTTGGATGAGCGTCGGGTGTGATCGGGATTGAGTGTCCCCGTGTCCGAGACGACCAGAGTCGCCGCTGCCAAACGAAAACACCCGGCCGGACGACGAACGAAGGAGAACGTGGCGGGGGCCGCATGCCACATCCACGACATGACACGGACTCGCCAGCGTTCGTCGGGTAAACGCGACGTCAATGGGGCCGACAATGTGCAACCATGAGGACGAAGACGACGCCGCCGACGAGGTCACGGATCCATGAAGAACAGGGGCGCGGCATACCTCTGGACAGGTGAAGACGCAGTGTCGAACGATGTGCTTGGTGTCATGAAGGACGAGGTCCAGACGTTCCACGGTTAAGTGGCCGACGTCGACTCCGTTGACATGCGTGAGTTGCGTATGGTGTGGAACAGTTTGATTGAACGCATTGGGGCTGACGTCTTTGACGATGACGAGGTGGGAGGAAGGAGTCGGGACTTGGATGAAGCGGATACCCAACGGCACGTTCGGTGGAAAAGTGACTTCTGTAGTTGGCTGCGAACTGCAGTGGAGAGCGGACACAGAATCCGAGTCGGCATACTTGTCGATAAAGTACACGAGCTGGTCTTTGGGCGAGTATGGAGTCGAGTTGGGATGCTGCCACGGCACGAGCATGATGCAACTCGCACGTTTGCGACCGTCGAGCAATGCTCAACCACGAAGGTCGCACTATTTATAGATGGCATCGGGGGTTTCGGGTCGGGCTTCCTGAACATAGCGGCGTTGGGGCACAAGGACGGCCTGGAGACGTCGGCAGATCATGACTTCCGTGCACGCTTGTTGAAAGAGGATACTGCACCTGACGACAAGCTACAAGTCGTACTCAGGGCCGGACGAGAAAGCGTCGATGTGTAGGCTTCCGACGACGTCCACACTCATACAGAACCATCGATACCCCCTGTGGACATGTCATGAATTAGATGATGCCTTGTGTTCATGAATGCTTGAAGTTTCGTCGATTCAAGGGATGAGCCTGGGCAAGTGGAGAGACGCGTGTCCACAGCGATTGGCGATTCAACGCCAGGCCCTGACACTTCCATATGTAGCCGTGTTTCATAATCCATGTAGCCAAGTACGTATCCATTGTCATGGAGGACGCCTTGTCCATGCGCCGCTCCCCATCAACGTCAATTCTATCGTTTCCTCGGTCCTTGTTTTCATGTGGCTCCACGTTTGGCGCGCGAAAGCCAGACGAAGTGGACATTATCCGGATTATTTCCGGATACTGTCTTACTTGATTAAAGTAGCGCGAAATCCACTTTTGGTGCCCAGTTCAACGATCGATACGCGGTTCCATGGAAGCGCGGAAGGACGACCTTCGCCGCGCGATGGATATCGCCTCCATGAAGGCACCCCACCTCCCATCGGAGAATCACATGAGATCGGTCGAATCAATGTTCCGAACCATCGACGAAAAGCTCGAGCTGATCCTCGACGCACAGGATGCACGCTTCCGAATGCTGGACGACAAGTTTGATCGGTTCAATCGACGTATGGACGCGCTCGAGAGAAACTCTACCGACAACAGCCCCCGAGGTCCCTCCCCAGTTGTGGAAGACGAAGGCTCACGCTCGTCCTACGAGACTCAGGCCGAGATGCGCCGACGTCTAGGGTCCATGGAAACCACTTCGTCGTTACGTCGCTTGACCACATCCCCCGCGTCCGACGACTCGTCCATGGGCAACATGCAAAACATGCAGGAGACGCTTAGGTATATTCACGAACGGTTGGCGTCTCTGGAAACACAGACCCAGGCACTTCCTGACAAGATCACACCTGCGATTCATCGCCGCTTGGACACTCTCGAGACACAGGTCAAGATTTTGCCGGAGCGTGTAGATTCGTTGCTGCGCCAGCTTCAAAGCCGTTTGATGGACCACCAGCCCCCTTCTTTGCATGTGATGTCTCTGGATCCGCAGCGCCACCATTCGTCGATCCTCGCGCGCACCGAAGAGTCCCTATCGGTGCTACACCGTACGCTGGAAACGATCGAAACACAAAGCCGCAGTCTCCCCGACCGTGTTGCTTTGGCCGTGAATGGCTCTGGCAAGTTTAGCAACTATGCCAACCGTGGTTCGTATGGACCAAATAACGACGAAGTGATGAACTTCGTCCATGCGCGATTGGAGAGCGTCGAAAAACAAGTTGGGTGTTTGCCAGAGCGGTTGCAGCGCTTCCTCGAAGACGATATTTTGCGACAGCTGCACGGCCACTTCCTGCCGCTGGAATCGCAGATCCAGCTGCTCCCGGAGCGTGTGCATCACGCCTTGAAGGAAGTAGTGGCATCTGACATCGGCGATGTACTGGACCAAGCGATGACATCGGTGCACGATCGTCTCAGTGTTATCGAGAAGCAGTCCGGGAGTGGCTTTGATCGCCTTACGGGGCCGTTGGAGGAAATGCTGCCGTCGCTTCGCAGCCAGATCACGGACCTGCCTCACCAATGGACCAAATCGTCGACCAAGTTAGAAGCTGTTGTCCGCGACGCCACGCAAAGCCTGAATCGTCACGTGAAGGAGCTCACCGCAGCAGCTGCATTAAAGGAAGCAAATCGAGACGCTGCACCGAACGCACAAGAATTACTCGACTCGGCGTTGCAAACTCGCCTCAAACCCCTCGAGTCGCACTTGGAAGGCTTGCCAAATGTGTTAAACGTTGCCCTGGAAGATAACGTGTCGGTGGTGGCCATGGTTGTGAACGACGCCCTTGCTGTCGTGCACCGCCGGCTGGATCAACTCGATGGTTTACCTGAGGCGCTTCGATCGACGATGGTAACTGCCGTGCCTGCGCCAGTTGCCCCGGCCACGATATCGGCACTCCCTCTCGACGTGTCGGGGCCGGCGAAACAAAATCCCACGCCTGCTAAACAACCTCTCACGCCTAAACCGACGCCTGTGGTGCCTCAGCAAGATATCAAACCCATAATCTTGTCCGAACCGACGCTGTTGGCCCCTGTCAATGTTGCTGCGACAACACCCACGGAAACAATTGCCCCCGCCACGAGGAATCCAATCGCGGAACCACCGCATGGCCCATCGCCGCCGGGAAATCCAAGAAAGACAGTACCCCAGGACCTCCCTGGAAGCACGAAAGGCTCCAACAATTGCAATAATACCTCGGCTACGCCTACGCTTCGCCTGCGTCCTATGCGAAAGGCTAGTAGTGCCTCAACGGCGTCAATTTCTTCGACCAACTCAGTGCCGGAAGTTGTGGTGGTAAAGCCTGCGGCAACCCCCGCATTTGTTCCCAGGAAGCGGCGTGTGGTCGCTTCTAAGCCGTCGCTTCGATCGACCCAAGCCCCTGCTACTGCGGCTGTGACGCCATATTTCGCCTGGACAGACGGCAGTCTCCACCGCGCCCCCGAAGACTGGGTGTTCCCCATCACAAACTGTCGTTCGTTGTGGGAACTGTGGTATATCGGTGATACAGTTCATGGCATCGGGCCGTATCGCACTCTCACCAAAGACGACATCAAGCACCATTACGTGTTGAAAACTCGTGGGAAGGCGGCCGCGGTCGTGCAAAAGGTGATCGACACAGCTGTGGACCATGGCATCGTCTCTTCTGCCGATCGGATTCCGAATATGTCCAAGGACGAATGCCTCGCCGTGTTTGAACAGGCCTTTGCTGTACTCATGGGCTCTTCTTCCACTGGCAACAAGGACAACCAAGTGCTGCCCCACAACGCATGCAACAACATGTTCACCAAGGTGTACACGATGCTCGTCAATCAAAAGCGAAAGCGCTCCGACGACGACAATGGCGAAGGTTAACTCCAAATCCCATTCTTTGACCGTGCCTTTGTTCGCGAAGTTCGGTGCCCTGTCTAGAGCTCCATGCAGATGTCGGGGTGTGTGGGGGTGGAGTCGTGACAGGTGCAGGCCATAGGTGCAGGTGACAGGTGCAGGCGATAGGTGCAGAGCTTTTTGCTCCCCAAGCAAGCCACTCTTGGATTCACTGGTTCAGCCTGGGTGTGTATTGCAACATCAAGAAGAAAATGTGTGCAATAACTTATTCAGTTCCACACTTGTTCATATTATTGCAACCGTCCAGTTGAATTTGATGGGACGGTCGAAAGAGTTCAAAATATTTTGCTCGAAATACATTCCGCAAGCTACATGGGCGACAGCGTTTGGACAACACGAGGTTTCCATCATGGATGAAAGGCTCCACTCGATCGATGCAACTCTGCGGCGCGTTTGCCGCCGCTTGGACGCACTGGAGGAGGAAGTTCAGTCGCTGCCTCTCAAGTTCACGAAGTGCTATCAAGAGGATACGTCGGAGCTTCGACTTGCAATGAAGGCGTTGACCTCTGCGTTGACGTCAAGCGCCAAAACGTTGTACCAGCCGCAGCAACCGCTGCAGGAAGCTATTTCCATTGCCACGGCCAAGGTGGTGGAGCCGAATCTGACCCCGCGCAACGCTTCACCCACACGACAGACTCCTCTCTCGCCATCGTCAACGACTGCAGATGAAGAACCTGAATGGATTTTCCCCGCCGTGTCGTGTGGGGAGCTGTGGAGCCGCTGGTTCCACGGCGACTCGCGTGTTGGCCCGTACCATTCGTTGAAAAGGTCGCGTTTACATCAACAGTCACAAGGACGCTTTGATAAGGCCAAGGTTTTTATGGATTCGCTCGTGCAAGCATCCATCGACCTCGATCTGGTGGTGTCCGAGGCAGCGCTGCGGTCGACCCCCGAACCCGACCATTGTGCGATCTTTGACAAAGCGTTTCGCTATCTCGTGCAAGAAGGTGACGACGGGACCCTCGGCCGACCTGGGTTTGAGACCCTCACGTACAGCCAAGTGCTCCAGCTCGACTTTCTCGTCGTCGGCAACTTGTTGCGGTGTCACCAACGAGATTTGAGTAGCCCGACTGTGACGTCGTTCCAAGGAGCTAAGCTGCCGAGCAAGAAGTCCGTCAAGGGAGTCGCTGCGTCCATGTTATGTAAACCTATGACGACCCCCGACCTCCATGCAATCGTCGTTCCTCCAGCCTCGACGATGCCACCGTCGCCTGAGAAATGTTCGCCCTTCGAGTCTTCAGTTGTTCCGTCTGGTGCGTCCGTGGCGCCACCCCCACGGGAGACTTCCTTCCTGAGTCCGCCCGTCCGCTCTCTGCCAACTTCCGATCCGACACCGTCGACGGAGACCCCGTGGAAGTACCCTCTCAAGACGTGCCGGGAGCTGTGGCATAGTTGGTTTCGAGGAGATGCATCTGCTCCGACGTCACTTGGGCCGCTCCGCAACGTCATGTCCGTGAAGTTTCCCGACAAGTTGTCCAAGCACCGGTGTTCCTCGACCAGATCGATCATGACGCGAATCGAAGCTGCCGCGCTCGAGTTTGTTTCAGCCAACGAGCTGGACGCGATGGACATGGAGGCGCTTGACGCCGCATTTACCAAAGCAGTTGCACGCGCGATCGGGATAGACCCCTCGTACAAGGGCACGGTTCGACTCGCCGGACTGACGCATCTAACCCCCGACGCAGTCTCCGCCATGTCGTGCTCGTCACTTTGCCGGAGCGCGTCATTGTCCCGACTGGGCGTTCAAAAGCGTTCCAAGAAGAACCCGATTCACGACAGTACTGGGGACGACTTTACTGTCAACGACTCAAGCGACGACGGCGCCCACGACAAGGCGGAATCGGCGCATCCTGCGGCTCCACCACCGTGGCGGTTCCCGACGCTCACGCTGCGCGAGATGTGGCGATGCTATTTTCACGGTCCATTCGACGGCCTCAGCATCCCGCCGACTGCCGGTCCACTTCGCCACATCCAGTTGGTCGAGCCGCGGCGGTACTTTTGGGAATCGAAACGCGTCATTCACCTCTTCGCAACGTGCGCCGTGGACCATCACCTCGTCAAGCACGAAGACGACATCGAGAAGATGACGGAAGAGGACAGCTTGAGCTTGCTCATGCGGTCGGCGGCGTTGTTTCTTGGTGAGCAAGCCAATGGGATGTTGACGCGCGGTGGGTTTGAATACCGATCGCTTGAGCAGGTCTTGGACCTGAAATGCCGCACCGTGGGCCGCCGTCACAAGCTAGGAAAGAATTCAACTTCCGACGCCGTAGCACCAATCCAGCCAAAGCTGTTGTCAGAGATGACGTCCCCCCCGCAAGCGCCTCGTTCGCCGCCAAGACCAGACGTCGCAAGTTCGGGGTCCCCGCCACATAAGCCAATGCAGCCGAGCCGCGGTGTTCCCAAAGGATGGGAGTTTCCTCGCACATCCTGCCGTGAGCTGTGGAAGCGATGGTTCGTCGGAGATCAGAGAGTTGGGCCATTTTGTACGTTGTCCCGTCACGACTTTGGCCCGAAAGACGATGTGTCCCCGAGGCGGCTGGCTGCAGCACGCCTCGTAGTTGACACCCTCATCGACGTAGCAGACACGTACGAGCTTGCCGGCCGCGGTGTGTCAGTCTTGTCAACGATGGAAGAAGATGAGTTGATGGTCGTTTTCGATCGGGCGTTTGACGTGCTCATGTACAACAACCCGGATGGTAACATTGCCGGGTACGGCTCCAACCAGATCCAGCCAGAGTACGCAGAACCGTGTCTCTACTCCACCGTGGCTCGAATCTTAGCGTTGAGGAAAACGCGCTCGTCCAAGCGCAAACGAAGTGAATTGTGACGAGATGTAGTCGCCTTGCGCAACCCACCCCGTTGGCTGCTCCAACAACGTTTGGCCACTGGACCACGTGCACGTCACGGCCATCTTTCAAGTCCATCGCCCACGACTTCGTGATCAGGCGCCTCGAAATCACGTACACGACAGACGGCAACCTTGGTCGTCACGCATGGAAGCGATGGACAGCTATCCAGCCGACCTAATTCTCGTGTATTTCGAGTGACGAAAGCCGGATCAGCTCCTATCTTCTTGTCTCCACGGCGGAAGCGACGACATGAAGTGCGCCGTGCACTCTTGCTCACGTCCGGCTGTCCGGCCGGCACGAGCTAGCTGTCGGCAGCACATGATGTTCGAACAAGAATGCCTAAATTAGGTATCTTTGCCAAATGCTGAACTTATCCGGACGTCGTTCGCATGGATGCACTCACAAGTTGCAATGGACATGCAACCAGTCGTGGTGCCGCGTGAATTCATTGTCCGCATGGATGCGACGCTGGCACGGATGGACGAAGCCATGCATTTGTTGCAGCGACGGATGGACATCATGGAGAGGAAGATCGACCTTTTGCCGAATCGCATATTGCCCGGGTATTCCAGGCAACCATCGGCAACATCGCCATTATCGTCTGCCCTCACAACACGTTCGCACAACTCGAATGACCACGGCATCACGAACCATCGCGTCACTCAAACGTCTCCATCTTCTTCAAAACGGCACGCAGATGGACGCGCTGTCAACCCGCGAACGTTGCCAGACACGTACATCAGTCTCGCCGTCCAGCGTGCCCAGGCACCATCACGACCGAAACACCCACCACCAGGCGCCGCCAAGCGCCCCAAGCAAGGGAACGCCATCCCTTTCACATCCGAACCACCTGAAACTTCTACAATATCGGTACCCGACCTCCATTTCGCGTGGCAGGACGGGTCGTTCCGACGTGCGCCTGAATCGTGGATTTTCCCCATGACAACGAGCCGCGTCATGTGGGAGTTCTGGTTTCAGGGGTGTCCCGAGCCTCGCATGGGCCCTTTCCGTCTGCTCAAGAAGGCCGATCTCTGCACGGGCCGAAACAACGTCCAAATGTCCCAGGCGCGTGGAGTGATGAAAAAGTTGGTCGAGATTGCGGTCAGTCTACAGCTTGTACCGTCCGCCGCCCATTTGGAAGAGATGCCGCGCTTCAAGAGCATGGCGATTTTCGACCAGGCATATGCTGTGTTAAGTACCCCTGCAGCGCTGGAACATCTCACAGACGTCCTACCTCCAGATCGATCTCCCATGTACCCCTACCGACACATATACGAGCACCTGATCAAGGACAAACACAAAGTCGGCGTCGACGTGCAGGGCCGTGCGTGTCAACAAGACGCATCCATGTGCGCAATGGTGCCATGGCAGTTTCCGTCCACGAACTGCCAGGCGATGTGGATGCACTGGTTCAAGGGCGACCCGGCGCACGACATCGGTCCGTTCCGCCACCTCCACGGTCGCGATGTCGACCGATTCGGCCCCAACGACCGCCGGACGAGGAAGCTCTTATCGAGTGCTCGTGTTCTCATGGAAAAACTCGTGGACATCGCGGTCGAAGCAAAGCTCGTCGGGACAGCCGACGAGCTTGATGCCTTGGACAGCGGGCCCCTCGAACAAGTGTTTCACGACGCGTTCGACAGAATGCTCAGCGATAGCGGAGTAAACCTGGACCCACAAGTCATGAAGAAGGCGAAGAAGTACACTTACTCGACGGTGTACTTCATGATGACGCCGTCGCAGCGAATGCGGTCGCCTGTTCGAGGCGACCTGGACGAAAACGAGTATAACGACGAAAACTATCTCCACCACCACGAAGACGGCCTCGACACCACCGCCTCTGCGCAGGGCACGTCGACGGAGGCCGACTTGATCGCTCCATGCTAACATGTCGTCCATCGCTACCGCGCTCGTCGTCGTACCTCCTTGTCGCTAGTTTGCTGTCAGAATATCTTGTTCAGGAGAAGTTGGTGATCCTTCGATCGAGTATTCCGGATACGAAGTGGAGTTACGTTTGAATTTTCATGGGAATTGGGTGTGTGTTCAAACTCGAGTCAAGTGACCCGTTGGTGCTACCACGAAGAACAGGCGCTGCTCCACCTCAGGCGTCGTGGAGACACTTGCGTTAGCGATGGAAGGATTTGCGGAGCTCACACTACGCGCTTAACACGGGCAGGAACACTCGAAGGCGACACCTCCTTGGGCGAAACACCTTGTCCGGATAATACTGTCACGTGACCGAAATTCAAATTCTGGCTGGCGTGTGACCGAGTTAGCCAGAACTGGACAATTTTTTAAACGCCCCCGAGCGGCAAAACGACAGCGATCGCGATGATGGACTCATCCACGGACCAGCACCAACCGCAGCAGCACGAACACGTGCATGAACACCCGCAAACTCACGAAGACGGCGACCACGAAATTGACGGGGATCATGGTGTGGATGACGCTTCCACTGAGACGGTGGAAATCGCAGCTGACGGCGCAGACATTGGCCCCGTTGGAGTAACATATATGGACGCGCAGCAGCTGCAGGAGGCCTTTGACGCCGTGCACCGTCGTTTGGATGCGTTGGAAGAAACGGTGGAATCGATTCCCGATCGTATTTGGAGCGCACTTGACGGCCGAGTCGGTGTGACGCCGTCCGGTATTGGGGTTACGAACGTGATCAACTTGGCGATCAAGGCGCTCACGGATGCGATTTTGATCTCGGCTGGACCGGACCGGTTCCAGAAGCAGCGTAAAGGCAACGCGAACGTGCGCGGTGACGTCGCCTTTGACGCTCGCAATAACGGAAAAAAGTTAAAGACGACGCGCATGAAGCGCGGTGACCATCCCGACAGCAGTCCGTCCACGTTGTTGCTACTTTCAAACGCAGGCAACCGACCGCAACTATCCAGTCCCATCACGATTCCAAACACGCGTCGTCATCCCAAGGTTGAAGTGCCTGCGGAAATGCCTCGCTTCACATGGTCTGATGGATCCAAGCAGTTTGCGCCTCAGGGATGGCTGTTGCCAACAACGTCGTCGCGCGCAATGTGGGAGCTCTGGTTTGCCGGCGATGAGAACGTCGGTCCGTTTCAGCACTTGACTGCCAAGGACCTAGAAGATGCGACGTCCAAGGTCAATTTGAGTTGCGCGCGCGGCGTGATGGTGACCTTGATCCAAATCGCGCTCGACCAGAACTTGGTCCCGACCGTCGAGTACATCTCGACCATGACACCTGCGGACCGCGCCAACCTGTTTGACCAAGTCTTTCCCCGATTGATCCAGAACGAGCCCGCAGACGTTGTCGAGAAAGCGCCGACGTACACATATACGAACGCGTACAAGCGACTGATTAAGGGCAAGCGCAAGGCGCAGCGGTCGGTTGGATTCGACAGCTCCGGACACAAGTTGCCCAACTTGCATCCGGGCGGCCACGGCATCGGGCATGGAACGAACGCGCCAGAGTGGGAATTCCCTGCCACCAACTGCAAGACGATGTGGTATTTTTGGTTCAAGGGCGACGAGTCGAACGGGATCGGTCCGTTTCGGCACTTTCGCCCCCGGGATATTGACAAGGACGTGACGGACGGCCCGGCGCGGCGCCAATTCTCCCGTGCCCGCGGCGTCATGGAAAAGCTCATCGATATTGCCGTCACTCACGGGTTTGCCGTGTCTGTGGACGAGCTCGACCACATGACGATTGCAGAGTTGGAAGCAGTATTTGACCAGGCATTCGACGTGCTCATGCACGACAGTCCCGAAGGCAGTCTGGTCGGCGACGCCCCCGGTCAGCTCCGCGCTGAAAAGATGGCTGGGTACTCGTACGGGACCGTGTACAGCGCGATGGCACAGCGCAAGCGAAAACGTGCTGACGATGAAACCAGCCAATACGAACTATAAACCACGTCTTTCAGAAAGACGTGCCAAGCAACCGATGTAAGGATAAATGGACGGGGGTCGATGCATGTGCGTGCATTGCAGGCACCAAGCGATACGATCCATCCCATCGCCGCTGCAAAACACTTTGTTCGCGTGTGAGCCACAGGGCTCGAGCGCGCGCCGCCGGTCACCGCCATTGCACAAGGAGAATGGCCACGTACATATGCTGTGGAGGTCCACTGCAATTGTTGCACGATCTCTCGTCATGCAGCGGTGCAGCCCCCCGTGAATGGATGGTGTCTGCCATCTCGTCGTAGGCACACAACATGACGGGGGGCGCCAGAAGAACGACAGATAAATTACGACGAGTTGTTGGTGTGTGCCGTCGTCGACTGCAGCGGCAATTGAAATGGTGGCGCGATGGGCAGTGGCGGGGGTTCTGTTGCTTGATGCTTCCGTTTCCGAGACGTCGGGGCCATCAACGTGTGCAGGGAAGAATACGTGTACGTCCATGCCTTTTCCGAGCGCAGTTTGCTGCCGGCGACGTCGCATGGATTGGTTTCAAGAAATTTCTCAAATGTCTTGACGAAGAGCGCGTCCAAGTCGGCGGCGGACGCGACGCCTTCAATTTCGTCGGCGCTTGTCAGCAGCGCGTGGTCCACCGCGATCTCTACGAGTTTATTCATGACCGTGCGAGCCCGAGATAACTGCTTGTAACTTGTGTTGTCTCTAGCAAAGCGCTCGATGTCCCAGCTCGTGAGGCGCCGAAACGGACCGATCCCAACCGTGGCGTCCCCGAGAAACCAATGCTGCCACATGATTCGGCACGTCGTCGACGGAAATTCCCATTTTTCGGGAGCGCTCCGAACAGTGCCGTCAGACCATTTGAACGTCGGTCGTGAGGGAGACTGCGACTCGGTCTTGATCGGGTGCCATGAGCTCTCTTGAGGACGGTCATAGAGCGCGTGTGGTGTGCAACTGACGGAAACTGGCGTGACACCTGATTTCGTAGGCGTGAGGAAGCTGTGCGACGATCGGCGGCTTGGTGGGGGCTGTTGCTGACGCGTATGAGATAGTGGCTGCTTCTTTCGTTCTGGCGATGTCGGCTCGACTTCGTCGTCGGTCAAAGAGTTGAGAGCGAATTGGATGGATGACGCAATGCGAGGACGGACGTCGTAAAGCGGTCGGGGGGGTTCGAATGGAAGTCGCGGCTTGTCGGGTAATGTTTGCGGGATGTGGGCGATGGGTGGTTGGGACGTTTCATGCGTTATTGCCGTCTCTGCAACGGGAGTAGACGGTGAAGTTGGAAGGGACGTATTGAATGACGACATGAGGTTCGCGATGCTCGCCTTGTGGGCGCTGGACGTACGCAGCAGTTGAGGTGGCGATGGCACAACCTGGGGAACTGCCACGACAGGTTCAAGTGGCGATGGCGGCGGAGAAGTGGATGGATAAGTAGGAGCAGAGCGACTGGGGATTGTCATGGCTTCCAGAAACGCTCGCATACCCTGTTGCATGGCGTGTTGGACGTGTTGAACGGTGGATTTGGAAGGAGGCTGACCTTCCACAGCCCGACACAGTCGGTCAGGAAGGGCTTCCAGCTTCTCCTCAAATGCAGCCATGCGAATCTCCCATTTCTCTAGAACTTTCTCCAGTCGGCTACAGCAGTCGTGGACACACGCCTGGCTTGCGCACGCCGGTGTTGTCGAGGCGGATGGAGCATGACTTTGCATCGCTTTTAGTCACATGCGCCAGGGGAGTTCCTCCATGGTGATTGGTCACGCAATTTCGCTCATTTTAAATTATGTCGACTCGATCAAATAAATCGAACGCCAATGCCCTCCCAACAAGGAGAGAGCAAGGCAATGGCAGAAGTGCACAACGCGCCGCCATTTATAAACCCTTTGCCTGATTGCCGCTGCGGCGGTGGGCGATGAATCTAGTGCGCGGTGCACCAACGTTCGTGGTGTCCGAATAGTCGCTCCTGCTTTTTTCCAACATAATTTTCGATATTGGTTTGAGCCCAAACATCAAAAATCCTTCCCCGTACAAACGAGAAGCGAATTTGATTTTTGTGACCCATCGGAATGAGTCGAATTGTCGCCGGGGATTTTTGGCTTTGCGCGTTGCACATACAAAATCACAAGGTCGCTATGGAGATGCAATTAAAAGTCAGAGAAAAAATCATATATAGAAGTTTTTCGAACAGCGACTCACAGTCAATCTGAACAATCAAATTTGTTGTCTACCTGCCCTATCATTCGCATTACGGACATCCTCGACATGTGCATGCCCATTGGTGCTTATGAGCTTCCGATATATCGACACATCGGCCTTTGTTGATGGCAAGATCAGGTAGTTATTAGAGAGTCTTCGCAAACCAGCCATAGCCAGTGCCATAGAACTAGAATCTGAACCGACAACGGCAATGGCAAGGCCGTTTTGGTCATTTCGCAAAATGGCTGCCATTGCAGCATACGGATTTAGATCGTAACTCGAATCAATCACTACTTCATATATTTGATTTGTTCCTGCCATGAGTACTGAGTCAGTACTCGTCAGTGCTAATGACGAATCGATTATTGTCTCCCCGGGTGTACTGTACAAGTTGACGAAGCGGAAGAAGCTTAGTCCAGCTTCAACAACAATGCTTCTGGAGTATGACCTTTCCATACCTGTGGAACGACCCTTGATCCCAGCCGTCAGCTTTGACATCAACATACGTGATGCTGACGCAGTGCTCTCGTTTCGTTTCGACGTCTCCGGGGTTCTTCAGCTCACGTCTTTGCTCGAGTTGCCGAACGTTGTTATTACATCAGCACGGGACCGAGTTACTGGTGTTAAGGCTATGGCTATCCTGCTCAAACGTCTTCGTTACCCCATTACTTCGAAGTACATTTTACGACATGCTCTCAACCTTTGGTCGGTCTCGTGAGCAAATATGCCGCATATTCAACCACATGGTCGCGTTAGTCTACACCTCCTGGAGGGATCACATCTACTGCAACAAGCGCATTGTTCGAGCACGAATCGCTCAGTATGCGAGTGCAATCCACGCAAAGGGATCACAACTTTCAAATGTCTGGGCATTTCCCGACGGAACCAAGGTTGAAACTTGCCGTATTAGTGCATCCGCCAACGGCGCAGTTGGATTGAACTTATAAAAGCGGACTATAATAATTCATTACACTTAAAGTGACTTTTCTACTTGCTGCCCGAGTGGCACATAGCTTGTAGCGAGCATTTTAATTTCTTCGATCGGTTTGATGCTTCGCGTTGGCTTGGACTTGGAATAAAATGGCCCTCTGCGCACTTGATGGCTTGAGTCGATTTTAATTGACTTGAGCTGTCTTGTGTCGTAGGGGGCTTTTTTTACCAGCGATTTTTTGAAATCGTCGTGGAATCTTCTAAGTCTTTTGCACTTGCTTGGAGTATGGCAGGTAGTTGATTCTTCGCTTTGGTTGGACTTGGAATAAAATCGCCTTCTGTGCCTTTTTGACGACTTGAGTCGATTTAATTGACTTGGGTCGTCTTGAGGTGTGGTAGCGATTCAATCTCGAAGTCCGTTGCACTTGCTTGGGATATGGCAGAGAGCATTTGTGCTTCACTTGATGCTTCGACACGAATTCGGCTCCCTTGATGCAGGCTTGACTGCACCAAAAAATTCAAAATTCGCTCTTTGTGATCTGGGGCGATCATGTCGTGTGTCGTGGTGAGTTTCCAAAAGCTTGGAGTAAATTCCAGGTTCTTGAATCATGCCGATGATGGAGCACTTCCTTGAATAATTTCTTCGTTCGGCAAGCAATCCAGGATGGTTCTTCCACAAAGTTGGAGCAACGACCGGAATCTGAACACCCTTCGGCTGCTATCCTTGGTTGTCTTGGAGTTGAGTCTGTCCAAATGCGCTTGTACATGCAGTCCCAAATATGTTGAAACGGTACTTCGTAGCGGACGTACTCAGGCCACAAACGCATGCACTGCCTCAACTTCCAAGGGTAGACCACCCCATATGGTTTGTGTATTCACTTCTTCGGACCCTTGGAGGATAGTCGACATGATGTGACGTTGCTTCGCGTCAGTCAGCTGCAAGAGTACTTTGAGGCCAATTCGGACATATTTGATGGCTACTACATTTATGGGGACCCTGCCTATCCCATTTCAAAATGCATTGTGTCGGGCTACAAAGGGAACAACTTGGACGCGCAAAAACAGAGTTTCAACACAGCCACGAGCCGAGTCCGCCAAGGAGTCGAATGGAACTTCGGTCGAATGAAAACTTCGTGGGGATTTACAACCTACAAAATTCAGCAGAAGATAATGCTCTCCAACGTTGGTGCGGTGGTTCTCGTGGCAATGTTCATGACCAATTGTAATTGCTGCTACCACGGCGGAAACCAAATTTCACCCTACTTTGGCATGAATCCACCGACACTGAAGGAGTACTTGATGTCGGAATTCACTCACATTGTAGAAATTTAACAACATGAAATGTCCAACTTTATGACTACTTTTTACTGTCCAACAAAGCCTTAATGATGCTTGTCATTTTCGCGCTCTCAATGCTAGCCAATGCCAATTGGTGCTCACGCTCTGCCTTCTGATCTTCACGGTCGAGCTCACGTTGCAGAATCTCCGATTCGAATTTTTTCGCGCTGGAAAGCAAGCACTCTATCTCGGGCGACCAATTCACGTTCGCTCTCGACCAAGATCGCAGCAGCCAGACTGTTGCGACGGTTCTCGTGCGCTGGACGCTTTGGATCCTATCCTTCAACGTTGCGTCATCGCTTCATCGCCTTCATGGCCATTTCGCGGACGATTTGCCCACCTGTTCGACTTTGTCCTTTT